AACTTGGAATCACTGTTTTTTCTTCGAATATGGGTGGGATATGAATATTTTGGAATTTTATGATGTAATTTTAATGAAAAGAAATGAAAAAAACGTTGGCAGCAAGAAATTAAAAAATTAATGATTTTATATGTTTTTATGAATGCATGGACTAACAAATTTTTTCACATCGTTTTATAAATAACCCAATAAGAGTTGCTACATATCAATAAAAGAGCCCCAAATTTGTGCATCAAAAGTAGAAAAAAAATCAAGGGCTTGTTTCAAGTGCATAATTATTTTCTTAGACAGGCATAAAGTCAACAAGTCTGGGTTAATCAACATCCACACGTGTAAAACTACGCGACGAGGAAGACCGGAAGTACACGCAGTTTCTGTATGCTTGTTTGGGACGAGAGAAATCTCATCGAGTGAGGTCACACGAGACTCGCAATAAAAAATATCAAGAAAAGTGAGAGACTGAAAAAAGGAGTTTTCACTTTCAAACGATGATCTCAAGTCTTAACATGTAGAATTGACTGCACGATTAAGTAGTACAGTTCCTTTTTACGATTCGATCTTTCTGGGCGCATGGGAATTATGGGTAGGCGAAGAAAGTTCTCGAGGGCACACAACATCCTTCACCTTCGACCTCTCGACAAAATTTTTCCTCAGGAGAAAAAACATTGAAATGAAACATGAAAAAACATTAAATTTCTTCAAGGTGAATCGGGGAGAAAAAAGAAAGTTCAAAAATTTGAATTTTCATGAGGAGAAGTGAAGATTCCCACGCTTATTAAAAATAAAATTCAATTGGATAGTTGACATAACGATTAAAACATTGAGAGTATATGCGAATTGCCTTTCACTCTCGCACAATCCGGGACTAATCTATTGTGTGAGAGAATTCTTCTTGAAGTGTTTTATTTTTTCCCTTCCATCTACGTTCTAGTTTTACGCTCCTTCTATCGTTGCGGTGTTTTTTCTTCTCTACTATGTTTATAGAAAACGGGAAAACCGTGTGACGGTGGTGGTTTCGTTCCGAGAAACTCCACTGTTTTTGTTTATTCTTCCGTGTTTAATTGTCGGAGAATAAATAGAAAAATCTATTGAACGATGGACCGGTGAACTTTCATAGGGCATTTAGTTCTCTACAGAAAGTGTCTTGCCATGTTTTCCGATAAACCCATCAATTACTGAAATTTTACACATCTTCTGAAAAAAGAAAAATAACGATTTTTTCGTACATGTTATCGTTTGCTTTTAACATGGAATTATGCCGATTATTATCGACTTTAGCGAAAAATGCTCCACAAAACTTCTTGCAAGAAATTAAATTCTCTACAAGAAATGTCTTGTGACATTTTTTGACAGATCTACTAGTTCTCGCGATATCGCGCATTATCCAAAACCAGAAAAAAAACGCCACCTGTCGAGACGCTGTGCAATCCGCATTGCGTCCTCTCCGTATCCATCATAAATCATAAAAACTAGGTATGACCGAATGGTTTTCTAATCCGTTCACTCGCACATTGAACTCATTCCACGGAAATTTATCCACAAAGAGCAAAAAATCCCACTGACTACTCCATAATTTCCGTTAAAACGACAAAATCGGCGATGAAATAAAAAATCGTTTCCCGCCAAGTGAAAAATCTCCTCATAACCAAAGAAAATGCTTCCGGTCTGAGAATTATGTAAAAGAAATTTATTTATGAGGGTATTCCGATTGAATTTGCGGCGGGATAAATATTTTGCGCGCCTGAGGCGCAATAAAATAACTTTTCCTTTTCTTTCTTTCTTTTTTTTTTGGTTATGGTTCCAGTGAAAGGATGACCGCTCGGGGATGCCCCTCTCTCCGTAATTCCGTATTGGACGCGGGATGACCGGTTATGTGCATGTACGAATGCCGCGACACACGGGAGAATGGGATGAGACTGATAACTATCGGTGAGACATTCTAATCTGGAATGCGGCGAGTTACTTTCTTCGGAGGATGTGTTAAGCCGCTAAGTGATTGATGATTTTTTCATTAGAAAGTCGTTGTTATTCGATAGTTGAAGAGGTCAAGCGTTTTGGAGATGAGGAACGAACATATTTAATGAATAAAGGAGTTGAAAAGAACATTTTTAGATTTTTGGGGCAACGTTTTTTTTTTGACTTCGAAAAATCCCCGATATCGTGAGAACTGGAAGATCTATCGAAACATGCCATAAAACATTTTTTGTAGAGAATTAAATTTCCTACAAAAAGTTACTGTTGAATTTCTTTCTGAACCCAACAGTTTCGGAGGTATCTGAGGTATAATGGGACTTTTAATAGTTGTTTCAAGTTGAAAATGATTGAAATGTCTATCTTTTGAGTAATGATTCGCGTTGTTCAATTCAATCGTCAAAAATAGCCGCTGAATACTCCCCAATTTTCTGACATAGACGGGATAATTTTTGAAGAATGTTTTAACTGGGGAAAGTTGAGTCGAAAGTCGGCAGGTGTGAGGACGACCCGTGTATTTGTCTCAGGTGTGCTGAAGCCCTGAGGAAATCTCCGAAAGATATTTTTCTACAATGGAAATATTTCGGAAACGAGTGGTTCTAGAGGAAAACATCGTAAAACCTTCTCTGCAGATCCTGAAATTCTCTATGAAAAAGGTATTTTGATATTTTCCCGTGCGCCCACTCATTCCCTGGATATTTCCCAACTCATCTTTTATTCTGTTCCCTCGCTGAATTCATCAGTCGACATTGTAGATTAAATTTTCCACGTAGACGCCGGCACTTTCTACACATCCCCGGGTGCATTGCGTGCCTATTCAGTCCTCCCACAATTCACATTGTGCGACATAAATGGATACATAAAAATAACAAATTCAATGCAACGAAAAATTACAATTGAATTTGTACGCAGATGCTATTTAATTTGATTGATTTACGTGAGAGGTCGATTTCTCACGCCCTTGAGGTGCATATAAGGAGCTCAATTCAATTCTCCATTTCAACAAAATCATTCTTTATTTCGTTCCGCAATTTTTTTAATTGCGGCAGAAAAAAGGCCAAAAAGGCATTGAAATTTCTGAATGAAGAAGATTAATTGAGGCCATTCTCCATCCCAAAGTGATGAAGTAATAAATTGACTCTTCAGATAATTATTGACTTTGAAAAAATGTGCTGTAATAGCCTTTTGTAATTTTTTTAAAGTTGGAATTTTGTGATTTTTTATTACTGATGGGATGGCAACTATGTGAGGAGACATTAAACAGTTTCGTAAGACAAATAAACTGCCCTAAGGAAGTGTGTATATAACACAAAACGTTGGCAAAATTAAAAAAATGGGGGGACTTTCATTTTTTTAAGTTTCAAGTTTTTGTATTTTGTCTTAGTTGTGCCCGTCAATTGGCTGGAAGGAGTTGTTCAATAATGACAAACAGAAACGGTTGGATAAATTATGAGATGAATAACGTTGAGTGCATTTTTTTTATTCATTGTGGCATGAGAAAAATATGTTACGAATTTCACAACAAAAAAAGTTGGTCATTAACAATCGTTGATTTGTTTGATTTAAAAGAATATATTTTTTAAATTGCAAATAGAGAAAATAGTCATTTTTGTGAATAAAGAAACTCTCCGTTCCAAATACCAATTTCACTGGGTGACCTAAGGGTCACCTTGAACCATTATTCCCCCGAGTAGTCGTAGATTTCACTGTTTACAGCAGAATGGAGGGATTTTCTGGCATGCATTATTATACCTTTCATTGCGAAAGATTTCGAGTAATTTCCGGGAGGATGAAAGCCCGAGAAAGCAGTTATTACTCTATTCCTTTCTGGATGATGCATGTAACATGGACGCCTGTATCTCCTCCATATTTCTTTTCAAATTGAATCAATTCCGTTCGTTTATCCTTAATTCTCTCGATAATAAGTAGTTCTACCGGAAAACACGATAAGACATTTTTCACAGATCAAGAAATTCCCCACAAAAAAGATCTGTTAGAGATTTGACTGATGTTAGGGTGGTTGGGGGGAAGTGTGATGGAAAGGTGAAAAGTAAAAGACACGCGGATTACAAAAAAACTCACTGGTGATGTACTTTATTGGTGGCGCAAGTCAGCACGCACGAAAAAAGTTAATAGAAAAACTTATTCTTTTCATATATTTTCTATAGAATTTGCTCGACTCAAATTTTCCAAGTTTTTTTCATTCTATTTTTCTTTTCTTCTCATCAAGAAAATCAAACGAAAATACTTGAACTTGAACGAGAAAATTTGAGCCGAGAAAATTCTATAGAAAATATCTCAATAGAATAAGTTATACAGAAAAATTGAATTCTATTGACTTTTTCTACTGAATATTTTCTATTGAATATTTTAATAGAATCGGCCAAAAACTAATAGAACAGTTCAATAGAAATTCAATAGAATTTTCTAACGGAATCGATAGGTTTTTCTATTAAGGATAATCGGGCGAGGAGGAAATGTAGGAGGTGAGGTGGAGGGGTTTTTATTGTTTTCCTGCAGAAAACCAATCGCTGAGCACAAAAATTTTTCCCATTCGGATTCAAAATTCAGGCAATACTAGGGAGTACCTCCGGTTAAAAATTATTTCTGGAGCTAATTAAATTTATTTGTATCTGTTCCACGCATTGGATGGCTTTCAGATTGTTTTTTTTAATAAATGAATTAAGATATATGGGCACCTGTTCGTCTGAAATTCAGACACATTTTCATTTTATTCAGACGTTTTTTAGGGTCTGAATAATGTCTACAAAAGGTGTGTGAAATTCAGACATTCGTTTTTGCTGTGTTGAACTCGGTTGAACTCGTTGAACTCGGTGACGACGATACTAACTGACATTTGGCGATTTACTCCGTGATTTGAAACTGAACCCCAAGCCCTTCGAGATTTTCCGTTAAGACCGGTAACTTTTAATGATGAATAATTTGCTGTATTTTAAACAAGATGATATGATGTTTTCCCCTACAGCAACTGTGAACCCTCCTAATGACGCCGGAAAAATCTGTTACAGTTTCCAACTCGTCACACTCCAGACCCTCGCGTCCGGCTGTCCTCCACCCAGCAACAGCAGATCCTCACCGACGTCCAGCAGCACCAGCTGCGCTACAACTTCCCGGGGAGTTCCCACGTGACCTTCCCACAGTCTCAACTGACCTCGAAGTCCGACGCGCCACTGTACCCTTCCCTCGCGAAATACCGAGTCGATCGGACGAAGCAATCAACAGACCGGCCCTTCCCGCAGACCTCCCAGTACTCGATCCCCCAGTTCCCCTCCTCTCTCTTCCCGAACTTTGCGGGCCCGACGGACCTCCCGACGACCTACTACAACGACGCCTCCTCCATCAGCCTCCAGAACTACTACGAGAAACAACGAGAACTCGATCTCCTCCGCAAGCAACGAGAGCAACTGATCCTCGAGCAGAATGAGCTCAGAAGACAGCAGGAGTTGCTCCGACTCCAGCAGCTGAAGGCTCTGACTTCAACCACGACTAGCACCACAACCCCAGCGCCAACGAGTACCTCCCCGGTGTTGTTATCCTCCCCAACAGCAAGACGAATCACGCCAGCGGAATCCGAGCTCTTCCTGAAAGCAATCGCCACGCATCAAAAGAAGTTCTCGACAACAGCGAAACCGCTCACAACATCGCTCACACCGCTCACAACCACAAAAGCCCGTCAAGAAGTGAAGATAGAGGAGCCCCAGGACATTCCCAAGGATCTTCTGCAGCTCATTCAGGCGCAGAACCCTCAACTGATCGGCACCGGCAAGAACAAGCCTCAAATCAAGATCATTTACCAGACTGAGAAGCCACCAACGAGGGCCACCAAGCCAAAGACTTCTGAGAAGGAACAACTGCTTCGTCAGCTGAAGCTAGCTCTCGCGGAGAATGGCGACGAGGGGGGGAAGAACGTGACGACGAGGGACCTGGTGCTGCCCAACGGACGTAAATTGCAGATCATCCAGGCGCCAAACGGCCTGTCTTCCATTATTCCGAATGAGGGTTCGAGTCAGTTCCAGACGGTGACACAAGCACTGGATCTGAATTCCGGCTCGACGACGACGGTCAAACCTGCCAAGGCAGTCCTCGAGGAACTGACGAAAGGGGTGCTACCTCCCGGCGCTGATTTCGAGGTCTTGAGGCACAAGGACGATGGAAAGCTTGAGGACGTCGCCAGGTCGACGATCCAGGGGGCCGGGAAGAAGGTGACGTTCGTGGTCCTGGAGGAGCAGTCTGATGGGACCTTCAAGGTCCAGGGGGTGAAGGGCAACTCCAAGGAGGACGGAGGAGTCGATGTGGAGAGCATCGTGGAGAAGATTAAGAAGGGAGAGATCAAGCTCCCGCCGAGCTCCAAGAGCCCCAGGGAATCTAAGACCACTACAAGGGTGAGCAAAGTTGAGGAGAAGGTGACAACGGTCAGGCCGACGACTATCAAGTACACGGGGGTGCCCAGTTCCGCCAAGATCAGGGATAGGTGAGTTTAGAGCTTGAGTCTCCGTTGCTCATACTCGATTTTCTCGGAAATGAGTGGGTCTAGACGAAAACTTTAGAGGACCTTTCTTGGGCATAATTTTATTCCCCACAAAATTGGTTTTATCATTTTTTCTCCTAGGACCACTCCTTCGCCGAGTAATGACCCAATTTTGAAAAATTTCAGCGACACATCGGCTGATTACTCTCCCCAAGTAACAGTAACCCCAAAATCAGTGTCTCAACTCGACAATTACGTGACGTCAGCATCAACTCAATCCGCTAATATCTACAACTCAATCTCGACGTTCAATCCAACAACAGTGAGAGCCCCGTCCACCGCGTACAGATCAATCTCAACGACAATTCAACCACCGAGAAGCCATTTCATCCCAACAATGGCGCCGGTTAGCGAAATCATAAGTACGACACATCCGCCGGTATTCACGACCTCGTACGGGCCTCAATCCTCGTCGTACGTTCACTTCACGTCGACTCCATTGGGTTCGACCGTTTCACCGTTACCTAGGGCCATTTCCAGCACTGAGGCCTCGAATCTCAATAGCGCCGGGGCCAGTGAAAATCTGATATTCAATGATTTTGGGGGGAATACTGGATCGTCGTTCGAAACGGGTACTGGGGGGGAGTCTCAACCGCTCGAGACCATTGCTAATTTTCTGAGGAGGGAGGGACTCTTCGCCATGGCCAAGTATCTCAGGCAGTCTGGACTCGATACTGTACTGAATGAAACTGGTGAGTCTTTTTTTATTTAATGGGATCTAAGAACATATTGACGAAAAAGAGCGCCGTTAGCGATATGAACCCCACCAGTACGGCGGCCATGCCATATATAGACCTGAGAACTTGACCTATCGACCGGCGTCTGTGTCTGTAGGTCCTTTCCGTGATTAATAAAAATTCATTATCTTTCGTACTATTGTAGATATCGAAATTCTGAAAATTTCCCCATGAAATAGATAAAATTATCAACACAATGCGACTCGATGTTTTTTTCAAGTTATTTTTAATATTTTTCTTAAATACATAAACAATATAGAATTAATTTCGATGTCAAATGCATATTCAAACCTCTCGTTTATCGAGCCAATTTTCATCAAAAATTCTGAAATTTTTCCCGAACATACTCTATACATTCCTTTGTCGACTGGCGCAGACGAAGTTTCGATTCACTGAATTACTAATTTGTTATTGACAAATTTTCGACAATCACCGATCTTGGAAACCATTTGTACTATCGAACTGAGATTAGTCTTAAAAATTCCAGAAAAATCTGTATAAAGGAATACCGTAATCGAACAACTTGTTGAAAGCTCAAGATTATCATCAAATTTTAGATGATAATTTTTTATCATCAGTGTAGAAATTGTTGCGTATTGAACAGCGAGTTCCAGTGGACCATATTTCTTGATAAAGAAATCATCAGAATCTATTAGAAATCATGGAAATCGCAAAAAATTAAAAGAAATCATGATTTCTAATTCTTATTGAGAAATCACAGAAATCATTCAAGAAATCGCAGAAAATCGTCCCATTCTGGAAATTACTGAGCCACCCGTTTGAGGAGTGACCAACCCCTCGCTTGGATATCTTTAAGCATTTCTTCATGGGGAAGAAGCGAAAAAAGTGCATATAAAATTTGTTTACAATTTTTGTCATCACAAAAAAACATCAATAACTTTTTTTGCCCGAAAAAAAATCGCCGGTCGTAATAGAACATTTCACATTCCCTTCGTGTTTTCCCATCTTTAAAGAAGCAAAAAAAACAACGTGTGGATGAGAAATTGAACGAAATTTCGCAATGAAAAGGGAAAAAAACTGTGAGAGAGCGCGTGAGAACGCGATTGGACGCGTTGCGATGTGAGTTAATGAGGAGTATTCCAAGTGTCTTCCTTATTGAGACCCACCACACGAAGACGTATTACTTACTCTCGCGGTGGATGATACAAGAGTCATATCGTTACGCTCTAATCGCGAATTTATTCTCCCTCAATTTTTTTCATCAATGACTTGCTGTGTTCGTTCCACTTCATTGGAGGGATAATAACAGGGCACTAAATTTTTATTGGGTCCATTAATGTCCAAACAATTGTTTCTAATGGTTATGATTTCGTTTCATCGCGAGAAATATTCCTGATACGGAAACGATTGTTGTGTTCTGAAGAACAGGGACATTTCATCTGGTAGTTTATTGCTGTTTGATGGAGGAACTTCCTCCGCGGTTGTTCGCGGAGATTGCCTGGAAAGGCAATTTTCATTGATCATTTGCAAGGCATGAAATGGGAATTAAGTGGATTTATTGAGCGGAAAAAATCTTGTACTGCGGTAGGAGAATTTCTCAATTTTTTCGCAAAGGGATAGTATAATTTTTCGATGTTTTCTGAAAAAAATGCGAGGAAAAAAAATTTTTTCTTTCAGGTCCTTATACGATATTTGTACCAACTGACAAGGCCTTCAGGACACTCCTGGTGCAGCTAGGAGGTCCTGAGAAGGCTGAACAAAAATTCAAGGAGAATCCAAGATTGTTAAGTGGCGTAAGTAAACAAGTGGACAATGGGAATGATCCCCATATGACCCCCACGATCCTTATTCTGACCCTTGTGACCTTTAATCTGATCCTCGTGACCCTCATTATACCCTTCGTGACCCTTATTTCGACCCTTGATTTCGGCATTTTAAGTTCGAGTACCAAATTTTTATCACCAGAAGTCGATTTCGATTTTTATAATATCGAGAGATATATAGACACCCTTATTTTGACTCTCGTGACCCTTAGTTTCTGACCCACATGGCCCTTACCTGGAACCTTAATCTGACCCTTGTGACCCTTATTTGGATTCTTAATCTGACCCTTGTTACCCACGTGACCCTTTATCTGACCCTTGTGACGCTTAATCTTCTGACTCTCGTGAACCTTAGTCTTATTCTCGCGACCCTTAATCTGACCCTTGTGACCTTTATTTGGATCCTTGTGATCCCTATTCTCTGGCCCTTGTGACCCCTATTTAGACCCTTAATCTCACCCTTGTAACCCTTATTTTAAACCTTGTGACCCTTAATTTGACCCGCGTAACCTTTATTCTGGCACTCATGACTCTTATTCTCACCCTTATGATCCTTATTTTGACCCTTGGAAACGATTACAAAGCTTCCACTCGAAAACAAAAACTTATTCAATGTTTTTTTCAACCACTTAGAAATCGTGAAATATTTTGAAAAAATTCTGAGGTGTCAATTGAATTCAAAGCATCATCTCAAAAATTGACAAATTTCAATTTTTCATTGCAAAAATCACGAGAAAAAATTATTCGATAATTCGTGAGATTCTCTCGTGTTGTCTCCAATGTTGAGGAATTTTTTCCGAATTTCAATGAACAAAAAATGATTATTTTCAGTTATTATTGCATCACGTAATCCCAGGTGCCTTCAGAATCGACTCATTGCAAGACGAAATGACAGGAGTTTCACTCGCCGGAACTCAACTGAGAGTGAATGTTTACGATATGCATGATCAAGAGTGGAATGACGTTAAGGTAAAACAGCAGAAAGAGTAAAAAACTGCAGAAATTAATAGGCAGAACATTTTTTTTAACGCAAAAACGTTCGCTAATTAGTGAAAAAGCTTATTAAGCCAATCAATTTTTTTACTATTCTACGTTATGTCCGGGCTATCTACACGGTCAAATCATGTATTTTTTTTACTAATTAGTGAATATTTTTCTGAATCAATTGACATGCAGGTGACAACGATAAACGGAGCAAGAGTAGCGCCAAACAAACGTGACATAGAGATACCCCAAGGAATTGCCCATGCAGTAGACCGTGTTATGTTTCCACTTCCTGTTGGGGATTTAACGCAGACCCTTGCTGCCGATCGTGAACAGAGATTCGGTACTTTCCTGAGGATACTACACGCATCCGGTCTCGAGGATACCCTTGCTGGTAATTAATGCATTTGTTTAAACAATTTTAAACTAAAAAGTACAAATTGTGCAACTTTTCATCTCTGTAAACGAACAATTTCGTTAAATGCGCAATTATCCCGATAATTAGTGATTTTGAAAGAAAATTGAATAAGAAATTTTTTGTAGAGAATTTAATTTTCTACAAAAAAGGTCCTGGGGTATTTTATCCTAAGATCGACAGCTATGAAGATATTTGAAAAAATAAGGAAAAGGATTTGAGTCGAGCGTGAAAAAATCTCACAATTAATGATTTAACAGAAAAAAATATCGATAAATTTAAGAATTTTTTTTCTGTTCATATTACCTGAAATAATGTGAACTAATGCTGCCATCAAAATAAATTACAGAGTTTTGTTAACAAGTGGAGCAACGAATCCTAATTGCAGAATCTGTGGCAATCTAATAATAATGGAGAAAAAAAAGATTAAATTGTGTTATAAAACGTATTTTAATGACTGATGAGCATCAGAGTGAAAGTGGAACAGTTGAAACATTTCAAAGATCCACTAAAATGGATTACAATTGTATTTCTTTTTTGATTAGCAAATGAATCTGGAGTGTTTGGTCGACATTTGAGGAATAAATTCCCTCAAATTTCCTTTTAATCTTGTGAATTAACGTGACGCGAGGGCGGAATTTCATTCAGGTGGGCTTTCCGGGATATTATATGTGCCTTCCTACTGTGTATTCATGTTATATAAAGTGGAGGGGGAGATTAAATCGTGAGAAAGGATGCGGGAATTACTTATTCGTTCTTCTTTCTTCAATTAAAGAGAAGATTTTTTGAAATGTTTATTTTGGGAGAAAGTGTTGAGAGACTTTTTTTGAGAGATTTAATTTTTTGTAAGGAATAGGATTCGTGTGAAATGGTTCAGAAATATTTAGACACCCGTGGACTCGCCCAAATCGAAGCAAATGCGTTAAAAAAATGATTACATTATACGACTCTTTGAAAATCGGTTCAATTCAATTTTTACTATCGGCCAGTTTTCAATATTTCGGAATCCGAGATGATGATTTTGTTAGAACCTTTTTTGTACCTCCCATTTCGATTTTGGTGAAAGTCGACTTTCCCCCTGGAAAAACAGAAAATCTGACCCTTTGAAAATCTGGAAAAAAAAACTTTTTCAGTTTTCACTTTTTCCACATACTTTTGAGAGTTCTGAAGAGCCCGTCGTTTGAATAGTTGGAATCAACGTTCACCCGGCTAAAAAATTCAAATTTGGCGAAAGTCGACTTTCCCCCTGGAAANGAATAGTTGGAATCAACGTTCACCCGGCTAGAAAATTCAATTTTGGCGAAAGTCGACTTTCCCCCTGGAAAAATCCAAGATCTGACACTTTGGCCCCCGGTGAAAAATTTGTTTTTTCAATTTTCACTTTTTCCACATACTTTTGAGAGTTCTGAATAGCCCGTCGTTTGAATAAAAAAAAAAAATTCAAATTTGGCGAAAGTCGACTTTCCCCCTGGAAAAATCCAAGATCTGACACTTTGGCCCCCGGTGAAAAATTTGTTTTTTCAATTTTCACTTTTTCCACATACTTTTGAGAGTTCTGAAGAGCCCGTCGTTTGAATAGTTGGAATCAACGTTCACCCGGCTAAAAAATTCAAATTTGGCGAAAGTCGACTTTCCCCCTGGAAAAATCCAAGATCTGACACTTTGGCCCCCGGTGAAAAATTTGTTTTTTCAATTTTCACTTTTTCCACATACTTTTGAGAGTTCTGAAGAGCCCGTCGTTTGAATAGTTGGAATCAACGTTCACCCGGCTAAAAAATTCGATTTTGACGAAAGTCGACTTTCCTTCTGGAAAAACCGAAAATCTGACCCTTTGACTCCGGGTGAAAAAAAAATTTCTTATTTCAGCATTTGTCGCGCCTCCGGGGGTTTCATTGGCATAAAAATCGTTAGAAAATGCACAATCAACCTTCACTTGGCGAAAAAATTCATCCTGACCCTTGATCCACGTGAAAATGAAAATTTGTTTTTCGTCTTTTCTGTCACCTCCGAAGGTTTTATTGGCATCAGGGGGTCAATAAATACAGAATGTATTTATTGACAGCGCGACAAATAACCGACGGTGAGAAATTTATCCATTGACAAATTTTCCACCGACAATTTTCCCCATATCCTGAATTCCCGAGGTACGAAATACCACCGACAAATTTTCCGGAAATTTCATGGAAATTTCATCCTGTTCCGAAGCAAAAAATAACTAAAAAAGAAAAAAATAACTCCGAATTCATACATAACATTTAATTCGTAATTTTCAATTCGATAACTCACATTTTACATACACTTGCAATGCTTCTGCCACTCCAGCAAACAAATTCCCCTCAATTCACAGAAGTACGCTATTATCATTAATTAATAAATATACATTGCAACCAGTAACTGACATTGAATCAACATATAATTACAAACAATACGGCATTAAATTTCAAATCGTTGAAGCATTCGCTCTGCTTCACTTTCAAACTACATGGTGAACATACCAAAAACATCGTCACAACAGCTTCTACAGCCTCAAAATGGCTACAAAACGTTTCAAATAATTCAATTTGTCATTAGAATTGTAAGAAGATACAAGGTTCTTAAGACGAAAAGAGAGGGGGTCATCGGGAATCCTCGCTAATTACTGTTTATCATTCGAAATTGTAAAGACATGAAATATCGGATAATTTCGCGACGGATATAATGTACCAAGGATAAATTGTCTGCAGAATCGATGTCAATAATTCAATTGTCGCTGGAGAAATTGTCTTCAGTTTTCTTTTCATTTGAGAATTTTGACGCGGACATTTTTTCCGCAGATCATAAAGCGTGTTACCCGAATTAAAGGCTACAACAAATATCATTACGAAAATTTCGCTATCTCCCTTAGATTCTGAGATATTCTTCAAAAACTCAGTTGAGATTTAAGGATAATCAGGCGAGGAGGAAATGTAGGAGCTGCGGCGGAGGGGTTTCTATTGTTTTCCTGCAGAAAACCAATCGCTGAGCAAAAAAATTTTTCCCATTCGGATTCAAAATTCAGGCAATATTAGGAAGTATCTCCGGTTAAAAATTATTTTTGGAGCTAATCAAATTTATTTGTATCTGTTCCACGCATTGAATGATTTTCAGATTGTTTTTTTTTTAATAAATGAAAAAATATTAATCCATGCGAAAAAGTGGCAACATCGTCGGTAGTTTTTTTTTCACCAGAAGCTGGTACCACTGGCTCGAGGGAGCTCCAATCACAACGCTTCATCGCTCTCTCTCAAGAGACGTTTAAATTGACCGCGCCAACCCCACCCGATCGGTACTTGGGACGTTGCTGCTCGTTTGGGCTGCGTGCGCAGAAATTTCATTTTTCAGTACTTTTTTCGCTATTATTAATAAACAATGCTCCTAGGCGACAATCTTTTTCACTCAAAAAATCATTGATCACATGTTCTAAATGTGTCTAAAGTTTCATGACTTTGGCTGCATTTTTTCCTTGGGTTTTGCAGTTTTGTTGGTGATTTCCATAAGATCACGGGTTGAATGACCACTTTTTCAAAAATTCATAATAAATTAACCATCCTCCCCAGCACTCTGAAACTTTGCACACGCCTTTTCCATCATTTAAAGAATACGTAAAAAAAAGAAAAAAATCGCTGCTTTTTTCCAACCCTCCCAGCTCGCCCGATTATCCTTAAATCGGCTTTAACTGTTTTACGCTTTCGCTGCGGAAATAAATGAATGAATCAAAATTTTTATGACAAAAAAAATCAACGTCTGTTCTTCAGGTACGAAGACATTCACAGTATTTGCCCCAACGGACGCTGCGTTCACCGCGGCAACATCGAATTCCGGGCGACCAGTGTGGACCGAGGGCGATGGTCCAGAAATTGCAAAAAACATAATTTCACGGCATATAATACCAACAACTATGTACACAGCCGGCATGAGGTTTTACCACCAGAAGGACACACTCAGGCCCCAGTTTACACTGAGAATCCAGAAAAATGGAGGTCAGTAATTGATTTTTTATTACATACGAGTGAATTTATTCCCGTGACTTTCGAAAATTAACGCGAAAGAGAGAGGAGCAGCCGTGGGCTGGGAATTTCGTCGAAAGTTATCGTTTCGAAATGACTTTGGTGATGGTCATAATGACCCTCTTGCCCCAGTAAAATAATCTTCTGTTATTCGAACTCCTCTCACCGCTCATCTAACTCTGATTCATCGTTTTTTCTAGGTTTTCGATTTTCGTATTCACTGATCATGCGATTATCACGAGAACTATTGGCTTTAGGGAGAAATGTCATACGACATTTTTACGGAGAATTAAATTCTCTGCAAAAAAGGTCTTGACACATTTTTTCGTAAATCCACTCGTTTCGGAAATAATCACGATTTGAAGTTGAATAGAAGATAATTAAAATTATTGCGGCTGTTCTCACCAGTCTCTAACAATCACTCACTACTTTTCTCGTTCGCTATTATTACAGAATATTTGAAAATACGAAAATCAAGTCTTCAATGTTGTTTTCTAATTTTTATCAGTCACTGCTCTGATTGAGGTGAAGTATGACGCAGTTGTTGCCAGAAACTGAAAATAGCAGAAGAAATATAAAAATAGTATTTTCATCACGCTGTGACGAAAAGTGAACTTTTCGGCACGCTCCGCGTGCCTAAAATTCCAATTTCCGCCACATTGTGATGAAAAATATTGTTCGTAACTCGTGAAAAAATGTTTTTTGCACTCGTTACGAAATATATTAATTTTGTCACTGCTGTTACGTTCAGCCCGTGCCGAAAAGTGCCTTTTCTTTTACTAGTAAACGAAAAGTCAAAACTTGTAAACGAAAAGACTTTTGGTTTACTAGTAAACGAAAAGTTCGGCACTCGCTGAACGTAACATCACTAACAAAAAATATAGTTCGGATACACGTGCGACGGGATGTTTTAATTCGTGTGATTGGCAGCCCTCGGCTTCGCCTCGGGCCGCCAACTTCACACTCGTTACCACCCCGTCGCATTTGCATCGAAATATACTATTCCGCACTCGTAACGAAATATACTATTTCATCACGCTGTGTGAAAAAGTAACTTTTTAGGCACGCTTCGTCCCTTTTCCACACATTGTGATGAAAATTATCGTTCGATACTCGTGGGAAAAGTGTTTTTTGGCTCGTGGAATTATATCCCTCGCCTTCGGCTCGTGCTATACCTAAACCTCCCACAAGTCAAAAAACTCTTTTCCGCACTCGTAACAAAATATACTATTTTCCGGGGTGCTGCGATAGGGTTTTTTACTCATGCGACGTTGGCTTCCGAGCCGAAGGCGAGGACTGGCCAACCACACGAGTAAAAAAACCCCATCGCAACGGCCCGGGACAAGATTTTTTGTAGTGATTTTCACGTTTTCGAGTTTGGGAAGTATCAATACCAATTCCCAGACGAGAAATCGTGAGAAGCCGTACAGAAAAGAAATTCGCAGTTTATTTTTATTTTTTTTTATCCGCCGATGACTCACCGACATGTAATTTTCCATCAAAAGAGGATTTAAATTACCGACAAGTAGTCGAGGGGGTAAATTGCTCCTGAATAAAATGAGTCCTATTGTTTTCTGATGTTTGGCATCTAGAATTTCCCAGCTACTGGAATAAGCCGCTTTCCCCACTGCCAATGTCTATCAATAATAAAAAATCAATTGAGAGATTTACAAATTTATCTGCTTTACAAAATTTACTTCTTGTGCAAGTAGATCCCCAGGAAGATAATAAAATAGTAACTGCTGGGCGTAATAAACAGCGAGGACCAAAAATAGAAGTACAGTGGTCGAGTCAGTAGTTGCCTATGAGAAAAAAAATCAGTTTAGTTTTTTCAATGTTCTTAAAATTTTTTATTATTTTTTTGTGGGGATGTATTCAGACGCACTTACACTAGTTATTGTCAACCCAGCGCAGCAAATGGCGATAACAGCTGCCAGGAACAATAGCAAGACGATATAAGTGAAGGCCGTGTTTATCAAAATGACATCACTGCAATTTTTTGATTGAAGAATAATTCGGGATTCAGAAATTGTTGATTATCTCAGTAACTATTGGTTCTAGGGCAAAATATCATAAGATCTTTTTTAACCTCTCACGTACGGCGTTGATACCATGCATTGACCCATCAGCTTTTCCTATCGGCCGGGATTAATGCATGCCCTAATGAATCGACCCCAGAGTTGACTCTGGGTTTGATTCATCAGGGTGGTATCGATCCTTTCCGTCAACAGTAAAAAATCATTTTCTCGAATTCTAAGAGACATATTGACATTGGAAAAAGATATTTGGAGAATCAATGGAATTGTCTCAGTAGTGAACTTCTTTTTTTAATGCATTTATAATATTTTTTTCTATGAACAAAAATTGTAGATGAAAATTTTACCGAACCAATTCAATCATATTAAATCATCTCCTTTATCGACAAAATTTCGCCCAAAAATTTGAAATTTTTACTGAAAATAAGGATTTGAGTTAACACAAGGGTCAAACCGGAGAGAATCGTGGAGACAAAGTCAATGGCATCTATCTATCCATTACTATCTATTGAGCTCCATTGAATTCTCCAATTATTCAGGACTTTACATTATCATTTGGAGTCCTAAAAAGGTCCAGCCGAGCCTGAGAAGATCAATTTTATTTTGAAGAGCCCAAAAAAAATACCAAAAACAATTGAATTAGTTCTATGAGTTGAGAATGTTCCACTGAATCTTGGGAGAAGCCTTAACTTAATCCGTAGAGACATGAATTAATATGACGATATGAGATGCTAACGTGAGGAATTCAATAAAGATCAATAAATAATGAGATTGACCCTCGTAAAATTCACCCCCTACGAGGTAAGACCCTCGCGAAATATGATCCTTGCGATGTTTGGCCCTCGCCTGGTATGAACCGCGTGGCCTGTGATTCCCTAATACGTAGTACCTTCTTATGCCCCCCCCCCCCAGCGACTCTTGAGGATTCCATACATTGGCAATTGGTGTTCCGCCGGCCCTACCTAACATGCGTCTGATCTATAACAGTGTCTTAAAGTAGTATGGTCACTCTCCAAAGTGATCGTTGAGTGTCCGTCAAGAAAATCTAAAAAAATTAATCAAAAGACTATGATTTATAATTGAAAATTCTCTTTGTGAATTATAAGATTTATGAATATAAGAATTAATCGATTATTTTTATTATTTTTCACTTATTAGTCAAATAATGTACCTCCTTTGACTAGCGTCGTTTTATGTGTGGCAACGCTGTAACTTAACAGCGTAGGGAAAACGAGATTTGAAATGCCCGCTTGTCTCCACTCCACTAATGCGTCGTTGCCGCATCTACTCGACACGCAATTTCCGAACACCGAGGAGCAGAAATTATTTATAACTAAAGTCCCAAACGGTCAATAATTTTCATCGATGGTCGTAAATTTTTGTTTTTTTCCCCCATTTTTTGGTATTTTTTTTTATAATTTAATCTTGGATTTATCATAAAAACCACCCAAAAATGTGACTTGCCTATAAGACTCTGTGTTAAAATCTAGTTTTTCATTAATTCTTATCAACCATACTAAACGATCAATGTACCACAAATTGCAACAGGAGGTTTTTATTGATATTAACTTTTATAAAAAAATTATTTCATATTTTAATCTTGGAAATCGAACCGTGACCATACTACTTTAACGACACCGGAGTTTTATGACATTTTTCCCTAGAGCATTTCATTTCCGAGATAATGTCAAGCGAACGTAAAGACAGGAATCATTTACTCAAGAACATCAGCATGAAGTTCCACAATTCCAGAAATGACCCACTGCACCTCGTGCCGGAACTTTCTTTTAAAATTCCTCACCGAAATGTTCCTCAACTTGTCCTGAATGACCTTAAGCCTGGCGCAGCAATGACAGATGTACCAGACATAAGTGAATTCAGTTGAGCACGCGCAGGCTAGAACAGAAGTCAAAATCACTTGATGAAGATATGAAAATGTATATCCCAAGGTCGAATTCCGCCAGTTCCAGGGGTAATAAGCGAGAAAGGGAAGCTCGTGAGTGGTCCGCATCAGCGGAATGCTGAAGTACCCAATGATCAAAATCAATATTGATCCGAAGACAGATGTAGACGCCATGTTTCCGTACTTCATGTACGTCCGGAGGTAATTGTACTCCTCACTGTTTGGATTGTTCAGACAGGCCTCGAGGCTTGTCGAGAGCTTCCTCAGGGAGCATTTGTTGTATCTGTAGATGCAGATCTTGCCGAAGGCTATGAACAACGACATCTGAAAATTTAGAGAGAGGTGGAGATAGTGCCTTACACTGAGATTATCTTGACAAGGAGTAGATGTGGAGAAAAACACCATCTAAACTTTTTATAGAGAATTAAATTCTCCACAACAATGTCTTTTGGCATTTTCTTGTAAAATCAATGGTTCAACAGATAGAGCCCGAAGAAGGTGATGTTAACATCAATCACTTGGAGAAGACTAACTTTTAGATTTTCTAGATTATTTCGGCAACGGTTGAATCTAGAGAAAAACGTCATTGAAACTTTTTATAGGGAGTTAAATTCCCCACAAAAAAGCCTTATGACATTTTCTCGTTAACTCAATGAGCTTCAAGATAATCCACTCCAAAAATTACTCGAAACTGAACACCGGAGGATTACGAACCATAGGTCCTATGCTTTCAGCAGCAGCGACAAAGTTTTCACACCTGATATAACACTTCACCATCATGCTGAGGCCCTGCTGCAGTGCCATCACCCCCACAACAATTAGATGCCCATAATCAAATATTTTATTCATAAAACTCTCAACCCTCAACAAAGGCCAGAGGGCGAGAATTCTCAAGCAATAGCTCGTCAAATTCCAGTGGAATTTCAAATTATTTTTCCCACCCATTTGTCATGAAATTAAACACTTTTTCACCATCAAAACACAAGTGATGGTTGCGTCGAAGAGTCTGACACTCAAATGAGAGAATTTTTTTCCTCCCCGAGGAGAAGTCATTAATATTACTAGCGACTAATTAACCGATCGATGACTGATTGCAGTCATTTCTGCTGTTCAAAGACCAATTGTCCGAGTAATAATACATTGCTGAAGGGAAAAAATGCTTTTCTTTGCGCTACAGGAAATTGATGTCATTAAGTTATTATTGATACGTTTATCTAGGGATGCTATAACGCAGGCAAATGGTACCGATTGTGTCAGTTCCCATCGGAATTATTTATTCTTTGCTAGTGGTGATTCATGTCAGAGGATGCGGAAGGATAATTATTGGCGATGAAGAAGATGCCTTAAATTCTATTGAACTTTTAGTAAAAATTTTCATAGTTTCAGACCATTTTTTTACAAAAAATGTCGAATAAAAACGACTCTTCTTATTATAGTCTATTAAAAAATAAAAAATAGGTGAACTATTTTTGGTCGGCAATCTATTTCGCCAAGCATCTGACTTGAGAATACTAAAGGTTATCTTAGCTTATAAATAAATAAAAAGATAAATGAATGAATCTCTAGATTATAAAAATCCAAATCGATTTCTAGTGATGAAAATTTGGTAATCGAAATTAAGACTATAAAATTAAGGATCACAAGGGTCAGAATAAGGGTCATGGGTGTCAAAATAAGGGTCACGAGAGTCAGAATAAGCGTTACGAGAGTCAAAATAAGGGTCACAAGGGTCAGATTAATGGTCATGAGGGTGTGAATAAGGGTTACAATAATTCAGAATAATGGTCCAAATAAGGGTCATAGGAGTTAGATTAAGGATCATGTGGGTCACATTAAGGGTCACAAGGTTCAGAATAAGGATCATGGAAGCCATATGTGAGTCATATGGGCGTCAGTGAGCAGAGCGAATCTCCTGATCCTTATTAGGACTCTTAGTCTGACCCTTGTGACCCTTAATCAGACCCGCGTGACCTTTACTTTGACCCTTGTGACCCTTAATTTCGGAGTCTTAATTTCGTGTACCAAATTTTTATCACCGGCAGTCGATTTGGATTTTTATAATACAGAGAGACCTATGTGATAGCTAAGCTATGCAGGAAAGATGAACGGGGAAAATACAGTTGAAAAATTCGAATATTCAAATTTTTAAGAAAGTTGAACCTTTAGATATAATATAAATACTTATGGAATTGTTATGAACAATAAATTTATATGTACACTGAAAAAACAGAAGAATAACGTTTTAGAAGGCGAAAACAAAACAAAAAAAAGTGAATTTCACCAGTGGACAGTTTATTCCAAAGATTTTCATTTCCACATTTCGAAAATGAGACCGATTTCACTATTGGACGCACCTCATTTCATAAACCGAAATTCATAAACATAAATTTTTAAAGATCATTTTTCAGTTTTCCTCAAAACTAAACATAATAAAAATGGACATTAACACCTTTTTAATGAATAAATTAATACATAATGATGGAAATAATATGTATGAATCACTAGCCAATCATGTGCGTACGAAGCGCGCTCCCTTTTCTAGTCGATAGAAAAAATCAGTAGAATTCCAGCTTTCTATACAACTTTTTCTGTTGAGATATTTTCTGTAGGCATTTTTCGACATGAATTCCCCTATTTTTCTTCTCTATTCACTAAGTAAATTAAACAAAAAGACTGAGAATATTTGAATTCGAATTCTATTGACTTTCTCTACGGAAATATTTCTACGGAATATTTCTTTCTCTACGGAATATTTTTCGAAAACAAATAGAAATTTCAATCGCAATCCCACAGAATTTTCTATGCATGCGCCAGGTTTTGTCCAAAATTCTCTTGTGCGAAAATGCAAGACTACACGCATGAAAACATTTAATAGAAAAACTTGGCGAATTCGTTAGAAAATTATATCTGATTTCTATTGAACTTTCTGGTAGTTTTTGGTCAAAAAATTTTCTTTATAACTTATTCTTTTCAGACATTTTCTATAGAATTTCCTCGGCTCAAACTTTCTTAGTTTTCTTCTTTCTATTTTTCTTTTCATCTCACCAAGAAAATCAAACAAAAAAACAGAAAATTTGAGCCGACGAAATTCTATAGGAAATATCTCAATAGAATAAGTTATATAGCAAAATGGAATTCTATTGACTTTTTCTATTGAATATTTCGTATTGAACTCTTCAATAGAATCGGTCAAAAACTAATAGAACGTTCAATAGAAATCCAATAGAATTCTCCAACGAATTCGCTAGGTTTTTCTATTTAAATTTTTTCCTCCGTGTAAAAATTAAAAAAATCAATTAATTTCTGTTTCAGGTCGTGTTAAAGTGAACGAAGCTCAGATATTAACCCACAATATTCCAGCAACCAACGGTGTGATCCACGCAATCGACTCAATGCTCTAATGACCATTGAAATTCTTTTAAAAAATTCACCCGAAAAATCGAAAACAAGACATTTGAAAAAAATTACGTTTCAAAAAATGTGAAAATGTTTGACGATGAATGCCATAAAGTCGAGTGTAGGGGGTTCGGAGAACGTAAGTAAAGCTCCACGTGTTCCCACAAGAAAATCAAAGTTCAAAAAATTTAAAGCAGGAAAATGTTGGAAATTCTGCATTTATGTCTTCATGCTATTAATTTATGTTTTTTTGACTGAGACACGTGGATAACTAGCTTTAGGGGAGCCGACGAATATACGAGGACTAATTTATGAGTAATCACTCCAAAAGGATTAAAAAAGGTAATGCACGAAGGAAAAAGTATTAACCCTCTTCAGCCCTATTTTTTCTAAACAATGAAAACGATAAATTTTCTGATGTATAGTGATGGTGATGTGTCTTTGATGGTTCTACCTGTTTAAGTTATCTGTCGAAGAGTATGTATTATTCCTAAATAAAGTGTACAGAATTTTTAAGACATTTTATTTCACTCTCCCCTTTAATCATAATAATCATAAAAACCAACAATTAGAGTTTCGATTTTTTCCTCTTGTTTCTTTGGTTATTCGATATGAGTTTCGGATAATTATTCTGCCGAATTTTGATTTTGTGCAATTATTTGGTTCCCAGAGCCTGACAAAGCTTTAAGGACATCAAAAGGCATTTTGAATGCGAAATTGAATTCTCTACAAAAAAGTGTTTAGTGACATTTTCCCTCAAATCCACTCATTACCGAGATAATTGACCTAATTGAATCCTTGTAAATTCAGATGTTGACAGAAAAATTTGGAGAGTAATTCTGGGAACGTCTTTTTTTAAATTTATGATCATCTGAACAAAAGGATGATTAAATAATTGACAGGAAAAAAAATTCAAATTTTTTTATAAAAAAAGAAACGCTTTTGTAAAAACATCTCAGAAGCGAACGATTTGAAAAAAAATGGCGGCAGACATTTATCGTAGCTTTTGAAATTCTCCACAAAAAAGCTAAAAATAATCGTGGATTCATCAAAAAACATAAATAAACTATTTCCTCTGAATTTTTAACGCAAATACTCATAACCTAGTTCATTTAATCTGTGAGAATTCGTAAAATCTGATATTTTATTCAGTAAAGTTGAAGTAAAGTTAACCTCATTGTTCTGTTCTGTTGTATTTTGTTCTGTTTGGTGGATATTCTCGAGGAAAAAGTGGTGATAGAAGATAAATAAATGTGATGAACAACAATTTAATGATGTGACGTGAAGGAACAGACGAGTGAAGTGGAAATTGTTGGGACAGTGAATTTTCTGTTTGGATTATGTCGAGTGAAAATATTGTTGAGAGGGAGGAGGGGGCGATTGATGAAGAGAGACATCAGGTGCAATTGACAGATGCCATTGGCGATTCGGAAATGTCACAATTGTTGAGGGAACAGAATCAATTGTTGATGAGACAGAAGTCACAACAGTTCGTGGAGGAGATTAATTTCAGGGAGATACAGACAGAAGAGGTTAGAATCTCGTTTTCTTCCAAGTTATTATTTTTTTTTGAGAAATTTCTCTTGTCACTGTCATTTCTAATTCTATCCACTTCCATTGAATGATGTTTAAATCCAATGAGGAATTTATTTTCCTCGATTTATCGAATTCAATTGTTTAAATCGGTCGTGAAGAGAAAAAGTGTGGGGATATTTTCGAGGATATCTCGGGAACTGTTGGATTTACAAAAAAATGTGAAATAATATTTTTTATTGGAAATTAAATTTTCCACACTAAATGTTTTCTGACATTTTTTCATCAATCTACTAATTTGCGAGATAATTCCGTAATTGGAACGGCATTGACTCGTGAGAAATCCAACAAGTTTCGAAATTTTATTCAATTCTGATTTAATGATGTTGGTTAATTATTTAGGTAGTTGGTAAGGGTTCCTTCGGGGTAGTCTACAAAGCCAAATGGCGGGGAAGATATGTTGCTGTGAAGCACATAAATACAGAGGGAGAGAGAAGAGCATTTGCTGTGGAAGTGCGACAATTGTCCAGGGTCTCACATCCGAATATCGTGAGGCTTTATGGAGCCTGCACGACTGATCCAGTTTGTCTAGTCATGGAATATGCAGAGGGAGGATCTCTCTACAATGGTCATTTGATTTTTAACAATTAAACAATTCTTCACATCTCAGAAATTCATTTTATCAATCACGAAAAGTTGAAATTAATGAGGTCGAGATGAATCTTCTGAGTTTTTCGTGAATATCTCGTGAATTATTGGGTTTACAGGAAAACGTCATAAAACATTTTTCGTAGAAAATTGAATTCCCTACGAAAAAGGTCATTACATATTTTCTCCTAAACCCAAGCGTTTCTGAGATATTTCCGAAATACTCTTGTCATTTTTTTTTATTTCTATGAATTCATGGCTTAATTTTCGATTTTTACTTTTAGTTCTGCATTGCGAACCCAAACCACATTACACTGCAGGTCACGCCATAAGTTGGGCACTACAATGTGCAAAAGGAGTTCAATACCTCCATAGTATGAAGCCAAAACCACTGATTCACAGGTAATAAACAGTGAAATAATTTTCGAACTCCCCAAAAGTGATTAGGAATCCTGAAAAATTGATCTTTAAAAATTTGTGGGGTCTCTACGACCACCCCAGGGTCTTTCTGAATGCTTTCAGTTTTTTCTTGAGCCTATGACCCCTAAAATAACTCACTCCAATTATAAAATTTGAATTAATCCATTCATTTAATTTAATTAATTCCCCAGGGACCTGAAGCCCCCGAATTTACTCTTAATCCTGGGAGGCAGGACATTAAAAATCTGTGACTTTGGTACTGCCTGTGACCTGAACACCTACATGACGAACAATAAGGGCTCAGCAGCGTGGATGGCCCCAGAAGTGTTCGAGGGCTCGAAGTACACAGAAAAGTGTGACATATTCAGTTGGGGTGTCATCCTGTGGGAAGTATTAACGAGGAAAAAGCCTTTTGATGACATCGGAGGGTCTGCCTACAGGATCATGTGGGCAGTGCACATTGGACAGAGGCCACCACTCATTGAAGGCTGTCCTAAACCCATTGAGAACTTAATTACCAGGTTTTTAGATTTTTTGGATTAAATTACAGTTTAACTAAAATTTAGATTAAATTACATAATAGTAAAATTTTTAGTCTCCAATTCTCAATCTCTGTCATTTATTCTGTTCATTCTATCAAAAGAAAAGGACAGAAATCGAATTTATGGGTATTCTATTATTCGAAAAAATATATCGATTTTAAAACTTTCTGGAGACATTAAGAAATTCATTTTTTTAGTTCTTGCCACCCACTATTTTGCATTTTTTAATTTCTTCTCGCTGAAATATTGATATCCCTCTGATACACTGAGAGAAAAAATATATTTTTGCCAAATATCCATTTCCTTGAGAGAAGTATTTATTTTTCCGATGTATTTATTTCTCCAGTCGAGTCACTCCCAGGCAATCCTCATTAGGTGTCAATTATGACAATTATATTGCTCCAGAAGATGAGCATATTAATTGTGGACTTGAATGCACTCCCTCAATAATTATCAACGTTCAAAAATTGATCGCAATACTTTCCTCTAGAAAATAAGAAATTTAGGAAAAATGAATAATCATTGGAGGAGTTGATCCAAGATCAAATGCAACATGGTCATTCTCTAAAGCAACGTGATTGTCATAATGACTCAACAGAAGAAGTACGATTTTTAAAAAATGGATACTTCTCTCAAGTAAAGGAATTTGGCATAAATCATTGATTTTTCTCAGTGTACTTGAAAAAAAAAGTGATTCGAAGTTGCCACCGACGTAAAAGTAGAAAAAAAATCCATTTTCTAGCCGATTATCCCTTTATGGTTGTTTTTTCATTTCCTTTTCATAATAATAATTAAAATCCGACCATAGGAATGCGGAGTACCGATATCCTTTTACCATATACTGGGAAAAATAGATTTGAAAAATTTTCAGGAATACATGAAGAGATTTTTCTTTTACCCGAATGAGATTTCGAATGACTTCTGTTTTGTGTGTTTGTTTTGATCACGAAAAAACAGTTTTCCTTGATCTTTAACATAATTCCTCTTCATTCAATACTGTAACTTGGGAATTAAGGAAAAAATATATATATATCTCTCTACATTATAAAAATTCAAATCGACTTCTGCTGATAACAATTTAGCACTCGAAATTATGACTTCAAAATAAAAGTTCACAAGGCTCAAAATAAGGGTCAGAAGAAGGGTCACGAGATTAAGGGTCACGGGGGTCAGAATAAAAGTCGCAAGGTAAAGGGTTACAAGGGTTAAATTATGACGCTAAAAAAATTAAGGTTCACGAGGGTCAAAATAACGGTCAGCAGAGTCAGAATCAGGGTTATGAGGTTCAGAATAATGGTCACGAGGGTCAGATTAAGGGTCATGAGGGTCAAAATAACAAGGGTCACAGGGGTTAGATTATGGATCGCAAGCGTCAGATTAAGGGTCACAGGGCTCAGATTAAGGGTCATGAGGGTCAAAATAAGGATCACAAGGGTTAGATTATGACTTCAAAATTAAGGTTCACAAAGTTCAAAATAAGGGCCACGAAGGTCAAAATATAAAGGGTCGCAAGCGTCAGATTAAGGGCCGTGAGGGTCAGATTAAGGGTCATGAGGGGTAAAATGAAGGTTACGAGGGTCAGATTAAGGGTCACAAGGGTCAGAATAAGGAATATGGGCGTCATATGGGTGTTGGCGAGCGGAGCGAGCAAAAAAATTTCTTGCGACATTTTCCTCCAAGAGATATTCACGTAATTGAATCCTCCTAAATTCAGGTGTTGGCAGAAAAATCCTGAGGGACGTCCTGGGATGGAGGAAATAGTTACAGTAATGACCCACTTATCAGAATTCTTCAGTGGGGAGTTGGAGCCAGTGGAGTACATGCGAAGTAATCATTAAAATCCCCCTCTACCCCCAAAATCAAGAAAATTTACGCATTTATCCATGAATTTTGTCTAGGTATGAGTGAGGAATTCGAGGAAGACATGTCCAACGAAGACGACACGATAGACATGACGTGGAACGAATCGAGTCAATTGGACAGGGACACAAACATCCCTGGGGATGAGAATGTCCATGAGACCCTAGGGGGAGAGTCGAAGGACGAATCAGGAAAAAGAGAAAGTTACAGTTCTGATTTTCGTGAGTCCCCAAGGGTTTTTGCGAACGACGAGGAGCTGGAGGGCTCGACTGTTCGAGTAACATCACGACCTCCAGTGGCTCCAGCCAGGTCTGGGGGACTCTCCAGGATGGAGGGACAGGGGTTCAAACCCCTTCACATCGATTGCGATCCGGTAATTAATTCTTTTGATTCATTCATTATTGCCATCTCCCTGTTTCATTATTTTAAATTTTGTCTATTTTATTTGATTTAATTTTATTCTTATTCTTATTTTTGCTCTTAATTTATTCCTATTTTGTTTTATTTCTTAAAATTTGTTTTGCGAATGAATCCAACAGTTTTTGAGATTTTGGAATTTTTGTTTTGTTTCACGAACTTCTTTTGTGATGTTTAGGGCTCTTGGGAGCTGCAGAACATGGCAGGACTCGATAGAATGGGACTGAAGGCTAAGAAAAATAATGAGAAAATACCTGGTGAGTGAATATAATTGTCAATACTATAATTCTTCTTCCAATCTCGCGTTTTTTGTATTTTCTACATTTTTAGAAAAATTAATAAGAATTAATTATTCATTTTCTCTGATGACGCGAGATTCTAGGCAAGTGCGACAATGAATAATGACTCATTGCAACGTAATAATAACCCCTTCCCCGAATTTAAAACCAGAAAATAAACTCCCTGAATCGAATTCAGTGGTATTTTCCCAGAAATCGGACGAAAAAAAAAATTTATTGCCTGAAAAGAATTATTTCTCCACGTGGAGTATCAGTAAAAAAGGTTGATCTCGGTATTATCAACACGTTGCCATGTATATCCCTCGAGCTTACGTGAACGACGCAACGGAAGGCTGTAATTCCCCTCCCAATGGTCTTCGGGGTGGAGTAAAATTTATTTTGAGTACGAGAAAAAAGCCTCTGCGATGTGAAACTCTGACTCACGGGCAAAACTCGGACAGTCCCAGCCAGACAACGATGCCAGAGGTCCCGAGAGTCATCGTTTCAATCTGTCAACAAAAAAAAAGAGTATAATCTCGTTTGTTGTTGAGATTGATTCGTGTGAATCACTGGTTTTGGATTCATACTATGGAGGTATTGAACTCCTTTTCCACATTGTAGTGCCCAACTTATGGCATGACCTACGGTGTAATGTGGTTTGGGTTCGCAATGCAGAACTAAAAATAAAAATCGAAAATTAAGCGATGAATTCTTTGAAATAAAAAAAATGACAAGAGTATTTCGGAAATATCTCAGAAACGCTTGGGTTTAGGAGAAAATATGTAATGACCTTTTTCGTAGGGAATTCAATTTTCTACAAAAAATGTTCTATGACGTTTTCTGCTAAACCCAATAATTCACGAGATATTCACGAAAAACTCAGAAGATTCATTTCGACCTCATTAATTTCAACTTTTCGTGGTTGATAAAATGAATTTCTGAGATGTGAAGAATTGTTTAATTGTTAAAAATCAAATGACCATTGTAGAGAGATCCTCCCTCTGCATATTCCATGACTAGACAAACTGGATCAGTCGTGCAGACTCCATAAGGCCTCACGATATTCGGATGTGAGACCCTGGACAATTGTCGCACTTCTACACCAGATGCCCTGCTCTCTCCCTCTGTATTTATGTGCTTCACAACAACTTATCTTCCCCGCCATTTGGCTTTGTAGACTACCCTGAAGGAGCCCTCACCAATTATCTGAATAATTAACCCACATAATTAAAACAGAATTTAATAAAATTTCGAAATTGTTGGATTTCTCACGAGTCATTGCCATTTCAATTACGCAATTATCTCGCAAATTAGTGAATTTATGAAAAAATGTCAGTCAACATTTAGTGTGGGAAATTTAATTTCCAATAAAAAATATTATCTGACATTTTTTTGTAAATCCAATAGTCCCCGAGATATCCTCGAAAATATCTCCAAACTTTTTCTCTTCACGACTGATTTAAACATTTGCATTCGATAAATCGAGGAAAATAAATTCCTCATTGGAGTTGAACTTTTATTATTACCGAATCATCTCCCCTTGGTACTGCGAATTTTCCTGGGAATGGAGGGGGAGATGATTTTGCCTCTCGACAGCAGGTGTGGCTGAGTCAGCCTCCCAGTTATAGCTGTGGGTTTGTTGTGTTTAAGACGAGAGTCCAATAGTGCTCGTGCGGGAGTCATTTTCACATCGCAATCACTGCGATAATTTTTATTCCTTGAAAAAAACGTGAAAAAACACCTCCAAATATTTTTTCAAAACTCTTCCAGGGGGAAAAATCGCGATTTCTCATCTTGGGGGCTGAGTTATTCCGTTTTTAATGCTGAAAAAACAGTTTTTATTATTTTTTTTTTTTTATGCGGAAAAATGAATCTGTAATGGATTAACGTGATAAATTGATGGTTACGAATGAGAAAATAGAAATGGTCAAGGGCTTTTAGACGTAAAATGGATGTGAGTGATTGAAAAAATTGAATTATGTCGCACTACAATACGAGAACGGTGATTCAGAGGAGGGAGGCCAGTGTCAGCAGATACTCATCAGGAGATACCGAGTATTTGGAGAAATTCTGGCTATTGTTAAGTTAGTTATCTAGATTTTAAAACATTTTTACACTATAAATTGCAATTCACGAATTGAAGGATATTTTTTCAATTATTCATATGCATTAAAATAAATTGTCTTTCTCCATTGTTCCAATGAAAATAGAGAGCAGTGCAAGTGCAGATGACCTGGAGGACGTGTACCATGTCCTGGACACGGAGTTGCGACCGTTAACTCCAGACAACAGTTGTCAAATATCAAAAGAGATATTCGAGGAGCACAAGCTCCTCGCGCAGGAATACCTGAAAATTCAGACTGAAATAGCCCTCGTGGGGCAGTACAGGAGCGACATGCTGAAGAGTTTGAGTCCTGATGCCTTGAAGGACCTGCAGGAGCTCAGGAAACTCGAGGACGAGAAGGTAAAAGATGGTATCATAGACGAAGCGGTAAAACAGTTCAAATCGATTTCAACTATTGGTCAGTTTTCGATGAATATCTCGGAATCTAAGCGAGATAGCAAAATTTTTGTTACGACCGTTTTCGTGCAGTGAATTGAGAGCTACAAAAAAGGTCATTACGAGAATTTCGTTATCTCCCTCAGATTCGGAGATATTTCTCAAAAACGCTTCGCTATTGAAGTATTAATCAAAACAGTAAATCTCCTTTTATTCAAGAAGAAATATTCTTTCAGGAATCGTTGGTAAAACTCTACAGGAACTTGAAACGACAGCTGGAGTTGATGAAGGGTCAGGGTAGGGTGACCCCGACGCCCCCGACAGGTCCAGGAAACCCGGCAGTTCCTGGTGACGACGGCTGGGTCTTCATACCTCGGCAGGAGCCATCGAGAATTTCCTGAGTTTGACTGATATTCATATTTCCCTCAATCACCAGACAATTATAAATGTAAAAACATCATTAATTATAAGCAATCCCATAATTCATTCGTGCAGAAATGGACACATGGCTTTGAAAAACCATAATAATCATGAATTTGAAATGTACAATGGTAATGATACTGATTATGAATTAATTTAAGATGGAGAGTAATTTATTTTGTCAATAAACATTGCATAATTATCCACCAGAACTTCATATAATTTCGGTAAATGTCGATTCCTCGATTTTAACTTCTCAACATTTCTTCCCCTTGCATTTTCCTTCCATTTTCGGCAATCAATTTTATTTGCAAAGAAAAAAGTACTAGTCAACCCTCAAGTTCGTTTAATAGTAATCTTTAGTGCGTGGGTATAACATTAATAGACAAATATTCTGGCCAGAATAATTTCCATTTGAAGAGATTAAGGCCTGGTTATCTCGATTGTTTTTCCATCTTCATAATGTAAAATATATCACAATTTCCATTGAATTTTACATCACGCAGAAGTCCCTAAAAATTATGAAATTAATGGTAATGATAATTTATGATTATGCCAATCTCTGATTCATTTTCACAATTCAAGCACAAGAGGTCAAAATTCAGCGTCGTCCTTAAATAAAAATAAAACTCAAAGTAAATCCAAGTCTAGTACTCTTCACTTTGTTAGAATTCAATTAGTTAGTTTGGAAGTTAATTCAACAAAAATCCCGATGTTGCCCTTCGACGCTTAGCAACGTCTCTGGACATAACAACAAAATAGAATCCTCAACGTTATTATTAATAACAAAGGAGCATTTTATTTTGTTAAGTTGAAGGGAAAAAGTTGGTGCTAGAATGAGTTTTAGAAAAGTAAAGACGGGTCAGCCATATTTTCTATTGCGTTAATTAAAACTAGATTGATTTCCCTTTGTCAATCAATCAATCTCCCCGCCTCGTGCTAATAATAGCTGTACCTCACCATTCAAGCGCAAGTTACGAACGCGAGTGAACGTGAAGTGCAACAAGTGTGAAATAAAAAACCAAATGAAAATGGACAATTCGCCAATGAAAAATCTTCCAGACACGTGTTTACGTGAGATATTCGACCGCGTCACCTCGATCAGGGACAAATTCACCCTGGACCTGGTGTGCAAACGTTGGAGGGACAACGGACGGAGATGCTGGTCGACAGTAACTAGAATTGACTCAAAGGATTGGGAAATCGACACCTGGAGGGTGATCCTGACGCGGGCTGGACACTTGACGCATCTCAAGCTGCATTTGGAGAAGTCGAGGGGTGAGGACTACCTCAAGGAAGTCAAAAAACACTGCACACGTCTCAAAGCACTCCGATGTGTCTTCGTGTTCGACGATGTCGAGGACATGCTTCCTTACGTCAACAGGATACTCCAGAGAAATCAGAATTTACGTTCTCTGAATTTTGATTGCAACGGTCTGACGAATTTCAGCATGAACTTCACCAAGTTTCTTCCCGATAAATTGGAGGAAATTGAGCTTCGATTCGCCTCGCCACATTTCATTCCGTCAACTGTCGTGAGTTGTAATGTAGCAAATGAGAGAGTTTTATTTCATTAAAGGAGTCGATTTATTTCAATGACAGGAACGGAAAGAAATTCATTCATGTCAGATAAAAGACCGAGTTGGTCGTTCATCTAAAATTATTTATTTAAATCTAAATTATTTATTTAAAATACCGAGACCGTAATCAATAGGGGAGGATGGGGTAAAATGGACGGTAGACTTTTTTAAAATTATTTATAACTCCGAAACAAATTTATCAATTGAGCTCAGTTTAGGCTCGCCAGCAAGAGAAAGAGTTGTTCTTTGTATTGACAAAAAAATTATTGAATTTTATCAACATTTCAACCCCTCATTAACATTTTAAAAAGTCAAAAGTGTCCGTTTTACCCCACCCTCCCCTACATCATTCAATTGTCACTCAATTCACACTTCAGGAGGAGGGAAGGGTTTATTCATTCATTCCAAGCATTCCATAATTCTAATTTGACTAAATGCCTGAATTATTGGGTCTTTGAATCAGTGTTTCGTATTAGGACGTGTTCTATATTCTGACGAAGTGTCGAAATATAAACAATTGACGGATTATATAAGACGCCATCTGGGCAGGCACAGACTAGATTCGAATTGGGAAGACACGTGCAAAATTCGTAACTCATTGTTATCAATCACAATTGTTGGGAATTATATCCTTTGAAGTTTAGAATGTTTCATTCTGTTGTAGACATGCTGGATTTTTTCGTTGATAAAAAATAATTGCTCAATGAACTTGTAGGTGTTCTCAAAGTTTCCGAATTTACGAGCCCTCACACTTCAGTGGATAAGTCTCAGTGACCATCAGCTAGATTATGTGAGGAATTTAGAGGAGTTGACATTGATAAAATGCAATATAACGGAATTCGGTGTTGAGAGACTGCTTAGGAGCAACAACAACCTGAAATATTTGAATATCGGTAAGATTTAAAAGGCCTCGAGAGTAAAAAAAAAAATTCGCCGTGAATTCTCAGCCAAAAGGGCGGTTTCAAGTCTTTCCTCCGTTGCTGATATCTTCCTAGAGACCCAGCAAAAAGGTGATTTGGACTATGGACGCCGCCATCTTGCATGGATACCTCTCCCTCTGGGTGAGTGGCTTTAAAGATGGCGGCGCCTCCACCTCGCATTTTTAAACATTTCTTAAAATTATTTATCTTCTTCAGATCACCCTCAACACGCTCAATCCAGTTCCTATAAAATGAACAATTTTTTAAAGTCATCGTTCAGATTTCTCCATCCCCTTTTGGCGGAGAATTCATGGCGCAAAGTATTCCTCGCGTTTCCGTAGTTTTTTTACTCTCGAGTCCTCCCACTTGTGCAAAAGAGCAATAGGGTAAACAGGCCAATAGCTGGACGTTAAGGAAATGTTGAACTTTGTTAAAGGATTTAGCATCGATGAAATAGCTGAATGAATAAAGAATTAGTTTTAGACCAAAAACAATAATTTAAAGTGGAAAAAACGAAGAGAAGAATATTCATGATCTATTGCGAATAAAGTGAAACGGATGATTAACGTTATTGTTTGGAGTATAACGAGCATTTTTAAAAAAGTTAAAATCGTACGAAATCTATGGCGCAAGGAGCATTTTGAAGGTAAAAACAAGAAAAAAATGAAGTTTTTCGTGATTGTACGGGGCAATCACCCTAGGCCTGTTCACCCTAGTTCTTCATCCTAGACATTCTTCCTCTTTATTTCTCCAGTCTCGATGAGGCTGAATCCTGCCTCGTTAATCTCCATCCAGCAGTTACCAAAACTGCAAGTCCTCGTGATCCAGTCAAGAGACTTCACCGACGTTCACTTGAGTGAGATGACACATCTCAAAGGCCTGTTCTGTCGTGCCTGCATCTCCATAACTGATCAAGGAATCCGAAATTTCTTCAGCTCCGCATCAAACATCAGGGAACTTCGCATTGAAAACTGCATTTTAGTCACAAAAAACGCGACTGTAACGAGTGCACGGAGGTACACAGAATTTTCTGGGAATTCCCTGAAGCTATCCATAGATCCGCTCTTCGTTGATGAATATTCAGAATCAGAGAGTGAAGACACTGAAAAATTCCAGGTCTTCTACGACAATTTTGAGACGTTTTGGAATGAGAATTGGGGTCGACAGCTGTTAGAATAAAAAAATTGAACAATACCATGAATTTTTACGAAAAATCGATAAATCGATTGTCATCAATGATAATTGGAGAGTTTTTCCATCAGAGGGACTATCCTCATTTGTTTTCCCGATGGATGTGAAATTAACAAGATGTCAAAATTCTTCTGAATAACAATTGATTCCTTCATAAGTGAAAAATGGAAAGTCATGGAGGTCGCATCATTTGCAAAAAAAAATAAAGATCAGCCGTTAATTTCCACTGGAATAAAAGTAAAGATGAAACAGCGGTAAAAAATAACACTTCTGTGGGATAAAAATTGAGTCAATAATTACAATTTCACTAGATCACTTACTGGATTGTTTTCGGATTAATCAGCCTCATGACTATTTTCCACTCGTCAACGATGGACAATCGGCTGATCTACGACGAGGATTGGTTACTCAATCAACAAAATGCTGAAGAAAATTACGCAGACATGTTCAACGAAAATACAATAGACATTTAAACATATCCAAGAAATATAGATTTATTGGGTCTTCAGCTCTCCCAAACATGTTAAAATATCTTCAACTGAATAAATCTACGATGTAAACTTACAGCTACGCATTCTCCCAAATTATTCAGCCGCAGAAGAGCTAACGAATTCCATCTGAATTATTTCCAAAAATGTCGAGAAACATTTCACCGCAAAACAATACAAAACATTCATAAAATTTCACTAATCAATTTCTCATCTTCACTCCTAATGGGACTAGTTATCAATCAATCATCATCATCTCAGGACTGAACGAATGAAAAAATCCCCGAAGAGATGCCTGAAGAAATACACCTAAAATTCTAAAGATCAGATCACGATAAATTGATCAAAATTTTCCTAAGAAAAACCGAAGTCTTTAATTTCCCAATTCCCTATAGATGACCGTTGCTCCCAGGTCTAATGCCACGTTCAGACTCTTCCCCATTTTCCCGAGGTAATTCTGATGCCTCTGACTCCGCCTGGAGCTGCGCCTGCCACATGTCGTGGTAAGTCCCCCCGAAGGATATCAACTCCTCGTGTTTTCCCCTCTCCACTATTTCCCCCTCCTTCAACACGAGGATTTCGTCTGCGTGGATGATAGTGGAGAGCCTGTGGGCGACTATAATCGTCGTTCTGTTCGCACATATGCGGTTCAATGCCGCCTGAATGTTGCGTTCTGTCTGAGTGTCCAATGCACTGGTCGCCTCGTCCAACAGAACGATCTTTGGGGCCTTCAGCATTGTCCGGGCTATCGCCACTCGTTGTTTCTCTCCTCCACTCAGACGAAGGCCTCTCTCTCCCACCTGGCGGTTCAACAACATTTTTCAAGCATGTCGTTACGTCTCATTATTAAAAACACTATTACCGATCGAATGAATCAAAACAAGCAGCGCGACAGAAGCCATTTGGCAGATCACATATAACTGCTACTCTCCACGTATTTTTTTTCTCCTATTTTCATTTCTACCAATTTCATTGCTAGTTAGTCCATATGCAATACCCCCTTCCCATGTGCACTAAAAGGGCGGAAGAAGATCACTGTGTTTTCTCGTTGTTTGGCTTGGAGAAACCAAATTTGTCAGTGTTTTTTATCTGAGACTGTGCATCCAAAAGTTATTGACAATTTAATTGTTTAAACCGAGTTTGCTTGAAACCTATTGGAGATACAGGAAAATAGTTCCAACAAAAAATGTTCCGTTTGTAAAACTGAACATATTTGCTTTTATCGATTTCTCCCGTATCTCGATTATTTTTCGAGATATCCGGGATTCAAATTCCCCGTGGAAATGCATGGGGCACAGTACCCCGCGACGTCCCACCCCGCCCCGCGTTTCCAAACTGAACGATTCGTTTAACCCTCAATATTCCGCTGAATAATTTGAATAAGAAAAAAATCCATCAGATGAAATATGTTTAACTCAACGAAAGCAAGATCTTTTATTCGAAGTATTTTTCTTCATGTCTCATAGTTGTCCCGCGAACTCGGTTTAAACAATTGGATTGTTAATAACTTTCAGATACACTGTCGGAGAGAAAAAACATCAACAGATTCGGTTTGTTCAAGCCAAACAACATGAAAAAAAACGATGATATTCTTCCGCCCTTTTAGTGCACACGGGAAGGGGGTATTGCGTATGGACTAAGTAGGCTTCCGAATGGATCCCAATATATGCTTTCCAAAAATATAACCATATATTCATGTTACATGGCTTTCTCAGTTATCCTGGTGTAAAAATGAGACGTGAAATATAGATGCGTTAATTTTTTTTTATCAAGAATTTTGGGTGAATTGTTCCATCTCAAAAACTATCAAATAGATCGACCTAAAATTTGATATAGAAATCTTCCTGGACAATTCTAACTAGAAGCCAAAGTTTCAAAGGGTTTCCCTGAATTTTACCCATGTCATAGTACGCAAAAGTGAATTCCGACCAAAAAAATGCAAAAACGAAGATATCTCGAAAGATTTCAATGGGATGGTATCTCAGTAGTGCCAATTGGCAGCCAGAATTGCATCTTTGCCTCAATAATTCTCGACTTATGGGAACAGTTCTGGACATATGAACACACATGTGCACGCACATCCAAACATTTTTTAAAAATACAATTTCTTTACGTTTCATGACATTTCTAGGCATTTTCGCCCAAAATTACGAAATCTAAAAAAATCACGATTACAACGCTTCCATTCTGAAGCAAAAAAAGAGAATGGATATCATTGTCATTTAAATCGGACAGGTAGTCTAATAACTCGTAGAAAATGAGTGATATAAAACATGTATGTATTATTAATTTAATTATTAAATCCTGTAATTGGTCGTGTGCTTCATAAAGCCCCAAGTATTTATGAAATGAAAATGAAAGTGAGAGAAAGAAAAAAATTACAATGAACTCACCTGTTGCTCATATTGATCCGGGAATGATTGTATTTTCTCATGAATATCAGCTGATTTTGACGCTGCTATGACATCGGCCTCTGGAGCGTCAATCCTTCCATACTGAATATTATACTTGATAGTATTATTGAATAAAACAGTGTCTTGAGGCACAACGCCAATGGCATTTCTCAACGACTCCTGTTTAACAGTTTTGATATTCTGTTCATCAATAAATATTGATCCCTGATCGACGTCGTAAAACCTGAAGAGAAGCCTCATGATGGTGGATTTACCAGCTCCAGATGGCCCCACGAGGGCCACAGTCTTCCCAGCTGGAACTGTGAAGCTCACGTTCTTGAGGATCATCTTCTCCGCAAAGTAACCGAAGGAAACGTTTGAGAATTCAACTTTTCCTCGTTTTACTATCAAAGGACCTGCTCCTGGGGCGTCTATCACCTCCTGGGCCTCACGGAGAAGCTCGAACATGTTCTCCATGTCCACAAAATTTTTTTGAATCGCTCTGAAATGTTCAAGACATTGTTTTTATTTTAAAATAGACAAAGCAAAAAGACTTGACAAAATTGAAAAAATTTCATACAAGTAATGATAAAATATTAAAATACTAATAATATGATACTAATAATAATGAATAATCTCTCCAGATGATATGAATCCAAATGGACTTTTGGGGACGAAAATTTGGTACTCAAAATTAAGGCTCACAAGCAAATATACTTTCATAAAATACTTTCCTCACCTGTAATAAGTCCCGAAAAAGTTCAACGGAACATAAAGTTGAATGATGTAACCAGCAAACAGCACGTAATCCCCAACAGTCAGTGTCTTCTCATAAACAATTTCACGGAGACAGAGCATTGAGCCCCCAAGCAGTCCAGCGCAGACGATGACATTCTGCACGGTATTGAGAATTTTCAGAGTGACAACCGAGTGCCATTCCTCCACCTGATACTTGAGGATGGCCTCCCTGTAGCTCTCGACCTCGTAGGGCTCAGCCCCATAATACTTGACAGTCTCAAAGTTCAAGAGGCTGTCAACACTCCTGGCGTTTCTCGCATTATCAGCCAGGTTCATCCGCCTCTGGTACTTGGTCCTCCACTCGGTGATGAGGATCGTGGCGATGATGTAGAGGGCCATCGTGCTGAAGACTATCAGGCCGAACCACTTGTTGAAGGCTGAAATGAAGAAGACAACAGCCACGAGGATGTCGACGATCGTGGGGACTATCGAGAAGAGGATGTAGTTGAGGAGATTGTTTATGGAATCTGTTCCACGGTCCATTATTCTCAGGACTTCACCGGTCTTTCTACCCAGGTGCCAGCGGAGACTGAGGCTGTGCAAGTGCCTGGAGAGGAAGAATATTAATTTGATTTTTTTTGCTTTCGAATGGAAGCTGCGTAATCGTTTAAATTTAAGTTCTCGCCAATGAATGGGTGGAATTGAATCTTTTTTTTCCAAATGTAGGTATTGTTAGGCCCTATCAATCGCCACTGATTAAAATTTAATTCATCGATTAGTTTTTTTAATTTTCGATTTTTTTTTGAATCGCTTGACCCATGATAACGAAAAAAAATGTTCTGGATTGATTTAATGATGGCTTAAAAAATTTATTTGGATGTTCTTTCGACCGAGTTCGAAGATGAAGGTGATAGCAACAATCGTTATTTTGATTTAGTTGAAAATTTGCAAAAATTTGGTATTTTTTGAAAATTAGAATTCCGGGGATACCTTTAAATATCATGCTTTAAATTAATTCAATCATGGCCTAAAATGTTTGTTTCAATGCCGTTAAGTCGAAGTCAAAAGATGATTACGATAGCTATATTAGTTGTTTTAATTTTTATGATGATTGTTGAAAATTTCGAATTTTTCATGAATTTCCCTGAAAGTGAGCTTTTTGATGGTTTCTTCAAATGTGATGTTTCAAATTCATTCAAGTATGTATAAATAAAAATTTTCTATTAACATTTTATCGAAGGGCTGAGGGGAGAGATAGAACCGCAAAAATGACAATCGGTGGTAGAGAAGAAAGGGATAATAAGAATAATGATGATGATAACATTCAACTAAGAAAAAAATCTGACAAAATTAGGTAAAAAAAAATCTTATTCAATTTAATAAAATGAAATAAACAATGAATTATACATGATAGAAGGAAATGATGTGCAAAATAATCATTCGAAAGCCTATTACTAATTTATTAGCAAAAATAACTACACTATATACAATACAAGAGCAGATTTCCACTTGTTTTAATTTCTCTCAGTTGTTCCTCACCTGAATAATTCGACCTCAACTTCACGAGTGGTGAATTGTTGTATCCTGATCCACAAAAACGATCTCAAATTGTTCAAAACTCCCATACCACCTGTACCTCCCCCCTGCAGAAATTTAAATGTCACGTAGATCAGTATCAAGTCCCACCTGAAGTAGAAATCAAAATTCATGAATGAAAAATTCGTTCGTTGGTTTTATTAGTGTAAAAAATTCCAGAGTTAAACCTGAATTTCAGAACATCCACAGTCATGCTGTCCACAATTTTCTTATTGTAAATTGGTACGTATAAATTGATAACACGACCGGCCATCAGGAGCATGAAGCAGACTATAACTCTGAACTGAAGTAAACAGTCTTTTTTCGGCCACAGGAAGGGCGATAGTGTTGTTATTTTGTACCAGGCATTTTTCCAAGTCGAAGAAGTGTCATCCGGTCTCTATTAACAAATAAAAATTCATCGTCAATCGTCAATTCGAATGTTATCTCGATTATTTTTCCATCTTCATAATCTAAAATATATAATAATTTCCATTGGATTTTACATCCCGCAGGAGTCCCTAAAAATTATGATTGTACAAAAAAAAAAAGCAGAAAAAAACTTAACATTTGAAAAGAGTGTTTTTAATAAAGATTAAGAAATAAGTCCGACAGAGAGGAAATAGTGAATGCGATAATTTATCATGGTAACTAACAATCTGACATTCATTGATTACTATGGCAAATGACGACCTAACAGCCATTAGATACATCAAATTATTAATTTGCAATTTCCTCCCTATTCGGTTTATTTTCCAATATTATTCAAAAACGCTCTTTGAAAATGTTCAGCTTTTTTTCAACGTTTTTTTCATTGTACAATCATAATTTTTAGAGACTCCAGGGCTATGTAAAACTGAATAGCAATTGGAGATCATTTCAGATTATCAAAATGAAAAAAACAATCAAGATCACTTTCGAAAGATAATCCACCTGGGCCTTAATGCTTCTAATTAATCGTTTAGAAGAATTGAATAAAAATATTTTGAAATACATACATCTTGATAATAAGCTGATCTCGACCCCATGTCATCGTTCAATGACCCATAATCGATGTCAGAGCTCCCGATAATTCCAGGTGCCCTCAGACCAAGTGCAAAAATCATGAGATTACTCACGTATCTGAGTACAAACAGTGCCATCTCTATCTGATCGCTCAACCTAAAACATTAATTTATAAATAAATGCCCAATGGGATTATTTTGAGATGAAGAATTCGTCGGTGGAGTGAGGAGTTTCACTCGGAATTCTCTCGTTGATAAGAATTAGATTTCAGAATAGGTTGTTTTTTATCGGTTTAGTGAGACGTACGTGTTTAGGTGGAACCACCACTCTGCTTTGCCAATATTAATGAAGACGAGATTCTCCCCGATGAAGGCAAGTGTCCAGAACCCGAGGAGAACGACTCCATGACCACGGGGTGGAACACTGGGGAGGAGTTTGTGCCGTTCGATCATGAGGATGTACACCGAATAGGGATAGACAATTGTTGTCAACATTGTCGTGAGTATCTGGAAGAGAAAATTTGTTTTTCAATATTTTTTCTCTCATTTGGGACTCATTTGAGACAAAACAGAACTGTTAGACAGAAAATCCTATTGAATCAAAAATTTTGGTGTTTATTTTTCAAGTATTTCAGAAGTATTTTTCAAAAATCATTAATAGATTTTTGATTTTTTGTGTTATATCAATTGAGCATAATCCAAAAAGCCCGAAAATGCAATTGTTAAACCTTGAAAAGTTTTTCTTCAATTGTTCGCTAATGAGTGAATATAAATGAATATTTTTTTTCAAATGTAGGTATTATTGAGCCCTATCAATCGCCATTAATTAAAATTTAATTCACCGATTAGTTTTTTAATTTTCAAATTGTTCCGAAAATCGGTGGTCCCACGATAACTAAAAAAAATGTTCTGAATTTATTGAATGATGGCTTCACAAGTTTGTTTGGTTGTCCTTTTCTAAGGACAGACAACTATTACTAGATAACTATTACTATGTGTAGTACAAGAGCAAATTCCCATTTATTTTCTCATTTGGGACTCATTTAGACAAAATGAAAGGAAATCCTGTTCAACAAGCAAATGTTATCAACTATTTTTCATTGATTTCAGACGTATTTTTAAAAAATGATTAATGGTTTTTTACCATGTATCCATAGACTGTTTTGTCATCCAGGACAGTCGCCTGCAGGATGATCCTCAGGATGCTGAGGACAGGTACAAAGTAGAGGAAGAACTTCTGGAGATTGTAGAGTCTACTCCTGGGGAGTCGAGTGACATTGGACGATGTTCCCCACCTCTTGTACATCCATAGCTGCACCGAGCCACAAATCAAAATGTAAGAGGCTATAATACTCGCACTGATGGTGTCTATGAAGCACTTGGAGATACCGTGGTCCACCCATATCTGGCTGAACGTCACGTTCGGTGGGCAAAACGTCATTGACACATTATCCATCTCAATTTTTCAATGATTTCGTGGATTATTTCACTGGAATGAAAAATCTTGAAGTAGTTTTTTGATTCTACCTCGAGAACGAGTAGGTTTAGGGGAAAATGTCATAAGGGGTATTTCGAAGGAAATTGAATTCTCTACAACAAATGTTCCGTCACATTTTCATGTAGACCCGCTATTTACGGAGATAATGGCATAATTAATGAACAAAAAGTCAGACTTTTCTAAAAACAAGAGTATTCCTCGCTCTAAAAATATGCGATTCTCCACTGCTAGTCATCAATTCCCAGTGGATAATCATCTTATAAGTAACTCAACATTGCGCAATGATCCTAGACGCCGCGGAGGCCGATCCCCACCTCCAAAATTCATCATTTCCCCGAGTAAAACCTCAAAACCCTCGAAATTCTGCATTTTTTCATTAAAAAAATACCTCGAAGGCTCCAACTCACAATTCGCCGCTGTCAGCCAAAATCCTCCTCTCGTTAATGAAAAATCACCTCCACAATCCCTCGACTCAAATAAACTGGCAAAAAAATCCCAAAAAACTGCGAAAAATCACTCGAAAACACTTTTAATTGTTTCAATCCATCACATGCCTCCAAAAAAATTTATTCCTCTTCCACCGACGTTTTTGGCCAGTCATCACACCTGATGACACTCAATGACACCCACTCTGAACAGCTGATCAGCTGATCCAAGCCGGAGGGGTTAGATAACCTCAAAAACCTCCTCAATCCGTAAAAATCGCGAAAATTCGTAGGACGTGGTGGAAACGCCGGTGTTTCACGGAATAAAAATTGCTTGAAGATTAATTTTACGCGTTTCAGTCGGTAAAATGGTCCTGAGGGTGGGAAAATTGGTTCTGATGACCTCCAGGATACAGTGGGGGAAGTGCTCGATGATGAAGCGAGGGATGAGTGCGTCTGGAGTGAATTTTGGGAAAAGTCTGGTGTACGAGGGCTATGGGGAGCCTATAGAGGTGTTGAAATTGAAAAATACCGAGGATTGCAAGCCTGGGGTGAACGAGGTGGCTGTCAGGTGGGTGATTAGGCAATTTCTGGGGGTTAACACTTAATTAACTAGATAAATTTGAAATTTATATTGTTTTTCCTTCCGAGTGGAAGCTTTGTAATCATGATTTTTTTCGATTTCTTAATTTTGGGTGGAAATGCCTGGAAATGTCATGAAACGTGACGAAATGATATTTTTTTTCTAGTGTAGGGGACGGTAGGGTAAAACGGACACTTTTGTTAAAATATTCATAACGTGTTGAATTATTCATGAAATGGAATAATTTTATTTTTCAATTGAAAAACAATGATTCCTCTTTGTGATGAGCTTAGGCTGAGCTTAATTGATAAATCTGTTTCTGAGTTATGAATATTTTTAAAAAAGTCAAAAGTGTCCATTTTACCCTACCCTCCCCTATGTTTTCTATTGAACATGTCAATACAATCAGTCAAAAACTAATAGAAAGTTGAATAGAAATTCAATAGAATTTTCTAACGAATTCGATAGGTTTTTCTATTAAATTTTTTCCTGTATGTAACCATATTATATGCAATACAAAAGCAATATCCCACTTGTTTTGCTTTGGGGCAGGCCAGGTAGAATAGAGCTTCTTCAATCCTCGATATGTCCGGACTGAACGATACGATTTGGATGAGTCAACACCCACTTTAAAGACTGAAAACAAGTCTTGAAAATGAAAAAAAAACTTTGAAATTCACTCAGCCGATCTCTAGCTATTGAGGATTGAAAACGGTTCATTTTGCCTTCTTGCGTATTCATTGGCATTGGAAGATTGAGAGGATTGATTGGAGATTTTTTACTTCAGGTGGATCTTGGCACCTGTCAATCCAGCTGACATCAACACTATCCAAGGAAAATACCCGAGCAAACCGAAATTGCCAGCGGTGGCTGGGAACGAGGGAGTTGGAGAGGTTGTTGATGTCGGCGAAGGGGTGAAGGCTGTGGGGGTGGGGGACAAGGTTGTTCCCAATAGGAGTAACACAGGCACCTGGAGCTCACGGAGGGTTTACCCAGTCGAGGAAGTATTGAAGGTATATTTCACTCTACTCTGAAATTTTTTCAGGTGACAAAGATGAAGAACCAAAAAAAACTTGAAATTTGAAAAAATTTTCGACGATAGTTTGCCAATTTTGCAGTTATCTCATCACTGAGCGGATTTAGAGGAAAATGTCATATAATGTTTTTTGTGGGGAATTCAATTCTCTACAAAAAATGTTCAGAGATGTATCATCGCAAAGTTGATAATTATCGAGATAATTCGAAAAAACTTGGTTAATTGGGGATTCTGTAGTCTTTATTCTTCAGATTCCAGGGAATTTCACAGATGTTGAGGCAAGTATGCTCAACGTGAACCCCTGCACAGCCTACAGGATGTTAAAAGACTTCGTCCCCCTCTGCCCAGGTGACACGGTGATCCAGAACGGGGGAAATTCAGCGGTTGGACAGCTGGTTATCCAGCTCTGCAGGGCCTGGGGCTTGAATTCAGTCAATGTTGTGCGAGATAGAGGGGACATTGGAGAACTGAAGGATCACCTGAAGTGTCTTGGAGCCACTGAGGTCCTCACAGAGTCAGAAATACGGACGACTGATTTGTTCAAGAGCAAGAAACTCCCAGCACCAAAATTAGCTCTGAACTGCGTCTGTGGGGAGAGTGGAGTCAACATCCTGCGGCATTTGGCTCACAGTGGGACTATCGTTACGTACGGGGCGATGTCCAGGGAACCTCTAACCATTCCAGCATCTGCACTGATTTTCAAAGTAAAATGAACAATTTATTAGTTTTTCCTTCTTCCTGTAATATTCATCTGCATAAACTTGCAAACTTTCGAGCAATTAAATATAACAAGAAAAGAGATAATGCCAATGTTTTGAAATAATTCATTGGTGGAAATTTTTTTTCAAGGATGTCACTGCGAAGGGATTCTGGATGTCAGCCTGGGTAAAAGCCCACTCAAACTCCCAAGAACGTTGGGAGATGCTGGACGATCTCGGGAAGCTATTCTCCTCGAAGAAGATCCAAGCACCCCCTCACAAGATCATTCCCCTCTCCGAGTACCAAGAGGCTGTGAAAAACACTCTCCAGTTGGACGGCAAAACTGGAATCAAGTACATACTGGACGTATCAGCATAAAATACAATATTCCATTTATTATTCGTATTTTTTACACCAAAATAATTATTCAGTTTTGTCAGAAGTGATTGTACAGTTTCGTAAAGAGTAGATTTTGGTTTAAATTCATAGAATAATTTGAAGAAATTATATTAATACGAAAATATCAACATTAATATGAAAGTTATACAAACAGAATTTTCTTAAATGATTTTTGGTGATGCAGAAATTCACACTAATTAATCAGTTGTTCAAGGAATGATTTACAGTTGAATCACTCCACCTCATCCAGCAGCTGAAGAAGATTCATCTTCCTGTCGATGCCCTCCTCCCCCTCTAGATCTGCTGAAATGTTGTCTAGCTTGGCCTTGTGGTCTGCATCGAGTCTCCCCAGGGTCTCCTCACTCCTCCCTGATTCCTCCTCCCCCTCGTCATTCCGATTGTCATCGATCTCGATCGTCTCGGAGTCATCAAAGAGGTCGAGGCTGAAGGGACGAGGAGCAGAGGAGGTCTCCTCTGTCCCCAATTGTCTAGCCAACATCCCCAATTCTGCTCTTGTTCCTCTGTCCTTCAGACACTTCTCACGATTTTTTAATGGTTTGCATTTCACTGCTTTTATGTAATTTGGGGAATATCTAGAGGAAAAATGATGAGAAAAAATTATTTCATCGGTTGATCACACATCAATTGATAAATTCATAATTCTAAATAATAATAAATTAATAATAAAATAATATGTTTATTCATAATAATTATTAATAATTAATTAATTTATCAATTGATAAATTAATCAACTCTTTTCATTAATTACTCAATTATTTCATTAACAGTTCTCTTGATCGAATAATTAACAAAACATAATTTAATGATCAAGTCATTACTCGAATTAATGAATTAATCGATGATAAAAATGAAGTAATTAGTTGAACTCATGGGTGAGTTGATGAATTAATTAACTAGATCAATTGATAAATTCATAATTCTAAATAATAATAAATTAATAATAAAATAATATGTTTATTAATAATAATTATTAATAATTAATTAATTTATCAATTGATAAATTAATCAACTCTTTTCATTAATTACTCAATTATTTCATTAACAGTTCTCTTGATCGAATAATTAACAAAACATAATTTAATGATCAAGTCATTACTCGAATTAATGAATTAATCGATGATAAAAATGAAGTAATTAGTTGAACTCATGGGTGAGTTGATGAATTAATTAACTAGAGCAGTACTTGCATATTTTTCCCTAATAGCGTTACACGATGTCCAAACAATTTGAAAGATCCCAAGTTATACCCCTTCTGATTACCCTCGAGCAATTTAACAGCCCCCACCTCGCACCTCCTCTCCTCGAACTTTTCATCGTAGTTCTGGGGCAAAATGTTGAATGTTGTGTCGTCATTCTGAAGACCAAGTCTCAGGAGAACCGAAACTCTGACGTTTATGTTGGCTAGAGCGATCAGACACTCATTCCTCGCCTGCCAGATCTCGTCGTGAGTCAATTCCCCATAAACCTGACCCAAAAATTGACAAATAATTTTTACGTCTCGAGGGTCACACCTCGTAAGGGTCATACTCTGTAAGGGATGAATTTTGCAAGGGTCAATCGCATTATTTATTGATCTCTATTGAATTCGTGGCATCATCAGCTTTTGCCTTGACATGAGCTTGTTTCATTCAGCATTCTTAAGGGTGCCAAGTGAATTTGAAAAAAGATTCAAAAAAAATTTTTCTTTCCCTCCATCATTGGAGAAATATGTATTCATCCATCCGACGAAATTTCAAACCCGCAACCGGAACTAGACATTGAGAAAATAAATGCGGAAAATCCTCCATTTCGCGTGACGAACCTCGAGAAAGCATGGGATCAAATGGGTACGGCGGGTTGAAATATCTCTCTTATTCACCCCGGTACCCCATTGTTTTTTGTCGCCATCACATTGAACACATCATTCCCCATATCTTCAAATTTTTTCAAATTTTTCTTGAGTTCCTAGGGGGTTGAAACGTTCAATTTAATCAAAACTCCATAAGAGGCCGTGTATAAGACTGATTTTGTTTATTTAATTCCTCGATATCCATAAGTTCTAAAATTTTAAAATTGTCACCGATGTTCACCATCTGTCTAATACTATTAATTTAAAAAATTATAACTTTGTTGGTGAATGTCAATTTTCAAGGTCATCGCCAAATTCACTTGGCACCCTTAAATGACAAAACTAATTCAATTGCCTTTGGTAGCTTTTTTGAATTCTTCAGAACAAAATGGTTCTTTTCAGGTCCAACTGGGCTTTTTCGGGGCTCCAAATAATAAAGTGGAGAATCAAATAAAGCTCAATAAAGCTCAATATGATGAGATTGACTTTCTCACAATGGAGATGACTTGTGACTTTCGTCTTTTGCAGCGTTTGACCCTCGTGAAATTTACTTTTTTATGAGGTATGAGGCTCATGTTTTTGAGTTTCTTAAAATGCCGTAAATCGTATTACGTGATGTAATAGTACATTATGTCAACAGGCGATGAAAGTATTTTCTGACGAATGTGGCTTTATAATTCGAGTCGAAGGCGAGGATTTTGATCACATGAGTCAGAAAATTGTTTTATCGCCGTGTGACGTACAATATTTTATGTCGCCAGGCCCGGAAACCGCAATTTAACCGAGGGAATTGATGTTAGAATCGCGGTTTTACGGTCTTGGGGACATAAAATAATATTTTATGCCCCAAGTACTGACATCCGCGTTCTAACCGAACGAAGTAAAGTTAAAATTCGCGGTTTATCTGTCCTCGGGACATAATATACTATTTTTTATGATATTTATGTGTCCAATACTGCGTCTTCGTCAGTCGGAATAAAATAAGACATTCGATTAACCGAAAATTGCAAGCTTTCCGAAGTAATGTAAAAAATTTAAAAAATCCGTCGAGGTAATTTACGTAAATTACAAGGGTAAAAAACTGCATAATTTACCAACGCAATTTACACGCCCAACCCAGCCCCAGTATTGTACCTCCCGAATATTTAATTTTTTTCTCGCTGTAATATTGATATTTCACAAAAAAATCCCCCCGTGATTATACATAAATGTTATTATTGATAATGATAATAATCCTTGCAGTTTTCATTCTATTATTTATAGAATATTCAATGAAATGTGAAATCGTCGAGGTATTGGCCTGCTCACCCTAAAACATTTTCTGAAAATAATTGCAAAATGAACAAACGCATTCCCATTTTCAATTTTCCAAGTGGATTTTTCCGAAATTCAAAAACCCATTTTGTTTTCTTAAAAATTCCAATTCTAAAAACTATTTTTCATTTTAGAAAACTGAAGTTTATAATGTCATAATGTTTCAAAATACTAAAAATCCCCTTGGTTCAGTTCATCCAATATGGTAATCGTCCCGTTTTCATTCTATTATTTATAGAATATTCAATAAAATTTTCCCCAATCGTCCAGGTGTTGGCCCCAGTCCAGCTATAGACCTGTTCACCTCAATCATTTTTTAAGAATAATTTTCATGATTTTTCTGCAATTTTTGAAATTTTTTTCGCGTGAAAAATTGAATTACTCACGTCTACAATCATCCGATGCACAAGAGTGATGCACTCATGAGCGCTGGTCTGTGTCACCATATCCCTCAATGCATCGATATGATTGAGAGTCACTAGGATCACCTCCCTGGGACCAGTGCAGGCGATCAATTGATACTTGAACATCATCATCATGAGATCGAACAATTTGTTCATGGAACTTTGGCCCAATTTCATTATAGAACTGAGACTTATCGCCTCTAGAGTCGCTCGCAGGGACGATAAATTGATCAGTGGAGCTTTTTGAAAAACAGTTGCCAGGATTTTTGGATTTAAAAATGATGCTGTTATGTCATCCAGCACTAAAATTCGTCGAGATAAAAAAAATAAAATCATTATCGAAACGTTTAAAAAAAAAGTTCATTAATTATTCATTTCCTTCTTAATTAACTCATTAAGGCCCGGGTGGATAATCTTTTGAACGTTATCCCGATTGTTTTTCCATGTTCATAACGCAAAATATATTACAATTTCCATTGGATTTTACATCACGCAGGAGAAAATTTTTTTAAAAAATGAACACCTTCAAAGAGCGTTTTTAATTAAGATTAAGAAATAGGTCCGATAGAGAGGAAATAGTGAATGGATAATGTATCAGGGTCACTGACGATCTGACAGCCATTAGATACATCAAATTATTAATTTGCAATTTCCCCCCTATTCGGTTTATTTTCCAATATTATTCAAAAACGCTCTTTGAAAATGTTCAGCTTTTAACGTTCATTTTTCAATGTTTTTAACGTTTTATTTATTGTACAATCATAATTTTTGGAAACTCCAGGGCTATGTAAAACTGAATAGCAATTGGAGGTCATTTCAGATTATCAAAATAAAAAAACAGTTCAGGATCACATTCGAAAGATAATCCACCCGAGCCTTAAATTGAGGTGTAAGAGTGCCTCCTGGATAAAAAAGTAGACAATTGAAAAGAATGATTAAAAAAAATGATTCGTTAGTGCTTCAACTACAATTGTCACTTTACCTTGAATTGTTTTACGTTCTTCAATTTTCTGAGCAGCGAGTCTATGTTGAATGACATAAAGCATTTCCCCTCCGAGATTCAAGTACATGAGTGGATTAACGTAAAGCGACATTTTAATTAATTATGTATTTAATTATATTTAATTAATTGTAAATTGAGAGACCTAGACTTTTGGTTCTAGACTTTGTTTCCGACGTTCGCGTGCTTTCTAACTGCTCTACTTTCGATAAAATTGAGCTAGGCCCGTGTGGACGCTTCGGGTCACCATGGAAACCCTCACCTGCGCTGGGTGATGACCGCAATAATCCCATTATTGACAAAATTAAAATTTCAATAATCAATTTGAATGATCAGTTCGCTCGTTCACAGATTATCCGAATCACAGGTTTCGGATGGAACGAAATGACTTTGAAATATCATCATTTATTTTGAAATTCGTCATTTATTTCGAACCCTCGCTCTTATTGGTCCGTCCCCCGAGGACTATCGGAATTTGAAAAAAAAAAAAAAACAGCGATCGTTAGCGCATGCGCGGGGAGACCCCCCACTGGCCCGAGTGATTTATTTCAGTCACAACATACGCGTGAAACCGGCATGCAACAGATAATTGTCAGTCCCTAGCGATCCTTAGCGATCAGTATCGCAGAAAAGTTATAACATCGAATAAATAATTTCGTTCATTAGCTTGAGCTCATTAAGAAATCAGTGACAGCGGTTGGTCCATTAAGGTAGGTTCCATCAATTGTTGAAGAGGTTATCATCGTATATTTTGAAAGTAGAATAATTTCAAACTATCGATTGTCAGCAATAACTTTATTTCATATTTTCCAATTTTTCTGCCTTTAACAATGCGGAGAAAAATTCAAGAGAATGAAAAAGAAAAAATGCTTCATTTGCTTTGTTCGGCTTATCGATGGGGTAGGGCCATTTTCGGGGAATCCCCTATATTTATAATACCCCTCCTCGTTTTCGCATTCCGTTTCCGTTTTGTCGCCTTCCGCTATTAAATTCAGTTGGGCGATAAAAGAACATAGAGCCTCTATTGAAATGTGTTTCTAAAGTACGTGAATGTCAAAATTAGTATATTTCGATCCGACTGAATCACACAAGTTGAAAATTCTCGCCTCACAAGCGTCGAACAGTATTTTTTATCACAACGGCAGTAGGTAGCGATTTACGGAAAAATATTACACAATACACGGCCTAAAAAAACTTTTCTAGCTCATATGATTTCAACTCTCGCCTTCGGCTCGGGCTGCAACCTCATATTCGCCAGAATAGTAGGGGAGGTTGGGGTAAAACAGACACTTGACTTTTTTTAAGATGTTAATGCGAGGTTGAAATGTTGATAAAATTTAATAATTTTTTTTTCAATACAAATAACAACTCTTTCCCTTTGGAACGAGCCTAAACCTAGCTCAATTGATAAATTTGTTTCTGAGTTATGAATACTTGAAAAAAAGTCGAAAGTGTCCATTTTACCCTACCCTCTCCTATATTATGTCATCAGGCGATAAAAGTATTACCTGGCGAATATGGCTTTATAATCACATTCGCCAAATAATGCTTTTATCGCCGTGTGATATACGCTATTTTATGTCGTTGGGTTTAGAATCGCGGTTTATCGGGCCTAATGACATAAAAATATATATAATTTTAGAATCTGAAATCGCCATGGAAGCCATCTTGACTACCCTCAGCAAAAAGCTGTTGGCCTCGGGCAAACAGGAGTCTTGCCACTCCGAGTACTCGCTCCTGAAGAGCGATTCAGACCGCGTAAAATTCACGATCCAACTCCTCCTCGACTACTCCATGCCCATCACCCCCATCACCCCCGGCAAGTCCCCGTCGACCTCCACCCGCCTGCGGGAGGAGGGTAACCGCCTGTTCACGATGCCCTCACCCTCTGCAAGACCTCAACTCGACGAATCCGTCGAGCAGTACACAAAGAGCATCACCGTCGCTCCCAACGACTCGGTAGAATTATCCCTCGCCTATGCGAACCGTTCCGCGGTCCTCTTCAAGGCCCGCCTGTACCAGGACTGCTTCCTGGACATATCGCGTGCCCTCGCGCTCCCCTACCCCGATCATTTGAAATCAAAACTCTACGTTCGCCAGGCGCGATGTCTCATGACCTCGAAGATAACCTCTAAATCCCAGAAAAAGGAACTGGAGGATTCCCTAGAGAACGCTCGCCTCTGGTTGGACAAGATGGATCCGAAGAATCAGGCTAAATCTTTCATCGAGAAGACCCTGAAGGACCCCAAGAAAATGGCGCCTGTAGAGAGGCCCTTCGTCAAATGGAACCCACACCAAAATATCCCTAGTATCACCGAGGAAAATAGGGAAATCCCCGGTGTGTCTTCGAGCCTCGAGCTGAAGTACTCGGAAGAGTTCGGGAAACATGTGATCGCGACCAGGGAAATTTATCCAGGAGAGATCCTAGCTGTTATGGAGCCATACGCCACTGTTCTAGTCCCGGAGAAGTTCTTCACCCACTGCTGGAGGTGCCTGGAGCAGACCTGGAGCTCGGTCCCCTGTCCAAATTGCGTTAACGTAGTCTTCTGCAGTGAGGAGTGCAGGGAAAGGGCTTGGGAGGAGCATCATGACACTGAGTGTGACGTCATTGGACCACTACTGGCCCAGGAGATGAGTAATCTAGGGCTTTTGAGTCTAAGGTTGGCGGTCCGGGCGGTCAAGGAGGCGGGAGGGCTCAGGGAGCTCATGAAGAAGGTCGAAGAGGTCGAGGGGAGGGTCGGGAGGACCAGCGGGTTCACTGGGGAAATCCTGGATGATAAGGATTATGCCAGTGTTTACACGCTTGCTAGGAATACGGAGAAGAGATCGGTTCCAGATTTGTTTGGGCGATCGCTCAATGCTGCTTACATTATTTTCATGCTGGCGACGAGGAGCGAGCTGTTCGGGGAGAGATTGCCGGAGGATCTGGAGGGGCTGAAGGGCAATGAGGAGGTCATGTTCGTCGGGGGACTCATCATGAGGCACCAGCAGATCATCCCGAGCAATGGGCACGGCGTGAGTTAACATCGAGTGACGAAAATTGAAATGTCACGTCCGTCACGAAAAGTGAAACGTTTCTTCATCGCTCGATATCTCGAGAACGGATGGCGCTGGGTAGGGATGGGCGATGTGTTTTAAAACATCGATGTTTGAAAAAAAGAATCGAAAATCGGCCGTTGAAAATATGGATCGATGTTTTTCGATTAATCGACAAACATCGCCCATCCCTAGTCCTGGGGGAAAATGTAATTGAATTTTTTTGTAGAGAATTAAGGGTGCCAAGTGAATTTGAAAAAAGATTCAAAAAAAATTTTCTTTCTCTCCATCATTGGAGAAATATGTATTCATCCATCCGACGAAATTTCAAACCCGCAACCGGAACTAGACATCGAGAAAATAAATGCGGAAAATCCTCTATTTCGCGTGACGAACCTCGAGAAAGCATGGGATCAAATGGGTACGGGGGGTTGAAATATCTCTCTTATTCACCCCGGTACCCCATTGTTTTTCGTCGCCATCACATTGAACACATCATTCCCCATATCTTCAAATTTTTTCAAATTTTTTTTGAGTTCCTAAGAGGTTGAAACGTTCAATTTAATCAAAACTCCATAAGAGGCCGTGTATAAGACTGATTTTGTTCATTTAATTTCTCGATATCCATAAGTTCTAAAATTTTAAAATTGTCACCAATGTTCACCATCTGTCTAATACTATTAATTAACAAAATTATACCTTTGTTGGCGAATGTCAATTTTCAAGGTCATCGCCAAATTCACTTGGCACCCTTAAGTTCCCTACAAAAGTCATCCGGGATGATTTCCTCTGAAACCAGCCATTCCGATGATATCGGCGAATTGCGGTGAAGATGATTGATTTTTTATCACAAATATGATTTGGTCATCAGGTATCAGAGGAGGGACTGGGGACAGACCCTCTGGAGAGAGCCGGAGCTCTGATGCCATTCTACAGCCTGATCAACCACAGTTGCAACCCTGGAATCGCTAGGACTACACGTGGGAAGAAAATGATTATCTACGCGGATTGTATCATTCGCAAGGGTGAACAGGTGAATATTTTCGGGGATTAAGGGGATACGTTGGTGAAATTTTTTTTGCACTAATTCGTTGTTAGACATGTATAATCGATGTAAATCGATTTCAATGCATGAAAAATCACACTCCAGTCGCCAGTGACTTACAAAACTCATAGCAGTCTCCCCTTAATGATATTAAGAGTCTGTTTAATCGATGTTTCCATCGCAGGTGTTCGATAATTATGGAAGTCATTATGCTATGATGCCAAAACGAGCTCGACAGATCCAACTGATGCAACAGTTTCGATTCACCTGCGAGTGCCAGCCCTGCATTGAGGATTGGCCCACGTACATGGGGATTCCCTCGTTCAAGGTGAGCAGATGCAACGCAACTAATGTTTAATCAACAATTTTGATCAACAATAAATTAATTAGTGATGATTGATGGAAAGAATTAATCAAGTAGATTTTCCAGGTTCTTCTGAGTTTGAAAGTGTTTTTTTTTTTTCAGGAGCAACATCTCTCAGCACTGGACAGACAGGAGATAAGACAAGCCCTTAAGAACTTTCAAAGGTATTATGAGTGTGCGCTGTACAGGAAGCTTGAGAATGTCCCAGCAATGATCAAGGATCTCAATAAAATGCTGAAGACTCTCGCTCTGAAGGTGAAGGCCCCCTGCAGGGAGGTCAATGACGTCGTCGAGACCAAGAAGAGGATTGTCGCACTTCTGGGGAATCGATATCAATCATTGAACGCATAAAATCCATCATCGAGACTACGATTCATTTTTTTACATCAAAAACAACAAACAGTTTGTTTTTGTAAAATAAAAACGTGGCAATTTATTCAATAAACAAGTTGCTATCTCCATTTTTTCTTGAGTTATCGTGCGCACAAGATTTATAATGAAAAAACAGGAAAAGACCAATATCTCCAAACTTTGTATGAATCGGTATGTATATGATATGATTGAACCAGATAGAGGCCATCGAGACGAGTATTTTGAAAAAAAATGAAATAGGTGCAGTTGTTGTTGTTGAGATATTCAGGAAAAACGAAATTTAAACAAGTTGTTATATCTCAGGAACTACGGGACCGATCGGGCTGAAACAACGCACCAAAGTAGAGCTCGCTCATAGCTACCATGAGCCAAAATTTCAAATTTGTATCTAAAAATTTCACCGTATTTATGTTGAATTTTCTAAAAATTAATCACCAAAAAGCCAAATCTGCACATACAGACATGACCCTAAAAACATCATTTCTTCACGGTTCATAATATTCTAGACCATTTGCAATCAAAATTAGACAATCGAAAAAAAAACCAAAGAAATGCTTCCATTCGGAAGAAAAAAATGAAAAAACTGTATAATAAAATTGTAATTTCAACTAACAGGCCAATAGCTGGATGGTTAAGGAAATGTTGAACTTCATTGAAGGATTTTAAATCGATGAAGTAGTTAAATGAATAAAAAATGAGTTCTGGACCTGAAAGAATATATGAATTAGGAAAAAACGATAATTTGAAGTGGAAGAAATGAAGAGAAGAATAATTAAATGAGGAAAAAGTGAAATATCGTCCAAATCCCTAATAACTGGACGCCGGGGCCAATACATGGACGTTCTGGAGGAGTATCGAATTTTCATCCAGTTTATACAAACGTGTGAATTTTTTTTTATTGAATGTGAAGAAATACAAGGCCAAATAGATTTTAAATTTTCGGGATGTGATTCTCCTCCTGAAAATATTGTGCTATTTTCCACATCTGACTCTTTCGGAAGAGAACTTCTTTTTTTCCTCCACGACACATTGTCACTGATGCTTAGGAAATTGCAGCGCCACGCAACCCAGCACTGTACCTCCTGAATATTTTATTTCTTTTCTCGCTGTAATGTTGATATTTCGAAAAAAAACTTCATCACATGATTATACATAAGTGTCATTATTGATAATGATGATAATCCATGCGGTTTTCATTCCATTATTTGTAGAATATTCAATAAAGGGTGAAATCGTTCAGCTATTGGCCTATTCACCCTACATCCATCTTACTTGAGATAGTGAAAAATTTTGGGCTCGTCATGAGGAAGGAAGTGATATAAATACATAAATAAAATTTCCTCCAATTTTGTTTATCATTCAGAGGAGACACTTCCTGTTTGTCTCGCGATAAATCATCCAGATGTACACTTCACTTTAGAAAATTCAATTACATCATGTGACTGAATAGATTAAATTGAGTCAGAAATAAAATTAGAAAAAAAATCAACTGGATCAACCGAATAGAATTGATCGACGAATTAAATTAATTCATTCGCATTAATTTATGAATTAATTAAGACCGAATTACAAATCAGTTTTGAGCCCTCGCAGGTGATTTTCACTGTCCAAGAATCATCATCGCCCTAGGATTAAGGCAACTGTTGGTATCAGCATCATGGACGCGACGGATCTGAAGTCATTGGCGGCTCCAGCCTCGTTATGTTCTTCATCAACTGCTGGAGCCTCTGGTTTTTCGTCGGTAGATACGTAGTTTATCCGCCACTCTACCCCCGGGTACACTGGACTGTGACGCTTTATGTAGGTGGCAACCACTTGATCTGTCGTGACACCTGGAAATTCAAACAAGACAAATGCCAACAACTTTCCAATGTTTCCCTTTTTTTATCAACAAAAATGGAAAAAAGACTCGAAGAGAAAGTCATTAGCGCAATTTTCAGGTCAATTTTTTCCTCACGCACGTGTGTCTAATGACTCGTTGATAATTAAACTAGAGACAGCAGTCTAATTTAGCAGCGAAGAGTGACCGAAAGGAACGAAAGGTGACTTTTACCAAAATAATCATTCGAAAATTAAATGACAATGACTCACCTGAGGCCGTCCACTCCAGATCCATCAGCATTTTGTAGTCATCCCCACCGGCGTGCAAGAAGTCTGTGGCAAGAATGACGTAAGTTTCATCATCATTGAGAGGATTAAAGCTCGGAATTCTACATGAACTGCATCTCGTATGAACAGCCACCACTCGAGCGCCATTGGGGCGAGATAAATCGTAATCCACCTGCAAACAAAGATCGATATCGATAAACATCCCGCAGCTGTCGAAAAATAATTCCAGAACACGATTTTTTCACATCTCAGATGTGAAGACGAAACTGAAGAGAAAAATTAGTTCGTGCTTTTTCCCTTCCACTTGACATCGTTTTTGATTTTTCAAAGTAACCAAGTGTTCAATTTTAACTATCTCTAGGGTGAGGGTCAGCGGTTGACTCATTTGGCGTGGAATACCTCATGTATTCTTTCAGATCTAGAACTCATTTTTATTCATTTAGCTACTTCACCGATTTTAAATTCATTAATGAAGTTCAACATTTCCTCAACCGTCCAGCCGTTGGTCTATTTAGCCTATTAGTTTTTTTATAAAAAAAAAAAAAAAATTCAAATAGATTCAAATAGAATTAAAATTTAGACAGAAAAAATTCCGATTCGCCCAGCCGGGATTCGAACCCGGGTCTCCCAGTTACGCGCCGGGCACTCTTGCCGACTAAGCTACCGGGAACCACGGAAATTCTCACTCCAAATTCAAAAAAAAAAAAAAATTCAATTCCGTAGCTTTCCAAAATTTACCTGGAGTCCAGAAAAATGCAGGAATGCTCCTCTCAGATCGGCAGTGTAATTATAATTCAAATTGTGTACACTCCACTCTAAGACTTTTCTCAGTTGTCGCCCAGTGATTTTAATTTTTCCTAATCCACTATTGAACGGCAGAGCTGCGAGAATATCGCTCATTGCGATCTGAAACAATAAAATCGTCGTAAAATAGGGAAGCTAATTCAAGGTGAATGCATTCGTTTGGCGAAGAAGAAAAACCGGACGAAATTTCCGCATTCTTTTCTTTCATGATTTTACCATGAACTCAATTAGAAAAATTTTTATCAACTCACATTATCATCGGGTTCCCGATCAATTGACGCACGAAGAGATCCACTATTGTGAATGGCGATGGCCGCGTCGGTCCAACCCTTGCCCCCCGCGTACTCCATTGCATTCTTAATGAAAAATAAACACAACGATTCATCAGTTTTTGATCAATTTCTTCTAGACTGATGAATCAGCTGAAACACCTAAAAACGCGAGCTCATGAAACGACAAGCAGCTGACGCTAGCAACAATAGTCAGATAAACACCATTTGCTGACCGTCAAACTGTCGGTGATAACTCCAAGGGCATATTCAACAGTGTAATTATTCACGATAACATTTTTTTCAAATTCAAGCGACGTATTTTAATGAATTTAGTGAATGACATGATGTGCCGAACGAAATGGCCAATTTCTGACTCATTTTGTCATTGTGAAATTGTTTTAATTATTTTATGTCGCACCGTGCAATAAGTCGAGTTTTGAGCAGGCTGCGCGAAGCTCGACTTCTGCACGACTTGACATAAAATATTATAGAGCACTCGGTAATAAATTTCGTTTTCAACGAATGTGTGTACAGACCTCGCCTTCGGCTCGGCCTGTAAACTACACATTCGTTGAAAACGAAATTTGTGCCCTTGTACTCTAATGTACTATTATTTTATTTCAATATCTTTATATTTTGTATATTTACGCATCTATATTTTACACTTCGATGCCTTCTCCGTTCCGTTTTCTGTGAGGGCATAATACACATAGTTTTTTCAAATAAATCTTTTTATATATAATAAAAAAATGAAGTTTTAAAATTCAGAAGACGCCCCTGTTTCTGATTCTGATAATAGGGGAGGGTGGGGTAAAATGGACACTTTAGACTTTTTTAAAATTATTCATAACTCAGAAACAAATTTATCAATTGAGCTCAGTTTAGGCTCGTCACAAAGGGAAAGAGTTGTTCTTTGTATGGAAAAAAAAATTATTAAATTTTATCAACATTTCAACCCCTCATTAACATTTAAAAAAAAGTCAAAAGTGTCCGTTTTGCTCCAATCTTCCCTACCATTGAGAATTTAGGGGAGATCGAGGCAAAATGAAATTGTTGGAAAGTTTTCCATTCATGACTTCATCGAACCTTTCCACATATTTCCTTATCCAACAAAAAAATGATATTGTCAACTCGTTTCGTTTATTGTTTATCAAACAGGAAATATTATGAACAAATTAATGTATGAAACAATTAACAAATTTGTTTGTTATATTCTGGACAACAGTAGAAGACATGCTAGCGAGATTTTTCGTGTAAAAAATACATGAAGAGGACATATTCAGTATCGAAGGAATGATCATCACTAGTACTTGGTCCGCAGATCGACAAAATTTTCTCTGAGGAGAAAAGTCCTTCCAAATGAAAATGAAAAACCGCGTAACCTAATCTCAATCTGTCACTTTCGAGCGAAGCGTGCGAGGGGAGGGGACGACCCCCCTAGTTGTTACATATTATTATAAGAAATGCAAAACGATAGAAACAATGATCTTACATATTCCACCATGGCATCAGCAAACAAATTCCCAAAGCTCCAAAATTCTTATACTATTCTATGTAAAGAAAAGTAGAAAGGAATGGTTGAGTCTCACGGCAAAAAGCGTTGGTTGGGGGCATTTGTAAATAATGAAAATGTCAATTTTTCAAAGAAGGTAAATTAATCTAACAATTTTTTATCATATAATACAAACACCTAAACATACCCAAGAATATTGGGGGGAGCGAGCGAAGCGAGCGGAGGGGCGAAGCCCCCCGTGGTTGGCGAGCGAAGTAAGCATGGGACGAAGCCCCCTACTTGTTATATATTCTTATGAGAAATACAAAATGACCAAAATAATGATCTTACATATTCCACCATGGCATCAGCAACCAAATTCAAAAAAGGTCCCAAATTCTGATACTATTCTAGGTCAATAAATGGAAAAAAAATAGTTGAGTCTCGCGGTAAAAAGCGTCAGTTGGAGCCGTTTGTAAATAATAAAAATGTCAATTTTTCAAAGGAGGTAAATTAATCTAACAATTTTTTATCATATAATACAAACACTTAAACATACCCAAGAATATTGGGGGGAGCGAGCGAAGCGAGCGGAGGGGCGAAGCCTCCCGTGGTTGGAGAGCGAAGCAAGCATGGGGCGCAGCCCCCTATTTGTTATATACTGTTATAAGAAATACAAAATGACCGAAATAATGATCTTACATATTCCACCATGGCATCAGCAACCAAATTCAAAAAAGGTCCCGAATTCTGATACTATTCTAGGTCAATAAATGGAAAAAGGAATAGTTGAGTCTCGCGGTAAAAGGCGTCGGTTGGAGCCGTTTGTAAATAATAAAAATGTCAATTTTTCAAAGGAGGTAAATTAATCTAACAATTTTTTATCATATAATAGAAACACCTAAACATACCCATGAATATTGGGGGGAGCGAGCGAAGCGAGCGGAGGGGCGAAGCCCCCTTGTGGTTGGAGAGCGAAGCAAGCATAGGGCGCAGCCCCCTAGTTGTTATATACTGTTATATGAAATACAAAATGACCGAAATAATGATCTTACATATTCCACCATGGCATCAGCAACCAAATTCCCAAAGTTACACTCCTTCCTCCTGCAGCTCTTGGTGTCTCCATCGAGCAGAACCTTGGCAGACCCTACGGCCTGATTCTGCAGGGCCTGTATCGCAGGCCGCCATCGCTCGAGTTCCTCCAGGACATCCTTCGCCTGCTCAATCCTCGCATCGACCACCACAGGATCCCCGAGAATGCCGACAACTTCCCCTTGGGAATCGAAGTCGAGGGTGAGGTTCCCCAGGTATTTGGTGTAGGCATACGCCTGGACGACGTAGACCTTCCTCCCGGATTTCTGGACTACTTCCGTCGGGTAGAGGCCCTCCGGGGTCTCGAGATCGGGCTTGCTTCCTGTGTAGAGGAAGGTGTTGGTGTGACCCCCGATGACGAGGTCAATCCCCTCGACCTCAGCTGCTATTCTCTTGTCCATGGAGAAGCCGGAGTGACCGAGCGCTATCAGGATCTTCACACCTTGCTCCTGGAGACGATGCACCTCTTTCCTGATGGAGGGAATTTCGTCCAAAAACTTGACTTTACCCGTTTGAGATATAGATTTTGTCTCCGGGGTAAGGTAACCGATCACTCCGATCTTGTGGCCTGAGACGTTCAGGATTACGGAGTTCTGGAGTCTCGAGGAGGCGAGCTCCGGCTCCAGGGAGAGGTCGAGGTTTGCCGCGAGGACTGGAAAGTTGGTGGCGTTGATAAAGGGGACGAGACCGTCTGGACCATTATCGAACTCGTGATTCCCGAGGGACTGAAGCACAACAAGATGGCGGATTATCTCCAAATGGAGGTGAATCGCATTTAAGGTTTCAGATTTTTGAGATTATCTGGGAAACTACGAGATTTTGGAGAAAACTTCATAAAACCTTTTTCGTCGCTGAGGAAATTCCTCACAAAAAATGTCTTATGAATTTTTTTCGTTAAACTACTTGGTCTCGAGATAAACCCATATTTATGGGGTTGATAGAACTCACGATAGCATCGGGTGCCAACAGATTCAAAAACTTGGCGACAATTTTCCATTTGTGAACGGTGAACCATGTGGTTCCTTGATAAGTATCTCCAGCATTGAGAAAGAGAGTGGGAACACTCGATGCTCTCGCTTGTCTTATCAAGGTTGCCAGCCTGGCGAAGCCGCCGTAACACTTTCCCGCCTTTTCGTCCTTATCGAGGCACTTGGTAGACAGCGCCGATGTCTCCTCGAATCTGAATGCAACAATGTCAACGATATTTTTATTATTATCTGAAACGGTTCTCATTTATCTTTGGAGATGATTTTTTTGGGAACATCACATAAACCATGATAATTTCAAAAATAATAATCCATGAGAGATAAGAACTCCCGAGATATATCGAATTAATGATCCCTCGATGAATTATAATATCTCGATAGTAGTGGAATCGATAGTGATCGTAGTGGGCTCGAAGAACAATTTCAATAAATTAATTAGTTTTTATAGTTACCTGGCGTGCATGTCATTGGTATGCACGATCCTCAATCTAAATCCCTCATCTTGGCCCACAGGAGCCCCCAAGGCACTTCCAAAAAGGAAAAACACAACCGATACCTCGAAATATCTCATTTTTCCTCGATCAATTATTTTTCACTGTACATTGAGCTCTAATTATTCCAGAAATACTGCAAAAGTCACTTGAACCATATGCGCAGGTGTTCGATCGCTAAATAAACTTCCAAATTTGAAAAAAAAACTATTGAATTGCCGATTTTTCTTCAATTTTCTACTCGCAATGATCGAAACACTGAACTTATTTAGAAGGAATAATTTTTTTCCGCGTTAATTGTTTAATTAAATCTCGGTTCAATAAGCACAGACGAATCCCGTAAATCGCGGCCGCACGATCGAGCGGCTTGACGTCGACTGAACGGTTGAAATCCGTTGGAGGGAAATATTTCGTGGGGAGGAAGAGTGAATAGTCGACGTGATCAATCACAAAATAGTCTGACTTGTTTCGGATAGTGTTCGTGGGCCATTCCTCTTTAAATTCGTATTTATCTTGACATTGGGCTCAGTCGTCATTGTGATGATTCCTCGGGCTGTTTCGGTTATGAATGCGGAGGGATATTGGGACCGAGAGGGAATCATGAATTAGCGGAAGCCCCCACTCCTATTTTTCCAGGATTAGGGGAATCCCTTTGTTCTTTATTCTGGGAAGGGAATGGTAATTTTTAATTTTTTTATTTATTCGCGCGAGGAAATTTGGCGTTTTGTTCTTTCTGGGAAAGTTGTGGAGAAATGGGCGGGGTTGGTGGTAAGGCCCAAAGGATTTTCTGGGCCTTACCCCCAGCCCTGCCCATCTCTCCATAACTGCTCTAAAAAGAACAAATTATCAAATTTTATTTATTAATATTATATATTTTAGAATATATTGTTTATGTGGGGGTGAGGCCCAAAAAACTTTTTGGGCATTAACCCCAGATGAACAATATATTGTGAAAAATTCCTAGCCGAGTTGTGGGGAAATGGGCAGGGTTGGGGGTGGGGATAAGGCTCAAAGTATTTGTGGGGGGGTGGAGACCCGGAAAATACTCCAGGGCTTACCCTCACCCCCCGCCCTGCCCATTTCTCCACAACTGTCCATGAAAGAACAAATTATAATTTTATTTATTCATATTATATTTTTCAGAATATATTGTTGATGTAGCAGCAAGGCCCAAACTACTTTGGGCCTTATCCCCAGACAAATAACATATTCTGAAAAATAATAAAATAATTTATTATTTAAATTAAATTCCAAACTTAGAGACATGAAATTGTGGGTCCGGTGGGGGTACGGCCCCAATTATTGTCGAGACCTTCCGAAAAAAATTGTCAATTTTCTTGATAAATGGAATTTTGATGGGAGAATGAGATGGTAGAAATATGTTTAAGGGTTCTGAGACTAGTGGACGGTAAGGCCCAAAATATTTTGAGGCAAGTAAAGATAGGTCCCAATTGTTTTTTGCTGGGAAAAATGCAATATTATTAAAAGATTCCCAAGTATCAACATTGTCAATGACTCAATGACAGTAATTATTGAAAAAGCGTATGATCTCGTAAAAGCGTTACTATAAATACCACTGCATATGTGCATCCCATCTTGGACCTCCTGACCTCTTAAAAAAACACCATTTATAGTTATTTATTTTATCTTTAATGTATGCGACATTCTATCTGGTTTGTACTGAATCCTGTTATTGGCTTCGGCTGTAGGATTCGTGTTAAAATAAATAATAAATAAATAAATAAATAAATAAATATTTGAATTTTTAAAATGGATTTTTCAATCCTTTCCTTAATTTCGTCGTAAAACTCGTCGAATATGAGACAACATCCAATCATATTTGTATTCCATGGCCATGTATCGAATATAGAACAGGATCATCCACTGCCAAGTTGTCATACTCGCAAGACCAGTAGTTTTATCTCACGGCCCGTGAGATTTTGGCAACTAACGGTGTAATACTGACATACTATTTATCAAGACATTCATATTCCCTTCTATCTTTACAATTTAATACGTAAACATTAATTTCCGCCTTCAACTCACTTCCAACAATTCTACAGATAAATAAATCAGCAGAATCACCATCTCAATAAGACAAAAACAAAATGAAAAAAAAATCGCGTCAATTTTTTTCCCCCAATTTTCCAAATTTGTTGATCAAAGTGATTTACTTCCTCCTTATCACCTCGCACCAGTTGATTACGACATGATAAATACGCAAGATTGCTCAGTTGTAGTGATAATAATCTATACACAATCGTCGCAAGAAAAAATTCACGGGTATTTTTTTTTTCATCAGCTTTTTCGCGATTAGAGTCGAGGTGGGAGGGCGAGATTTTTAGTACTGCCGTTGGAAACCTACTGGATGATATGGAGGCTTCGTTAATACTCTGGTGAGGTCACTAACTCATTAATAATCACAATAAATTTTGTTTAATTTTTTTTTAATACATTTTTTTTCGTGTTGGAGTGAAAAAAATACAGTGAGGATTAAAAAACAATAGTCATTCTTTCATTTTGAAAATACCGCACTCATTTATTGGTGAGTAATTACCCCCCTCCCCCTTATATCGGAATATTCCAAGTCTCACAGTTCACAGAAAAAAAATTTAAACTTTAAATATTTGAAAAGGGCAACAATTAATGCTCAGGTGAGGCCATCAACTCGTTAATTATCACAATAAAAATTTTTCAATTTTTCAAAAATGCTTTCTTACTTTTTTCGTGTTGAAATGAAAAAAATCCATTGAGGATTGAAAAACAATAGTCATACTTCTATTTAAAAAATGATGCACTCGTTTATTGGTGAATAATTCTCCCACCTCCCCCTTATGTCGGAATATTCCAAAAGCCCCAGATTTTACAAAAAAAAAATTGAAACTTTAAGTATTTAAAAATAGCAGCAATTTCACGAGAATCTTTTTTTCTCATCCGTTTTTTCGTGACTAGAGCCTTCGTTAATGCTCACGTGAGGCCATCAACTCGTTAATAATCACAATAAAATTTTTTCAATTTTTAGAAAATGCGTTTTTCTGTTTTTTGTGTTGAAGTGAAAAAAAAAACATTAAGGATTGAAAAACAAGAGTCATACCTTCATTTAAAAATATTACACTCGTTAACTAGTGAATAAACCCCCTCCCCCTTATGTCGGAATATTCCAAAAGCCCCAGATTTCACAGAAAAAAAAATTCAAACTTTAAATATTTGAAAACGTCAACAATTCCCCCAGCAACAATACCCACATTGTCACTTCAACCTCATTTTTGCCCCAATGCTAGATGTCCTCGCGGCACAATCGTCAGTCTGCAATAGCTCATAGTGGGGACACACGTCAATTACTAATAATTCCATTTCAATTTTTGTTGTGAAGATTGAGAACAATTCCATGAATTTCTGACTACGTGAGTATATTTCATCACTCATTCTTCCGCAGTCGGAAAATATCCGTAGTGAAGCATTATGCAAAAGTGATGGTGATAATGCAAACGATTGTGAAAAAAAAATTAATTCATAATGAAGTGATGCAGATCGAGTGGATTATGGTAATTTCGGAGATTTGAATCGAGGGATTTAATGAGTCGAGTCTTATCTGTATCACGATGCTAATGCCTAGCCCTGGAATTATCAGTGAAGGATAATTATAGTTGTTGCTGATTAATTAATTAATTGAATTGAGTTTTTCTTTAATTAACGAAATTTGGGTTCTGCACGCACAACTTTTACGAACTTCTGTTGAAAATTCTATCAGTTTTTCGCGGATTCTGAAGATTGTGAATATTTTAAATAGGAATATTTTAAAATATTACTTTCTATAGAAAAATGATTAATTTGTTTCTATAGAAAAATATTTCAACATATTATTTTCTAGCAAATTCTCCAGGTTTTCCTAGATTATTCAAATCCCCAAAATGCCGAAAACGATTTTTTATTTCTTCTACCGTAGAACTGAATAATGATGATGTCGACGATTGTTATCGCCCTCCTGGCACTCGCTGGCACCTCCAGAGGGTTTACTGGACGCGGTGTGATGTATCCTGGAAGAAATGATCTCTTCGAACTTCCTATCATTCATATCAACGACTTTCACGCGAGGTAATGAAACTAAATCCCCCGGATTTTTTTACGATTATTGTATTTGCAACTTGATAATCACCCATTCTTGAGAATTATCTTTGGAGAGAATATGTTGAGGTCATAATAGAATGAAAAAAACCGAAGAAATCAAAGTGGGTTGAGCCGATGAGGAAGTACGCAACTCACTGATCAGTGACTTTTTTTTTTGAAAACGAAAATGCTTCATTAAATAGAGTTGCCAATTAATAAATAAAGAATTTTATTTAGTTTAAATAAGAGTCCGAAAAAATTATTGGGAGTAATTAAACATTTTTTAATATTTGAAGTTAATGATAATTAAAAATGATAAATTCAGTGATTTCAAATGTTTTTCAAATTAATTGCGAATGAAATTGAACAATTTTTTTGTTGCAACTGGAGTCGAAGCATTGAAATTGATTATTTTTTTGTTTTTATTGTAACATGAGTATTTGAGACGGCGGAGATTGAGATTCTTTCAGGAGACCCTCAGACTGAAGTGGCACTTACTCTAATTTTAGTTAAAAAAGATAGGGTCGATTGAATCCGGCGCATTTGGAACATCTTTTAGGCATTTCGAGATACTTAAGCTTGCGATGAGTTTTCTCAAGTGTTTTTATCATGAAATTTAAGCTGAGCAATTAGCACCTAATGACTTCCTGATGATAATTTTTTCATGTTAAGGCCGGGTGTACTATCTTTCGAATCTTATCTGGATTTTTTTTATCTTTCGTAATCCAAAATTGTCAATTGAGTGGTACATCACGTAGAAATTCCCAAAACTTATGGTGGAATGATAAAAAAAAAAGAAAAAATTCTGAACTTTTTCAAAGAGCACTAACTCCTCATGGTGAGTGACAGCTAGGTATCTCAATTTTTAAAACAGTGGTATATAGTCATCTGCCATTTTTATGTGATAAAAGTGTGATTAAAAAATTCTCCAAAATATTACAACTTTTTTCAAAGAGCCTTTTCCGTAATAAATGTCTTCGTGCAGTATGGGAAAATATTTACGAAATCAGTCTTCCCCCTGCATGATATTGGGTGGCAGCCCGCCATTTGTCACTGTAAATCAGATACATTTTTCAATTTCTTGTTATTCAACTTATAAATTAAAAATGCTCTTTGAAAAAATTAGGAATTTCTTCTCCTTTTTTTTTATTATTTATTCATAATTTTTCAAAACTACTGCATGATGCAGGACTTAATTGACAATTTCAGATGACGAAAGATGAAAAAAAAACATCGAGATAACGTTCGAAAGATAGTACACCCGGGCCGTAACTTAATAACTTGAATGTTAATTAATTGAATAATTTTTTTCGAATTTGTGCATTTCAATTTTTTTTTTTTTCGAATTACTTCGGTCGATTTCCCTAAGCACCTGGTACATACAACGAATGAATCTAAAACTAATTTAAATTATTGAAAGACAAAAATAAAGTTGAAAATGATGTTACGTAATTTTTCCATCTCCAATAATTTTTACTGCTTGAAAATATTGGAACAGATGCACTGATTATGTCGATTGAACAGCGATAAAAGTCGTTCCCAGTTAAAATAGTATCACATGGTATTGATTCATGACTGGCGGGCGCTACTATATGAACAAATGTAGAAAGGAATTGTTTATGGGATTTTTTTTTTTTCAAGGTCAGTCGCACCGTCATTGGGGTATTGTCATCGTAATTGTAACGATAAATTGAAGGTCCTGCATTTGAAAAAATTATTGTCATGAGTATGAAAAAATTAATGACAATTTCAAATTATTCATTTGCAATTTCAATTCGAGTTTTCACTTTTTTATTTTTTTCATAGAATTTTTGATGATCATTTGATAAAACCGAAGGTTCAGAATGAAATTTAATTTTCATCTTGAAATTTAAACAATGAAGGAACATTTTTAATTGTTATTTATAAATATGAATTTTTAATTTTTTGTTTTCTGTTCTATTTTTTGTGTTCAGTGCTTCCGAATGGAAATTTTGTAATCGTTCAAATTTAAATTGGACGTATGTAACAATGTTTTTCTTCAACTGTTCACTAATGAATGGATGGAATTGAATTTTTTTTTTTCAAATGGAGGTATTGTTGAGCCGCATCGATCGCCATTGATTAAAATTTAATTCATCAATTAGTTTTTTTTTTTTTGAATTTTATCGAAGCTCAGTTGTTCCACGATAATTAAAAAAAATGCGGAGAATTGATTGAATGACGACTTAAAAAAATTATTTGAATGTCCTTCTGACCGAGTTCGAAGATGAAGGCGATAGCAATAATCATTATTTTGATTTATTTGAAAATTTGCAAAAATTTTGTATTTCTTGAAAATCAGAATTCCGGCGATATCTTTGAATATCATGCTTCAAATGAATTCAATCATAGCTTAAAATGTTTACTTCAATGCTATTAAGTCGAAGTTAAAAGATGATTACGATAATTATATTAGTTGATTTGATTTTTATAATTCTTGAAAATTTCGAATTTTTCATGAATTTGCCTGAAAGTGAGCTTTCTGATGGTTTCCTCAAATGTGATGTTTCAAATTCATTCAAGTATGTATAAATAAAATTTTTCTACTAACATTTTATCGAAGGGCTGAGGAGAGAGATAGAACCGTAAAAAAGACAATCAGTTGTGTAGAAGAAAGGGATAATAAGAATAACGATGATGATAACATTAAACTAAGTTAAAAATCTGACAAAGTTAGTTGAAAAGAAATCTTATTCAATTTAATAAAATGGAATAAACAATGAGCTATACATGACAGAAGGAAATGATGTGGAAAATAACCATTCGGAAGGATATTGCTAATTTATCAGCGAAAATAACGATATTATATGCAATGCATGAGCAATTTCCCATTTATTTTTCTTTTTTCACTCTTTGTTTTTTTTTTCAATTCTGTTTTCTATAATTTTTTTCATTAGATATGAGGAGGTGGGACCCTGGGCCGGTACCTGCCACCGTGACGAAGGTGAGGAGTGCATCGGTGGCCTCCCTCGGGTTTTAACAGGAATTAAACAATTATTCGAGGAGAGAGGGCCCAATTCTATTTTTCTCAACGCTGGGGATCATTACCAGGGGACACTTTGGTACAATGTCCACAAGTGGAATGCAACTGCCGAGTTTCTGAACATGTTGCCTCACGATGTGATGGTAATAGAATCAGAATAATTCCTTTTTTTCACCCGATTCAAGAATTTCCTCTTCTTATTTTTGAAAAATCTCCGTAACGCGTGGTTCTAGGGAAAAAAGTGACAAAGCATTTTCTGTGGAGCATTAAATTTCCGACAAGAAAAATATTGTGATATTTTTCCCCACTATCAGTAGTTATCGAGATAATCGCATTTGAAGAAAGAAAGGATGTTTTTTCTTGGCTAATCTTTCAGACAATTGGAAATCACGAGTTTGACGATGGAATTGATGGACTTGTGCCCTTTCTGAAAAATGTTGTGTCACCAGTTGTCGTCACCAACATTGATTACACTCACGAGCCGAGAATGCAGGTGATGAAATAATTTTTTTTTCTTTAATTTTCAGTTTTTTATGCTCTTCTGATTACAACAATTAATTTTACTCCAGGGCTTGATGACAAATAGTACAATAATAACCAGGGCTGGAAGGAAAATCGGGGTGATTGGAGTTATTTTCAAGGGAACACCAGTAAGTGTCCTCGAATGCTCAGTATTACGAAGAAAAAAACTAAAAAAATATGTAGAAGAATTAAAAATGGATAGCGCCATAATTACTGCAGTAACAATAACAATGATTATCTCGTTGCAGTCTATAGCTAACACTGAGAAGCTGATATTTCTGGACGAAGTGGAGACCGTCAATTTGGAGGCGGAAAAGCTAAAACGAGAGGATGATGTCGACATAATAATTGTCCTAAGTCACTCTGGCATTGATGTGGACAGGATAATGGCTGCCAATTGTCCTTTAATCGATGTTATTATTGGTGGTCATTCTCACACATTTTTGTACTCAGGTATTTTTTAATTCCGCAATTTTAACGTGAAGTATTTTTTTTTTCATTCATTATAAAATCAAAAGATTGAGGATTCAAAACCTTCTTTGAACTCTTCTTTAGCGCCTGAAATTGCCTACAAAAATGTCTTGTCATATTTTTTCCTACAATCGAAAGATTATTGTATTTTTGATGAAAAATAGAAATGGATCGGCTGTGATTTTTTGTCTCATCGATTCGTCTAATCACGTGGCATCAATCATCCTTATCTCGTCTAATTTTCCTGCATTCTTGTTCTCAAACGGGGACAATTGAAAGAATAGCTTAATCATTGAGCATGTGCTTTAAATCAATGATTATTTTTGATAAACACGCGAGCTAGTGACGTTAATTAATGCTGTATGAATACAACGCATTGGAGCAATGATAAAAATATTGAGACATCCATGAAACGAGAAGAATATGCGAAATAAAAAATTTCATTGATATTTAAAGAATTTTTTTACAAAAAAAAATTTTGTTTTCGGAAAACAAATTATATGAAAAAAAACGATTTTTCTTTCTTCAGGTGATAAACCACCATTTGTCGATACTCCCGAGGATGTTTACCCAGTGGTAGTAACTCAGGAGAACCCATTTCGAACGGTTCTTATAGTTCAAGCGGCGGCATTTACCAAGTGAGTGCTCGATCGATAATTCAGAATTAATTTCTAATATCGCGTTTATCTCGAGAATAGTTCATGTTAGGAGAAAAGGTCATAAAATCTTTTTTGTAGAGGATTCAATTTTCTAAAAAAAAGTTCTATGACGTTTTTCTCTAAAATAATCAGTTTTCAAGATATTCATCAAAATAAACGACACGTTTTTTTCATTAAATAAAAAATTCCAATTTACGTTTTCTGTTAATCATTGAAAAATCTTAATAATGAGTGAATTTAAGAGAAAAACTTATACAACCTTCATTGTAAAGCATTAAATTCTCCACCAAAAATGTTCATTTATATTTTCTTCTAAACCCACTCATTACCGAGATAATTCCTATTTTATGAAGATTTATAAAATCCTGGAGTCGATAAATCATTACTAGATCTTTTTTTCGTTAAAAAAAAGCGATGTACTAATTAGTTATTCAATGCAATCACCCTTCAAAATCCATAATACCCCATAAATCATCCTGAGACTTCGTTTTCTGTTTAATTATTCTTTAGATACTTAGGAAACCTGACCGTCTGGTTCAACGAAGCCGGCGAAGTTGAAGACTGGGACGGGAACCCAATTCTCCTAGACGTTGGGATCCCAGAGGACCCGGAGATGCTGAGGGCCCTGGCCCCCTGGAAGACCGCTGTAGATGAACTGAGTAACAAAGTCATCGGTGAATCCAGGGTGGAGCTTCGTCACGGCTGCAGAGACGGCGAATGCAACATCGGAAATCTGATCACTGACGCCATGGTGGACGGCGTGAGTTGCACTCCTCCATTCCCCTGCGAATATCTCGATATCTGTCGGTCCTAGGAGAAAACGTGGGGACAGTTTTGTAGGGAATTTCAAGAGCTGCAAAAAAGGTCTTCTGACGTTTTCCGCTAAATGCGGTAGTTCCCGAGATATTTGCGAAATAGTGAGGAAGGATTTATAAAATTTTTGTTCTTTGAAAAAGTTCGTCGAGAAGGCGGAGAACAAGAGCTACTGGACATACGCCGCTATCGCGGTGATGAACGGGGGTGGAGTGAGGGCTGGGATAGCCTCAACTAGTGGGGTCATCACTTATGGAGATGTCGTGGTGGCACAGCCCTTCGAGAATATGTGGGATGTTGCAGAAATGCTGGGGAGGGATATTCGAGAGGTAGTAATTGCTGATTATTTCGGTAATGAGTCGATTTAGGAGGAAATGACTCAGAATATTTTCTATAGAGAATTAAATTCCCCGCAAAAACGACTTTTGACATTTTTCCCTAAACCTCCACGGACGAGGGATATTCGAGAGGTAGTAATTGCTGATTATTTCGGTAATGAGTCGATTTACAGTTTTGAGAAAATGGCTCAGAATATTTTCTATAGAGAATTAAATTCCCCGCAAAAACGACTCTTGACATTTTTCCCTAAACCTCCACGGACGAAAAAATTTAATAGAAAAACCGATCGAATTCGTTGAAAAATTCTATTGAATTTCTATTGAACTGTTCTATTAGTTTTTGGCCAATTCTATTGAAATATTCAATAGAAAATATTCAGTAGAATTCAATTTTTCTATGTAACTTATTCTATTGAGATATTTTCTATAGAATGTCTTCGGCTCAAATTTTCCAAGTTTTTTCGTTTGATTTTCTTGATGAGAAGAAGAGAAAAAAATCTTCAAGTAGTTCATATCCACCACAACCAGACCCAATCAATCCCTCTAATTACGCAATTATCTCCTCAAATATCGATTTCAGGAGAAAATGTCAGAAAATACTTTTTGTAGAGAATTAAATTCCTCATAAAAAATGTGATTTGACGGTTTGCCCTAAACCCCCTCGGTAACGAGTTGCACTCGATTTTTGTAGACTCTAGAAGTCAGCGTTGCGATCGGCTACAACAGGACGAAATTCCCGAATCGTGCGTATGTCTTCTGGTCGGGACTCAGGGTGACGTACAACCTTACCGCTGAGCTCTACTCCAGGGTGATGGACGTCAAAGTCAGATGCAGAAAGTGCCAAGTGCCGGAGTTCGAGAACCTCAGGGACAACGAGTGGTATAGAATCGTCATCCCCTCGTTTCTATTAGCAGGGGGCGACAGTCACACCATCATCGAGAAGAGACACAGAAATCGCGTTCAGGGGATGAGGGATCTGGATCAATTGACTAAATTCATCACGAAAAATAGTCCCTTGTTCTACGGAAATGAACGAAGGGTCATTTTCATTGAGGAGAGTAATTCTGTGTGAATTCTTGAAGAGTGAATGAGGAAATTCGTGATATGAAAAAAAACATATCGCCTATTTTGTTGAATATCTTAAGAATGAGTGATTCTAGGCGAAAGTACCATAAGGAAGTTTTTCCACGGAATTGAATTATCAATAAAAAATGTTTTATGGGATTTTCCTCTAAACCCATTCATTTTTTAGATTTTTTGATAATTAGCTAAAAAAGAATTTTGGCGTCTTCATGGCATTGAGAAAAACGTGTCATTTATTTCGTTGAATATCTCAAAAACGAATGGTTGATTTTATTTATATGCATTGGAACCTTTCGGTTCCTATGGGCCTAAGCTGTTGATAAACACGTCTACTTCCTTCGGTGGTTCGAACAAGACTAAAAAAAAACGAATGGTTCTAGGCGAAAATGACATAAAAAAATTTTTCTAGATGATTGAATTTCGAATAAAGAATGTCTTGCGATATTTTCCTCTAAACCCACTCACTATTGAGATTTTTCGATGATTAATAAGAAGCAAAGAATTTCGGCATCTTAATGACAAAAACGTGTTATATATTTTATTGAATATCTAAAAAACGAGCGATTCTAGGCAAAAATATCATAAAAAATTTTTTGTAGAGCATCGAATTTTCAACAAAAAATGTCTTGCAGTATTTTGCTCTAAACCCACACATTACTGAGATTTTTCAATAATTACCAAGAAAATAGAAAGTGTTGAATTTTTCTGAAATGAAAGAACGTCTTCTACTTTATTAAAAATTAGCAAAAACTCATCATCTTCCCCAGATATTTTTCATCCACTCCTTTGTCCAACGAAATTAGAAAAAAGATTTGGGGAATAAAGGGGAGGAAACGGTCTCTATCGTCGCGTATCTCGAGATCGAGGCAGGTGAGGCATTTAAATAATATATTGAACAGGTGAAATGGCAGCTGTTGGGAGGGCACATCGTGCCACTCACTGTACCCACAGCCATCCGACCGAAGAAATCTGATGAATCTTGACCAAATCTATTTTATTTTTCTACAAAGCTTGAAAACTGGGAAGAAAAAAATAGAAATCCAGTGCGGAAAATAAAAAAAAATGTCTACATGTGTATTATATGAAATTATTTGATCCTATACCTGACTTAATATATGATTAAATAAATGAATAAATCAATAAATTAATAAACAAGTAGAAAATTGCACTTGTATTGCATATATATAGTTATTTTTGCTACTAAATTAGCAATATCCTTTCGAATGGTTTTTTGCACATCATTTCCTTCTATCATCTATAATTCATGGTTTATCTCATTTTATTAAATTTAATAAGATTTCTTTTCAACTAACTTTGTCAGATTTTTAGCTGAGTTGAATATTGTCATCATCATTATTCTTATTATCCATTTCTTCTACACAACCGATTGTCATTTTTACGGTTCTCTTTCTCCCCTCAGCCCTTCGATAAAATGTTGATAGAAAAATTTTATTTACACATACTCGAATGAATTTGAAACATCACATTTGAAGAAACTATGAGAAAGCTCACTTTCAGGGAAATTCATGAAAAATTCTAAATTTTCAACAGTCATCTTAAAATCAAATCGACCAATATAGCTGTCGTACTCATCTTTTAACTTTCACTCAATAGCATTGAAACGAACATTTTAAGCTATGATTAAATTCATTTGAAGCATGATATTTACAGATATCCCCGGTATTCTGATTTTAAAAAAATACAAAATTTTTGAAAATGTCAAATAAATCAAAATAACGATTCTTGCTATCACCTTCATCTTCAAACTAGGACAAAAGGACATCCAAACAATTTTTTTAAGGGGCGACGGAAACCCTTTGTCTACATCAAATCTTAGAATTGTGTTTTCTCCTTCAATTATTAATTTCTATCTATGAAATCACTGTATCAACTCGATTATCGCATTGTTGAGTCAATGAAGTAGTTTAATGAATAATAAATAATAATTGCAGGAGAAAACAATTCTAAAGATTCATATAAACGCAGGGGCTCCCTTAAGGAAACATTCAATCAATTCAGAACATTTTTTTAGTAATCGTGGGTCAACCGATTTTCGAAAAAAATGGAAACTAAAAAAAATAGATGCATTAAATTTTAATTAATGGCGATTGATAGGACTCGACAATACCTACATTAAAAAAAAAAGATTCAATTCCATCCATTCGTTAGCGAACAATTGCAGAGAAACTTTGTTACATACACACATACACGTACGGACGATAAAAATTGCATTTACGAACTTTTTGGATTATACTGGGTCGATACAACACACAAAATCCAAAACTTAAATTTGAACGATTACAAAGTTTTCATGCGAAAGCAAAAGAATGAATGAAAACAGAATTGTAAAAAAAGGAGAACACGAAAAATGAAACAAAAAACCAAGATTTAAAAACTCATAATTATAAATAACAATTAAAAATGTTTATTGATTGGTTAAAATTCATGATAAAATTCATGATCATTCGGAAGCAATAAATAGATAAATGAATAAATAATTCATAACTCAGAAACAAACGTATCAATAGAGCTTAGTTTGGGCTCATCACAAAGGGAGAGAATTGTTCTTTGTATTAAAAAAAAAATATTAAATTTCATCAAGATTTCAGCCTGCCACTAACATTTTTTAAAAAGTCAAGTGTCCATTTTACCCCAACCTCCCCTAAATTAATTAATAAAACAAACCTAACAAAAATACTTTTTTTCAAAAAAAAAATCTGAAGCCGGTATTGCAGCGTCCTGTTTTCCCCTCTCCCCTCCACGGGCAACGCTGGCAACCGTTCTTGGCCCATGAGCACAGTCCCCCCATCACCCTCCGTCAGTTCGCCAAGAGCCGTCGGGCTCGATGGATCTCCTCCGTAGAGATTGAATTCCCCAAAATTCTGATAATTTCCGTTCAAAAGACGGATCTCTCCACAAGGAAAAATCATCTTCAGCATTAATGATCATCACCCCCCCACCCCAGAGCCTTAAATAAATAATAAATAACCAACATAACCTGAAAAGACTTCGATAAAAGTGAGGAAAACCGAGGAAAAGGGCAATGTGTTCAGCCAATTTGCACTGATTACCCGCTTAATTAGGTCAATTAATTAATTCCAGGGGTTGAGATCATCCCCATGATCTCCTAAACATTAAAATGTCTAATTGACATCCGGGAAATGAGGGAAGACTGAGGAATAACCTTGACCCGCTGAAAAATCCGCTCTCGGTATCAAGTTTTAATTGACTTCCGAAGTAATTAGCCTTGATTAGCATTTTTTTCACGTGTGCGGGGGTAATTACAAGTGATTGAAGAAGTGTTCAATTTTATTGGAGTGACAAAGTGACAGTTTGCGATGGTTTTACGGGTGAATAAGAGAGTTTAAGTTGAGACTCGGAATTTGTGACAAGTCGTTTGTTACGATAAACTCCCGGATTAGCATAATTGTGAGTGGGTGGATTGTTGGTGACACATCTTGCAATTGAAGAAAAGACGTTGATGATTGTCTAGGGGGAGATGATGAGACGTGAGGGGAAATGACATGATGGAGGACGCCATGTCTGAGGTAATGATTTCTGGATTTTCGGCTCAATTATCTCGATACTGAGTGCATTCAGGGGAAAATGTGACAGACATTTTTTATGGGAAATTTAATTCTCTAGAAAAATGGTCTACAACATTTTCTTGTAAATTCGATGATTAATGCGATAATTGAAGGATTAAGAAACACAATTCTATGCCTTATTTTGATGCGAAGACCTTCCTCTCATTGATTAATTACGCGATTAACTCGGAGACTATAGGATCTGGGGAAAAATGTCGTAAGATTTGTTTTTAGGGAATTGCATTCTCTACAAAAAATGTTTAGCGACATTTTCTCGTAAAATCGATGGAGAGAATTGAATTCTCCACGAAAAGTCTCAATAGTTCCTCCACAATTCCTTCAGAATTTCGCATTCAACGAAAACCTCATATTTGATTTATTAAATTGAGAATTAAATTCCATCCCAAGGAATCATCCGCGGATAATGGAAGCTCCCCTCCCCATTGATTAATTTTCAACTCTCCAAGACCAGTATAACTCTGCATTCTCGTAACAAAAATAAATTTAAATGAAGTTCAATTATCTCGGTAGTGAGTGGATTCAGAGGAAAATGTGCCAGACATTTTTTTGGGGGATTTAATTCTCTAGAAAAAAAGTTCTATCACATTTTCCTATCGTATAAAGTCTCGTAAATTCGACGATTAATGAGATAATTGAGGGATTAATAAACACAATTTTATGCCTCATTTTGATATGGAAACATGAAAATGATTAGCCATATTTCTGAGAGATTTGCCCTCATTGATTAATTACGCGATTAACTCGGAGACTATAGGACCTGGGGAAAAATGTCGTAAGAGTTTTTTAGAGAATTTCATTCTCTACAAAAAACGTTCAGCGACATTTTCTCGTAAAATCGATGGAGACTGAGATAATCCCAGAATTAACAGAAACAATTTTCTCAGAGAATTGAATTCTCCACGAAAAGTCTCTCAATATAGTTCCCCACAATTCCTCCACAATTCCGGATTTAACGAAAACCTCATAGTCAACTTATTTAATTGAGAATTAAATTCCATCCCAAGGAATAATCCGTGGATAATTGAAGCTTCCTTCCCCATTAATTAATTTTCAACTCTCCTAGACCAGCATAACTCTGCATCCTCGTAATGAAAATAAATGAAATTCTTCTTGAGAAACTTTGGAATTAAACTACTTCAATATTTCTGGTAGTGTTCCACTATAAACTTTCCTCATAAAAGCTTTTATACCCGAGCAATATCGTTGTGGAACAACCAGCCAATTTCCCGGAAACTTTTTAACTGAAGAAATTTTTTTGTTGATTTAAACACTCCATCTCATTCTTTCAAACCATTAAATGAATTTCTTTCACAAAAATCAGAAACACTGGAGCCGAAATGACAATTTGTCACTATTCTATCTGACCCTTATGATAGTCTTCATAAGCTCCTTTCACCCTTCATAAATTCATTTTGCCCGAGACGAAATAAAGAGCAAAAAAATTGTGAACTTTGAAATTTCTCATTTCAACTCCCTGAATTCGCTGTTTCGACTCCTCACGCAGTTTCTAAGATTTCAGATCCATTGATGTTTCTCTCTCACGTCTCAGGGAAGGGGAAAATTGTATTTGAGTACTAACTATCGTATTTATGGAACTTAACTGAAGGGGAGGAGGTTGTTGGTTGATTCAAACAATCCAACATCTCATTCTTTCAAAACAACAAATCAATTTCTTTTACAAAATTCGAGAAAAAAATATCATGTTTTTGTTCTCGGAAAAATTCTCATTCTCTTTATTTTGCAAAATAAAATGGTGTTTTTTGTTCCATTGATTCTTGACCCTTAAAATCGAGTTTTCCTCTCAAAATATGCGTTTTTTGGGCTTCCGCCTCTTCAAATTTAAATTGAATTTCTTCCCTTGAAAGAACATATTTTTCTACGCCTTCCATCAAAATTTCAAAGTGGTACTCGTAATGGAAATCGCGTAATTCCACTAAGAAGATATAAAAATCGAATTATTCGTTGGAAATGCATATTCAACCGCAGTTGGATTCAGCCGCATCTTAATCCCCTAAGTTCAATTTCAATATCCCCACTCTATATGGCAGTCAAAGCGAAATGCCCTTCTACACTTTACTACGCTTTTCACCTAAGAGGGTTAAAAACTCCGCTGAATTATCATAGCATGATTTTATCAAATTTCCTTAATTAATTTTCTAACTATCGCACATGACAGGATTTTTGTCCATAAGATCTTTTTGGGTAATAATTTCAAGTGGGACTTCTATCACGAGTCTCAATTTGCAATTTTGATGGAAGACATAGAAAAATATGTTCTTTCAAGGGAAGAACTTCAAATTAAATTCGAAGGGGCGGAAGGCCAAAAAGACATATTTTGAGAGAAAACTCGATTTTAAGGGTCAAGAATCAATGGGATAAAAAAATCGCCATGTTTTTTTTTGAAAAATTGAAAATTTTTCCGATATAACATATGAAATTTTTTTCTACCATGAAAATTGTAGCCGTGACATTTATTCGAAAGAATATTGTGAAGAAAAATTAAATTTGAAGTTTCTCTGTCATCAATAGACTTTTTTTAATCATTATTTTACATCGCTTCGACCCGGTTAGGGTATACTGCGACGATGATCACAAGACTTTAAAGTAGCTCTACCCTTTTGGGGTTATATTTCAATTCAAAGATTTTTAAAAACTACAACAAATCGCCTAAAAACTCGGTGTGATTCGGAATCGTAATCTTTTTCCTCATTTAATGGTCGTTCAAGTTTTTCTAAAAGGAAATGTTGAAAATCCATTATTTAACACAGGGTCTTATGTGAAAAACGCTGAATTTACCACAACTCCGGTCAAAACAAAGATTAAAATCTAATTTTTTTTTCTAAAAACGAGAAAAAAATAATGAAAAATATTGGCACCTGTTGGATAACGATTTATCGTTTAGTTTTATTAATAATACTGGCAACAGGAATAGACATGACAACAGTGACCATGTGATGGCGCCCGCTCCGCTCGTCTCCAACTTCCCATATGATCGTACGGCGTTGCCACAGTTATTTGCAAGCTAGTCAATTGAAAAACTGCTTATGTGCACTTTATTTAAAAAAAATTGATATAAGATAATACTTATGCTCATGACCTCTATGATTTATTTTAATAATTTAGAGCTAGAAATACTGATTTTTAGAATGTATTTTTTGTGAAATAGACTCAATGACTCCAGCCGTAGGGGTAGAGCTACTTTAATTGATTAGATCGCAGCATTCTACCCGGCCGGGATTTGCACTCGGAACCTTTCCGCATGTGAGGCAACGAACTGCGCCAAGCCACCGGTATATCAATAGACTTACGAGGCTAAAATTTTAAGATAATACTCTCTTTAATATGTAGAACCAAGGGTGAAACTTGGAGCTCAATCCAAAGTTTGACTCGGAAAGTCGGGACGATAATTGGGAGAATTGCGTATTGGGCCCCCTTTTTTACCGTGGATACACGAGAGATTTTACCGTGGATCAATTGAAAGGGTCAATCGGAAGGGTCACAAAAAGGAGTCGCTAGGATCAGGAGTTGTGACAAGATTGTCCAGCGGAGTCTAGAAGTCTCCCTGGTATGGGAAAATCATTTCATCCTGCATAAATTCATTTGGCCTCGAGAAAAAAATTAGTGAAGTTTGAAATTTCTCATTTCAACTCCGTGAATTCTCAGTTTCGACTACTCATGCAGTTTCCAAGAGTTCAGATTCATTGTTGTTTCTCTCTCACGTCTCGGGGAACGGGAAAATTGTATTTGGGTAGTGAATGTTGTATTTATGGAACTTAAATGAAGTTTGAAATTTCAGTTGAATTGAAGTTGTGAAACTCATCGGGGCAACTGGTACGAACTTTAAGGGGAACAGGTGCGGGTTATGGGTAAAAATAGCCGCGCTATATGGAGTTATTGGAATTTTAGAAGGCAGTTGAGAGTTTTAATTAAAATTTTTTTTCTTGCTCTGAGGGGTGAATGATAACGCGAGATTAATGCGGGTTTATCTCGGCAAACAGTTTATCTCACGAGAAAATGTCTGTTTACATTTCGCGAAATGCTCAGATGATTCATTTAGACCTCATTATTCATTTGTCAATGAATTTTCTCTTCAAATAAATTATTCTGGTTATTGCTCGGTCTTCGGGGGTTATTAACCGTCATAAATTCTCCAGAAAATACACTGCCACAGCTTTATTACTCATCTTCCAGTGGTAAAAATTGAGAATAACTCGACGGTTCAATAATCCCTCCTCAACAAGTTGTAAACGAATCATCTTTACGATTTCCAGGACACGATGATGGATTGCGGGAGCGAGGAAGAGGGTGTGGACGAACTCGTTGACCTGACGAGTGAAATTCCCGACTCGGTACCCAACATTCGAGGTAAGGGCCTCGCAAAATATTTTACATTTTTTTATCACCAATTTTTAATCTTCAAGTGACAAACAATGTAAAAAAATGACGAAATAGTTTATTTAATTTATGAAACGGAAATATCTGCTATTTTTCGAGGAATTTTTTTTTCTGACGATTCCATTTTTTCAAAATTTCGAAAAACCTCTGGAAGCGGATATTTTTTTTAAAATTAAGTACTCGTACCCAACATTCGAGGCAAGGGTCTAGCAAAATATTTTATATTTTATCATCATCAATTTTTAATCTTCAAAAGTGACAAAAAATATTGAAAAATTACGAAATGATTTTATTTACGAAATGGAAAGCTCTGCATTTTTCCGAATAATTTTTTTTTCTCCCCATTTAATTTTTTGCAAATTTCGAAAAATCTCTGAAAACGGATATTTTTTCGGTTAAAAAAAATTAAGAACTGGGTCTGGTTCTCTTCCTCCCTGCTTCCCCCCGCAAAAGATCATGTGAGACGCCCTCATGATGATCCTGTCAATAGAAGAATTTCCCGAAGGGAAAAAACACTGGAAACCTCCATTTCGAAGGGTCAGAGTGAAATCGACCGGTTCTGTGTGACAATATTGATCATCATCGTCTCTCATGGTCCTCCGGGAACGTGAGAACTGCAGAAATGATCATTTCCCTTCATTTTTTTATGTGTTTACTCCCCTTTTCTCCATCGATTCTATGATTCGACGGAAAAACACAATTTTTGAATTTTCCAAAATGGTGATTATTTCGTTAATGAGTGGATTTAGGAGAAAATGTCAGAGGAATTTTCTTCTGGAGAATTAAATTTTCTGCAAAAAAGGTTTTATAACATTTTTCCCTAGAATTGTTCGTTCGCGAGATATCTGCGAATTTACCCAAAAGAGTTTTTCTTTTTATTTGCAATTTCATGCAATTCACACATAATTATGAAAAAAAAGTTATGAGAATTTTTTTTCATGAGATTTTAACGTCTCATCATGTATTCAAGACAATTATGAATCTGAAGCATCCAGAATCCGCCTGGACCAGACGGAAAACAATTTTTCCTCTCCATTATTCGCATCTCATGGGAATTTTGCTCCAGTAACTCACCCATGGGAATTACCTGTTACCCGTTTTTACGTTGAGTCTGGCCCTCTTAATTTCGCACGAGTTTATATACCTCCCCTCCCCACACAACCAACCCAGTTGAATTGAAGTAAGAGAGAGAGAGAGAGAGAGAGAGAGAGAGAGAGAGAGAGAGAGAGAGAGAGAGAGAGAGAGAGAGAGAGAGAGAGAGAGAGAGAGAGAGAGAGAGAGAGAGAGAGAGAGAGAGAGAGAGAGAGAGAGAGAGAGAGAGAGAGAGAGAGAGAGAGAGAGAGAGAGAGAGAGAGAGAGAGAGAGAGAGAGAGAGAGAGAGAGAGAGAGAGAGAGAGAGAGAGAGAGAGAGAGAGAGAGAGAGAGAGAGAGAGAGAGAGAGAGAGAGAGAGAGAGAGAGAGAGAGAGAGAGAGAGAGAGAGAGAGAGAGAGAGAGAGAGAGAGAGAGAGAGAGAGAGAGAGAGAGAGAGAGAGAGAGAGAGAGAGAGAGAGAGAGAGAGAGAGAGAGAGAGAGAGAGAGAGAGAGAGAGAGAGAGAGAGAGAGAGAGAGAGAGAGAGAGAGAGAGAGAGAGAGAGAGAGAGAACTGACCGATGCACCCCTCGAGTCAGGTAGGGGTACGAAATCTCTCTTTTTTTTTTCTTGAATCCACTACAGACTGACTCTATGGGGTTCAATAACACATTCAGTTATACCTGTTCCTGGGAACCAGATCTAGATATCCAGAGGTTTATGAGAAAAATCACTCGACGTTTAGAGAATTTTTAAGATTCATTGAGAAGAATGAGTGAAATTGTACGTAAGTTTATTTTATTTTTTATTTTGTTGATATAGTATTGGTATTGAGTAGAAAAATTGAGGAATGCTCTCATAGAATTGGAAGTATCGTTCACTTTATTATTTTTTATATAGAAAAAAATGTAATTTAAACATTCGAATTATGATGATGATCTAATGTTATGTTGTAAATATGCAATTCTCTAGTTAAATATCAAGTTGAGGAAAAAATACTAATAGACCTTGTTTATTGGAAATTTTGAGATGTAAAAAAATGATCCTTTAGTCTTTTCTTCCAAAGTTGATATTTACCAAGATATTGGCAAAAATGTAAAATTTCCTCAAGCCAACTCCGATCACTTCGTGAATGGCGCCTATCTCGAAAACTATCGATAATTGGATTAAATGTCATAAGAACTTTTTGTAGGTAATTGAATTCTCTACAAAAAAGTCCTTTGCCATTTTCTCCTAAACCAAATATTTACCGAGATATGTGACCGCGTAACGAAAATCGTGACGCCACGCTTTCACTTATCCCCACTCCTCCCCAATTTTTCTCTCTCTGCATAACCACCGAACGCCTCGCCTTGCAGACGCTGCGGAACGTCTCTTGACACTCCTGGGTGTCGAAGACGACGACTCCTCCTCAGAAGACGAGGGAGTGGAGCTCGACCTCGACGACGAACTCCCTGAGAACTCTAGATTCCTCCACCAACTAGCGACCTCTCTCGTTCAAGAACTTAAATACACCCAGAAATCCACTCCCCTTCATCCTCTACCTCTCAACGACCTCCAGGAACAGATCCAGCACATGGATGTGTCCGGTGAGGACGTTCCCATGCACCAGACCCTCCAGAATCACCAGAACTCCTCATCATTTGCGCAAATAGTTCCCAATCCATCCGAAAAAATCGTATCCTGCAGATCTAATCCTCATTATGTGATCTTGAGAACGAGCTATGAGGGCTACATAACCAACAAAAGATGCAGGATCGATGAGGACTCGAGGGAGGCCGAGGAAGACGGCGACGATTCTGTTTTATCGACTGACATCCTGGGGTCGTGGACAGCGGGGTGGGAGGCGTGTGCCACCGAGGCTGTGAGGTATCTCCTGGAGGTAGAGGGACTTCCTCCGCAGCATCCTAAAGTACTCTCCTTGAAGAGCCACCTCGAGGTGCAGAAGGGTCGCGCTTTCGCCCAGTTTTCCGCATGAATTGATGATTTTTTTTTAGGTTAGGAGGAGTTTTCTGGGGTTATGACGACTGGATCGTTGAGGATGGGCCTTCCTGGAGGGCTCAGGGGTCTCAGTGCACGGAGAGACTTGGAGAGGAGGCTGAGGTTATGGCAATCGACTGCGTGTGACGTAACGATTTTTTTCCGTCTAGGGATATCTTGCAAGGGTTTAGGGGAAAATGTCGGGGATTTTGTTCTAGGGAATTTAAGGATTACAAGAGAAGTCTAGTGACATTGGGAGAAGGGATAGTTCGAGTGTAACGTTTTGTTTTTCGTAACAGTGGCGATATCTCGGGAGGGGAGAGCTCTAGGGGAAAACGACAAAGAGATTTTTTGTAGAGGACTTCGAGATCCACAAAAAGTATCAATTATATTTTCTCCTAGGATCGATATGTACCGAGATAATTGCATATTTAACACGTAGGTTAACCTCAAATTGTGGAGAATTATGACTAATCACTCTGAGATCTCTCCGTGTACATGATAAACGACTTTAGTGAAATTATCTGCGTATAATCCACTGAAGGAGCATGGCATCGATGATTCAACCTCCTCGATCGATGTTCCTTCGTCCCTAGTATAATAATTAATTCGAAAATCATCGCGGACGCGATTCAACGGGGAAGTGACAAAAAATGAAATTCAAGTCAGGTTTTATCGTCTGGATAAATTGCCATTTATCTCGGTAATTAGTGGTTCCAGGGGAAAATGTCGTAAAACATTTTTTATGGAAAATTAAATTTTCTACCAAAAATGTCTTGCGATATTTTCCCCTAGAACCACTCGTTACCGAGATAATTCAGCTCTTTTACCACTTTCCCAGTGAATTCAGATGGTTTATTTTTTTATCCTCATATTTCAACATTCTGAATTATTGTAAATATGTATGATAACTATAGATGATGTAATTGTGTTGTTACTTTTACATGAACATCTAGGTAAATTAATGACCAATGTAGATAAATAAACATTTGAGAATAAATTGAGTGATAATTTAAGAGACAGTGATTTTTTTTTCAGGAATTTTTATTAATGAATTTTAGGTTCGATGGGACGAATATATTTCTTAAATTTGTGGGGAAGAGGGGGGGTAGAGGGGGAATTTGAGATGATGGCTTGAAAAGAAACTCCACAAGTTTTTCAAAAGGGGATTTCCTACGCCAATGGGGCATCTGGTGTTGCTCCTCTCCCGTAGCACATGCCATGCATCTGCCTCTCGAAAAACGGTGGATGTACTGAACCAAGAGGATTTTTAGTATTTTGATACATTATTACATTATAAACTTCAGTTTTTTAACATGAAAAATCGTTTTTAGAATGAGAACTTTTAAGGAAACAAAATGGGTTATTGAATTTCAGAAAAATCCATTTGGAAAATTAAAAAGGGGAATGCGTTTGTTCATTCTGCAATTATCTTCAGAAAATGTTTTAGGGTGAACAGGCCAATACCTGGACGATTTCACATTTTATTAAATATTCTATAAATAATAGAATGAAAACTGTACGGATTATTTTCATTATCAACAATAACACTTATGTATGATCATGTGATGATTTTTTTTTTCGAAATATCAACATTACAGCGAGAATAGTACATTACATGCCCGAGCCGTGGAAAACAGATCACCTCGCCTTCGGCTCGGAAGGCAATCTTGCACGTGGGGGAGGGTGATATGTTTTCCATGGGGAGGTGTGTATATTAATTTTCTGTACTGCTTCTCACGATTTCTCGTCTGGGAATTGGTATTACATACTTCCCAAACTCGAAAACTTGAAAATCACTGCAGAAAAATATTGTTCCTGGGCTGTTGCGATGGGGTTTTTTTACTCGTGTGGTTGGCCAGTCCTCGCCTACGGCTCGGAGGCCAACGCCACACGAGTAAAAAACCCCATCGCAACAGGCCGGAAAAATACTATTGTATTTTGAGGCGGCTGCGCCCCACGAAATTGGCGTTTTTCAGGTCCCATGACACGAAAAAAAAATGAAATATTCGGAAGGTACAGTGCTGGGTGGCGTGGCGCTGCAATTTACTAAGCACAGAGATACAAATGCGTCACATGACCCGTCATATGACGGTCATGTGAGCGTCATTGACGATCACATGACGAGGCGTTCATGACGGCTGTCACAATTCCCCCTCCCCCTTCTGTGACCGTCACAACTTGTCAAGAAAAAATGACAGTCATTTTTCATCTATATAGATGAAACTTTATTTTTTTCTCGGTCAATTTTCAGTTGAATTCCTTTTGTATTGGCTTAATCCGCATTTTGAAATGGAAATCACGTTTTTTTCCATCCATATAGATGAAACTATTTTGTTTTATTCATGACTGTCACAAATTGGAAATTAGTTATGACCGTCATTATGCAACTATACAGATGGTTTGACAACAATTTGGTTACAAATGATTTGTGACAATCATTTGTAGTTGGAAAATTTGTGCGTCACATGACCGTCATTTTTTGGTCATATGACGCGATCTAAAAAATGACGGTCATTTTGCATCTCTAGTGACAAAGTGTCGTGGAGAAAAAAAAGTTCTCTTCCGAAAGAGTCAGATGTGAGAAATAGCACAATATTTTCAGGGGGAGAATCACATCCCGAAGATGAAGAACCTATTTGGGCCTTGTACTTCTTCACATTCAATAACAAAAAATTCACATGTTTGTATAAACTGGATGACAATTCTGTATTCCTCCAGAGCATCCATGTTATTGCCGTCCACCGTCCAGTTATTGGAGATTTCGACGATATTCCACTTTTCCCTCATTTAACTATTCCTCGCTTCATTTTTTCCACTTCAAATTACCGTTTTTTCCTAATTCATATATTCTTCCAGGTCTAGAACTCATGTTTTATTCATTTAGCTACTTCATCGATTTTAAACCCTTTAATGAAGTTCAATATTTCCGTAACTGTCCAGCTATTGGCCTGTTAACCCTACGTGGATAATAAATCAAGCAGATGTGAACAAAAAGCGCGTGCCGTTTTCTGACCCTCGCAACTTTAACAAAAAAAAATATTGCCACATTATATCAAATTGAAGAATGAAAAATTGATAGTTGTGATCGGCTTTAACTCTTCCGCTCTTCACCCCCGCAGCTGACGTCCAACTACAATGTAAAAAGAAATTTACCATCTGACTGGACAGCTGTTTCTCCCCTAGTTTCGAGGAGAGAAAAAAAAACCCGATGAGGGAATCGAAGAGATCGAGGAGAAAAAATTTTAAACGCACACCTTGAGTGCGGGGATTAGTCAGCAGGATGAGTGGATTTTACGAAGAAAAAATCATCCTGGAGGGGGTGATCAATAACCATGGAAATAGAATCGAATTAAATAAGAGAAAAAATTCCCCAACGATTTTTCTTCGGGATCCGTTAAACCGTGATTTCATTTTTTACGTATATCTCGTTAACGAGTCGCTATAGAAGAAAATATCACGAAATATTTTTGTAGAGAATTAAATTCTCCAAAAAATATTTCTTTACATTTTTCCCTAGCACCACTCATTCCCGAAAAAATCCTGGATTTGTACAGCAACCAAATTTTCTCTCCACAGAGAGAAATGTTCGGTAAAAATTACGGAACTCACAGAAAATTTAAGTGACGGTATCGTAATTTTTCACAAGAGATTCAGATAAAAATTACGGATCGCTCGTGAAAAATTTCGTGACAGTTCCGTAAAATTTCCTAAAACCACATTTCGCTCCGGAATTACGGAAAAGATACGTAATTTTTATTGAATATTTCTCTCCGTGTGACGGCATCGTAATTTTTCGCAGGAAATTCAGATAAAAATTACGGAACGCTCTGGAAAAATTCCGTGACAGTTCTGTAAAATTTCCTAAAACCATATTTCACTCCGGAATTACGGCAAAGATATGTAATTTTTATTGAATATTTCTCTCCGTGTCCTCAAAAAAACGTTAAGAGTCGAAAATAATCGATAAAAAATGTGTGTCGACTGTCAACTGTCGATTGTAATAAATAAAGCCCAATTAGAACTCATAATCCCTGCGAGTGATCTCAGAAACGATTAAAAATCGGAATTTTTAAAGTAAAAATTCCCATTTTGTGGGAAAAATTGTTGAAAATTCTAAAGAACAGATGTTAAAACGTGATTTTTTTACGTATATCTCGCTAACGAATAGCTGTAGAAGAAAATGTCACAAGACATCTTTTGCAGAGAATTAAATCCCCCACAAAAAAAATTTTGACATTTTTCTCCAGCAGCAGTCATTACCGAGAAAATGCTGGATTTGTCCAGCAACCGATTTTTCTCTCCTCCAAAAAAGTTCAAAGAGTGGAAAATAATCGATAAAAAAATGTCTCGACTGCCAGCTGTCGATTGTAATGAATAAAGCTCAATCAGCCCTCATAAAACTCCGAGTGATCTCAGAAACGATTAAAAATCGGAATTTTTAAAATCAAGATCCCCATTTTGTGCGAAAAATTGTTGAAAATTCTGGAGAACAGATGTTTACTTCCGGCAGCTGTTTACACGTGGCTCGTGGTGGAGGAGGGAGAGGTGAAAATACGTAGGGGAGGGAGCCTGCCTCGTGTCCGCTGTCGAAAGGTGCACGTGCCCTTTCCGAATAGAATGAAAAGTTGGATCTTTCTATAATTACATTTCATTTCTTGGGGGGAGATTTCCATTCAGCTCCGGCATCATTGTCTTCCTGTCGAGTGCCGAAGACAGTTGGGTATTTCGAAATGATATGGATCCTCATTTACCTGTTCTCACAGCACTAAACATTCCAATCCCTAATTTACAGTAAAACCTAAAACTAATGGAAATCAATAAATGTTTCGTTCTGAAAGAGACGTTAATTTTTTTAAATTCAATTTCGATTCGTCAATAGGCGATTTTTTTCCTTCGAATAATTAGTTCACTTTCATTTATCAATTCATCAGTGTCTACGGTAAATAACTGGATTTGCGGGAACGTACGTGTCTGCCCGGTCACGAATTCCTTGTGCGCAATCAATTTAGTTAATTCATTTGAAACTCCGGAGGGAGAAATGCCCCAGCACAATGCACCATCATCCCGCATTTGGATTAATTCACTAGATTCCACTCGTATCCCCTCGATTCAACCCATGAAAACACTGAATAAGCGTTTCTCCATTTTTTCCAACGTCTTGAATAAACGAAATTATGAAGAGATGAATTATCTGGGTTATTATGATTACTGTTATTATTTTTGTTATTGAAAAAACTCTTCTGGAGACATTTTTGTGGAAAATAGGAATGTTTAATGATTCTTATTTATTTTTGCATTTGATAATTCATGTAAAATCTAAATTTAAAGTCAAACTTTGGGCATGAATTTTTTTTTAATGTAAAAAAGATTGATAAATTGTCATTTCAGAAGGCTGGGGTGACCTTGACTGACGTCACACCACGGTAGTGCCTGCTAGTGAGTCAACTATGAAGTGTAGGGAGTTGTGACGTCATTATATCGTCCGTGTAATTTTTTAATCATTGTTATCAAATTAACGAAGTGATAAAATTGTGGAATTTCTGACGTATCGAGCACAGTTAAAGAAATATTGAACTTCATTAAAGGATTTAAAATCGAAGAAGTAGCTAAATGAATAAAAAATGAGTTTTAGACATGAAAGAATATAGGGGAGGATGGGGCAAAACGGCCCCCCTTCAATCGTCAATATTTTCCGATTCAATAATCCGATTGGGATGAGTTAGAGCTCGTTTTGAAGAATGAAAAATTATATTCAAAATGAAGTTGAAACTGGGAATTTTCACAATGTCATTCACAAGTTATTGACAATTGAAGGGGGGCCGTTTTGCCCCACCCTCCCCTATTAATTAGGAAAAAACAATAATTTGAAGTGGAAAAAATGATGAGAAAATGAAGAGAAGAATAAGTACATTAGCAAATTGCAGCGCCACGCCACCCGGCACTGTACCTCCCAAATATGTTATGTGATTTTTTTTTCATTGAATGCGAAGAAAGACAAGGCCAAATGGATTCTTAATCTTCGGGATGTGATTCTCCTCCTGAAAATACTGTGCTTTTTCCCACATCCGACTCTTTCGGAAGAGAACTTTTTTTTCTCCACGACACTTTGTCACTGATGCCTCGCAAATTGCAGCGCCACGTCACCCACCCTTATGGGAATGAGATATATGCAGCACTTATATCTAGCATATATTTGACATTCCACATTTTTGGCCGAAAATATATCTGAGATATATTGCAGATATATGTTAAATATTTTACATCGAGATATGTATGGATATTTATATCTAGGGTATATCTGGCATATGACATTTTTGGCCGAAATATAAGTGAAATATACTGAGATATATGTCCGGATATATGTTATTTCCATGAGGGCCAGCACTGTACCTCCCGAATATTTTTTTTTCTCGCTGTAATGTTGACATTTCGAGAAAAAACTTCATCACACGATTATGCATAAGTGTCATTATTGATAATTATAATAGTCGGTGCAGTACCGGCGGTAGTGGCCGTGCGGTTAAAGTGCTAGACTCGTATGCCAATGATCCGGGTTCGCTTCCCGGCACCGGCGGTCAAAATTTATAGCGCTCTAATTTCACAGTTTCACTGCCGAGCGGTAGTCCCGTCAAAAGGACGACTGTACCAGGGCAGGTTTTTCCCTCGAATGAGGTTTTCCCTCCCTTCGGCAAATGCGGTACAGGGGGTGGAGGGGGGTGGGAAGGGAACAAATCGTAAAGACCCGAAAGGGTATACGAGAAGAAAAAAATTTAATTTTTAGTCCGTGCAGTTTTCATTCTATTATTTATAGATTATTCAAGAAGAGGGGAAATTGTCCAGGTATTGGCCCGAGTCCAGCTATTGCCCTGTTCACCCGATTGAAACTAACTTCTTTATAAAAATAATATGTATGAAATATTCCTATGTTCAATTAGAATGATTCATTCATCCTCTAATTCATGTCCCGAGTCATAATTCTTTCGATGCAAGGGGGGTACGCCGGCAAGGGGCCAGTCCATATGGTCCCCACATGCAACTAGGATACAAAAGTCTGGGTGTCGGTGGGTGGGGGTAAGGGGAGGGCGTCGGCGACACGAACACAGCTGATGTTGTAAGCCTCAGCGTCCCTTGCATCGAGTTAGCCCGGTTAGTTACTCTCACAGAGCTCGACAGTGGTCGTCCACTCCGTTGCCTGGCACCACAAATTTTCAGGATTTTTTGTTCTTCTTGAAAAATATAAATTTCCAAGTTTTCCAAAATTCAACAGTGATTTTTACATCTTCGGAGCACAGGATCGGAGCTAATTTGATAAAGTAAGTGTGGAATAATAATTTTGAATGAATGATGGACGAATGGAAGAGATGACTGGGTTTTTTGGTGACCGAAAAAATTAAAAATTGAATTTTTTGAATTTTTAGTTCATTTTTTATTCGAAAAATTCAGTAGAGGGCAATTGGGATTGATTGGAGGCTCGTTGGCCCTGTAGTTGACCCCCATGAGTTCCTAAATTGAGAAGAATTGAGTTTGTCACCACTATTTGAAATTTGAATGGAAAATTTCAACGTTTTTCAAAAGTTGATTCAAACTGAAATTTTTTCGATTGAAAAAAATCTGTAGCGAAGTGGTAAAGTAGGATAAGTGCAAAAATGGAACTTTTTCGGGAAAGTTAAAAAACTTGACCACGTTCGAGAAAGCTTTCGATTCAAGCAATAGAATTTTTTTTTTTAATTTGCACTTATCCTAGTTTACCACTTCACTACAGAATTACAAGTAACAAATAAGAATTGTTGACTCTTTTCATAAATACATCTCTCAGAATATTCCATTCCCTCGATTTAACATCACCATCCTCAAGTCCCTTCAATCCTCGGCAAAATCGAATCGCATAATTTTCCATCGGTAATTGAAAAATCCCTCGACATTAATCTGATTTTATTGGCGGGAACTGAATCCTTGGAAATAACCGCATGAGTATTGATTTCTTGAGGGTGGGAGTTGTTACATGAAACGTCTACGACGCTTCCTGCAAACATAAGCTCAAGACCCCTCACAACCCAATTCACCCCTTCCCCAATTTTTTCTCTGCAATTTTTCATAATAATAAAAACTCTGCTACGACGCGCGTGAAAAATGATGGTTTTCGTTCCTGTTATCATGCTCACTGGTCTAAAAAAAGATAACCATCCCAGGAACTCTTTTCCAACCGCTTTGTTATGTCAAAAAACCATTGAACCCTGGGAAACACTTTGCGTGATAAATTCTGAACCGGGAAAGACTAGAAAAATCCGAAAGGTAGTGTGAAAAATTGATTCACGTTATAGAAACCGCATGGAGTGATTTGAGAGTGATCTGAAAAAGATAAATAATTATAAAGAATATTTAAAAACACGAGGTGGACGCACGGCCATCTTTAAACCCCCTCTCAGCAGAGGGAAGGGGTATCCGAGCACGACAGTGACGCCTGCGTGTCAGCCACTTCCTATTTTTGAATGAAAAGAACAAATTTTTCCAAGCTATTCTTCACATTTTTTCATCCCTCTTGAAAAAAAAAATTTTCCGCGCATGTATTGTAAAAAAAAATACCCTCAGATGATACCAGAGCCCCAGAACGCAAGCCAAGCGACGGAGTCGACGCTAACGGGTCAGGATGTCGAGGATAAAACGAGACTGGGAGCGGAAGAGGATGTGGCAACGATAACCGCCTGGAAGAGATACCAGAAATTTGTGGAAATGGTGGAGTCCCGTGGCCTTGAATACAACAAGAAATCAACAATCGAGGCTATGTTCCGTGGTAATGATCTCATTTATGCTAATCAGCGATAAATCGAGACAGTGCTTGCGTTATTCCAATTGAATCAATTGAAGACATTGAAGCAACGCCATTTTGTATTCCTTCTTTCATTTTGTTGGCTGATGACGACCAAAGAAGATACCGTTATTAATTTTCACTTAACCAAATGAGATTATCTGCATCACTAGTCATGAATGGATCATAATCCTCATTTTTCATCTATCAAATATTTTTAATTGGTTGAAATGATGAGGTTAGGAAGGATTTTGGATGTAGGCCATGGGAAGAGACAACTAGCGGCAAAAAGTGGGTTAGGGGTGGTAATGGGGAGGGCCTCATTATCTAGTTAATTAATTAGAAATAAATCTAATGAGTAAATTAATATCTTTTGACGCGATAACGATGTAATTTCTTAATTCATCGGCTATGCTCAATCTTGCCAGTAAAATACTCACAAAGTCCCACAAAACCACACGAGATTGTGACACAAAAACCCCTAGAGATATTAATTACCTAATTCTTAAAGAACAACTCTAATGTTAAACAAATTATATGAAAAAAAATAATATCTGTATTTCTAGTCGACAAGGATAAGATAACAATTTTAAACGATTAATGATAAAAGATTTTTATTTCATTGTAAGTAATTAGCCTTAATCACCATTAATTAATAAATAAATAAATGGTTTAATAAAAAGTACAGATTCTTTGTAACAAAAATCAAAAGACAGTTGTTTTATATGCGTTACAAATATATCTTATTCCAGACTGCTCTAATCATTCATCATCTTTAATCAATTCTTTTATTTAATCATTCACCATCTACTGCGATCACTTCTGGAGTGAGCGGGAATATTCGTGTAATGCACATTTATTTTTCTATTTTAACATTTTTTATAAGTACACATTAAGATCCTCAACTCGCTCGAAAAAAATCACACTTTTAAACATTTTTTTAGTCAATTATTTAGTCGTAATAATTAATTACAATATTTCTTCTCATTTCTTGTATTTCTCCTGGCCTTTCATATTCAAAAGGGCGGACCGACGATATAAGAAATGAGAGGTTGTACCCTAGATTATTTTTTGATAATCATTTCCATGCGCCTGGCACTTGGATTAGTCCTCACAAAATAATGAATGAAAGAAAACATTTTCGGTGAACATTGGAAAGACAGAATTTCCTCCCCTATTTTCTCACATTACTTAATAAGTACCTACGCTTAATTATATCCTATTAAATGAATTGAATACATTCTTAAAAATCGAGAATTAATCATGAATATCAAAATTAATCCTCCATTTTGTTAATTCCAAGTGGTCCAACTCTCTAACCAACTTTGAGGTTATGTCATCTTAACCTCAACGACTCCCTCTCTCCCTAAAAAATACTCTCCTAACAAACTTAATAATACTTTAAATGAAGAACATTTGGGATATTCAATACTCTATATCAATAACAATGCTCAGGGTCAAAAGGGACCCGGGGATACCCCTCCGGAAAATGGTGAGTTACGTCAAAAAAAAAAAATTAATTATAAATCTCTTTAAATCGATTCTAAATGCACTAACATCCTCATGATTAAAAACAACCTAGCACCGTGCCATCACCCCTCCGCCTCTCTCATGGCCGACCCCCCCTTCCCCTAGGAATTCTTCCTCAGGAAGGCAGGATATCCAACTCGACAACGCTCTGCGTCCCACCCCCTAGATCCTCGCTCTTATGAATCCTCGAGAACTCTGTGACTTTGTGATTCCCCTGATTACATTGTCCCCTCGGTAAAGTAGCGATCGGGTTTATCTGCCAGAGTCTGTGTCCCCCGCAGCTGTCGATGCCATTTTCAGACTCGGAATTGTGCCGTCTCTTCAACGGAAGATCGAGCTTGGGTCGTCTCACATTATCCAGTTCTCGATCCTCAAACCGAATGGGAACGGCTTGCATCGAGACGGTGTTCCGTTGGTCATTAAAAAGTGATCTTGCGTTCAAGGTCACTTCGCGTGCAGACCCGAATCGTTTGAAATTGAGGGAGGTGGGTGAGTTGAGAAAGGTCGGCTCGACCTCTCGTCCCTCCGGAATTCGTTTCTCGATCTTGATCTCCGTCACAGTGTTCTGTCGAATAAGGATATCCGGCGCAGCTTCCGGCAGAGGCTCTTGCGACACAGGCGGCCATTTTAGGTTCTTCGCCATGTCACGCTCGATCGCCAGAAACTTTCGCTTGGACTTGTCGACGTCATGCCAACGATACCTAAGTTTTCTGAAGACTAGGTAATCGACGAACAGGTGCTCAACGACCATCGATATAACGAAGTTGGCGAAACCGTAGATGATGAGGATGACCCTGAAGCCCATATCCTCAGGGAGAACTAGCTCAAACTTCATGGCTAGCCAATCAAACGGCCAGACCGCGAGATACACCGAGAAGAGTGCAGTGAGGATGAACGACGCGAGAAGTCCATAATTCGTGAAGAGAGACTTTCGATATGGATGACCCTTCGAGAACACCACCGCGAGGATGATGTACTGCATAGAGCTGACAATGAACACAGTATAATTCTCCAGACAGCCGACATCATCTTTGTTCGTGGTTGCAGTTGAGTTGAACGGAGTGTACCAGTCTGTCTGTTTGAGATGCCAAAAGCTCATGGACTGGAAGACAGTGACGATGATCATTTGAGAAACGAGACTAAGTATGGGGGAGGTACTGATGAGACTCGTCAACGGAGCAGTTTTGACGAGGGGCCCATCATAAGCTTCTGTCCTCCCGAAGAAGAAAGCAAAGATGGAGATGATGAAGAGATCGATGTAGAGGAACTCGATATCGGTCAGGTTCGACTCGATGCTGTATAAGATCATTACGGAAATGAACTGGGTCAAGGAGTATGCAGCCATGTATTTGAAGATTCCGAAGGATGTCACCAGAGCGGCTCTGCCCTCGCGGATGACAGACAAAACGGACGAAATGTTGGTCTCCCTGCTGGTAAACGGCGAAGCCACTGATGATTCTGTATCAGACAGAGAGATCCCAGTGTGCGCGGCTTTCAGGGCTCCACAGTCATTGGCCCCATCCCCCACCATCGCCACATAGTACCCCAACGATTGCAGCTCCTGCACGAGCTGCTGCTTCTGATCAGGTGACATCCTCGCGAAGATAGTTCCACGTGTCGTGATTTTCGGAATTAGCTCCGGGTAATGCTGCTTTATCATCGACCAAGTCTTCCCAGTCAACGAGAAGACGTACTTGTTGCTGCTGTGTACCTTGTCAGATAGATATACCCCATTGTCTGCTGTATTGTTCACAAAGCCACTCTCTATTGTATCGAAGGACGTGATGCTGTTGAGGTCAGTCATCTCGCTGATGCTGCTTTGACCATTGGGTGACATCGGTGACTGCTGGCTATCACTCCGCGTAAAGTACAAATGAGGTTTCTGTTGGTTCTGCTGGGTCACAGCGGCCACCGCGATCACCGGCATCCCAGGGGTCAGCATTCCGCAGTCTCTGGCCACTGATAACGCGGTGAGCATGTTGTCACCGGTCACCATCACAATCTTAATGCACGCACAGTTGAGTGCCTGAATGACGGGGGTTGTCTCTGGCTTCAGCCGATTCTCCAAGACGACGAACCCGAGGAAGGAGAGGTCAGTTTCAGCAGCCTCTCGGTTGATCCTCTGGACCTTAGTGTAGGTCAACCGATTCAGGGACTTGTGACCTAATGCGATAACCCTGTAACCCTCTGACGTGTACTCCTGAAGAACAGAAGCGAAATCCGCGGGTACTGATTCTGGCTTAGAAAGACTGAGGATCATCTCCGGGCTGCCCTTGCAGTAGAGATCAAAGTGGTTCGCTCCTAGGGTTCTCGTGATAACACTCATACGTTGGAGACTCGAGGTGAACGGAAACTGTCTGACGATACCAATCTCCAATCCTTGTTCGGCTAGATCCGCGTCTGACGCCGCGAGGTTAGTGAGTGAGAGATCCTCCATAGTTTCGGAAGTTACCGAGTTCTGTCTCACCCGGGACAACCCCGAATCGTGATTCGGGGTTTGCAAGAGTCGCGAATTCTTCGGAGGTCGGACGATCGTCGGAAACATCATCGAAAACTTGGAGTTATCAGAGACGTCGGGCTCCTCGAGGCTCCACCCCGTGGACTCAAACATCTTCAGGTCCAGGGGATCACCCACAAGTGACCCGTCGATAATTGTGATCCCGTGGCAGGTCACCATCCCCACGAGCATCTCATTGGCGGGAAGGCTCGCGATATTCTTCGTCGGAATCTGAAACTTCTTATCGACCGCCGGTACAACCCCCCACATGTCCAAGCCATCCTCAGTCAGTGTTCCCGTTTTATCGAAGCAGATGCAGTCGATCGATCCCGAAACATTGATTGCTCTGGGACTTGTGCAGTAAATTCGCTTCTTCTCCAAGCGGTTTTGAGCGACGAGGCGACCGACTGTCATGGCCGCCGGCAGAGCCGGAGGAACGACGATGGTGATGAGGTCGAGAGCCTCGAGGGCTATATGCCCGGGGGCAACGCCCCTCAGAGCTTTTGTTATGGTCGTGTAAATGACGCCGATACTCGCGATGCACGCGAGGAGTTCCACGAATTTATACGAGTCCTGCTCGAATTTGAAATCAACCGGCGGTGGGTACATTATCGACCGAACAAGACCACCCTTGCTCGTGGTAAATCCCGTTCTCACGACAACCGCGAGGACCTTCTCACCCCCGAAATACCGTGTTTGAATGATTTTTGTGCCGCAGAAGAGGGTGTGACGGGCATGTTCTTTAGTATCGTAAGTGATCTCGTTGGAGGAGGGAATTGGGGTTTTTGTTACTGGGACGGACTCACCGGTTAGCATGGACTCGTTTAGGATACAGTTGCCGGTTAGAAGGACTGCGTCGCAGGGCATTAGACAACCGTGGGGAGGAATCACCAGGATATCACCGGGTACCAGACGTTCTGCTGCGACGGAATCTATTTTCCCGGTTGTACGGTCACGCATTACTGTGGCAACGTCGGAGGAGTGGACTGTTGACGACAGTTTGTGCTGATTCTGAAAAATCATGAGCATTTGTGATTTCACTATTTGAAAACAAAAATATTTTGAAAAAAAAAAATTGAAATTGATTGAATATTTCTTTGAAATATTTTGAAATATTTAAATGAACGTGTTGACTAGACTTGCGTTCGACGGTTTCCGAACGATTAAAAATTCTAATTGCCTTAAGCTGGACTCGAACCCCCGCCTCACGGGTCCCGCCGTCCGGCCGAACGGTTTAACCACTTCGGCCACCGTCACCGGTTAAATTTTAAGTTAATATTACGATTTTTGCAACAGTGGGAGGGCTAACAAGGATTTTGAGTGAAAATCCGAAAAATGGAAATATCTGGGAAACTTTATATGAACGGGTATGTATATTTTGATTGATTGAGATAGAAGATATCGAGACGAATATTTTGAAAAAAAAAATGAAAAATTAAAATAGGTTGAGTAGTTTTTGAGATGTTTGCGAAAAATGAGTTAGAAACAAATGGCGATTTCTCAAAAACGGGTGAATCGATTGGGATGAAACCCAGCACAGAGTTAGTTCTCATTACTACCTATAATCTGACATAATTTCAGATTTTTTTGAATGATTTTAGTCCTTTAATTCTTCAATTTTCCAAAAGTTGACGACCAAGTGGACACCCACATGCGTTGGCCAAACTATTTTTAGGTTCAATACCATTCTAGATAATTTCCAAGCAAAATTAGAGAATCTAAAAATAGAACGATTTCAATGCTTCCATTCGGAAGCAAAAACAAAGGTAAACGATGGATCGAAAAATTACATGTACTTACGCTTCGAGTTTGCAGAACAGCCATTCCAATACCAAAGCACGACATCGAAATAATAGCCATAGCATAATAATAATAATCATCAGCAATCCACAGACAGAAGCTGAATATTTGGAAGACGTAGAATGGATTAAGTACTTCAAGACAGAGAAGAGTGACAAAACTCTTCACTGGAATGACAATTTCATTGTTGCCGTAAACACTTCGTCTGTAAAAATGAATTGGGTCAAATTAATGGGTTCAAGGGGTACAAAGAAGCATGAGGATGAATATTAATTGATGAATCACCTAAGAAATTGCTCGAGGGAATTAAGACCGGGCATCTGATGGAGGGTTGACGTTAACACGCCATTGTCGAGGCCTGATAGCTTCATAAATTCTGATCGCTCTGTGTCCCAGATGTACGTCAACTTTTTGCAGTTGAAGGTGATGATTGATGGCACCGCTGAAATATAAAAAATACGAATTCATCGATTCCCGACTTCGTTTTATAGAACTGACAAGCAAACATCAATTAACGATGTTCAAGCGATGACGGAATGTTGAAGATGAGGCGAAGGGGAATCCCCTTCAACATTCGGATATTGTATTCCTGCAGAAAACCAATCCCTGAACACGAAAATTCGGTTCCCTTCAATTAAATAATACGACCATATTTAGATTCTTCTGTAGTCAAATAATATTTTTTATAACTATTTAATTTTTTTCCTACATCCTACATAAATCAAATCATTTTTATATGCAATTTTAATAATAAATGGAAAATGATTAATTCGTGTGAAAAAAGTGTCAACGTCGGCCCGACGCTATTTTTTTTTCCTCAGTTGGTCGGCCTGCCACACTCTGTGGAGGATTCTCGCTGTACCTGGCCACGCGCGTAAACACGTATAAATTTTTTCCATCGATATGCGTTTATCCAAAAAATTCATCACCCACGTCGTTACAATTTACTATCGACAAGCAAAATAATAGTAAATGAATTCCAGGATCTCTCTGTGAAGTGAGGACTCACGAATGATTCCCACATGAGTGACAGTGCCAAGTGTTGTCTCTGTGATCGGCTTAACCTCAAACAGAGATCACTGTAGAAACAATGATTTCTCTCAAGGGGGAGCGTATTAAAGAGCAAACATTTCATGAATTTTATTGATATTTATTATCGGGAAAATTATCATCGGATGTCATGAAGTCCATAACAGTCCTTTATGGTTCTAGGAAAGATGTTCCCCGGAAAATCGTTCCCGGAAAATCGTTCCCCGAAAAATCGTTCCCCTGGAAATTCGTTCCCCAGAAAAATGTACCCTAAAAAATGATTTTTCAGACAATCACACTAGTATCAATACACCAGTCAAATACGTTAAAACTCAATCCACTACTCGATACACTACAATCAATCAACTCTATAATCCCCCCCCATCTCTCGACCATTCATCAAATCACAATAATATCGGAGCACTGTACGCTGGACTGATCAAGGTAAACACTCATCACCTAAATGAATAAATATAGATGAACACGAAAGATTACGAATAAAGGGAGATTTTGTTGGCCATCCTAACAAAATAGGGAACAAATTTCCGGGGAACAATTTTCCAGGGGAACAATTTTCCAGGGAACAATTTTCCGGGAACGATTTTCCGGGGAACATCTATCCGGGTACCGTCCTTTATTCATCTTTGCATTTACCGCGTTTACCCCAAACGATCGGCAAGTGCTACGTTGTCGCAATTCACAGCTGTGCGCTCAGAAATGCGGATTTTTAATGGTTCTTTGCGAATTTTGACTAAAAAACGACTCTAACCGATGTTTTTTTTTGCAGAAGATGTATTAATATGTCACACGTAAATGAAGTTTCGTGATATTGGGTGCATTTTTACATTCAGTCTGCATTTTTCCACATTCCCCATAAGAGCACGAGTTAAATTCCGTTTTTTTAAATAATTCATTCCATTCGAGCCATTAACCTCAGCAATCCGAAACTCCACACAGAACATCGAAATATATCAAAGAATCTACTTGAAAAATTTCAAAAAATTGGCTGCATTTTTTTTCCTCGCTTGAACATCGTTAACCAATGACTTTTGACTGACTTTTAACTTACCCTTGAATTGACCCCCCATCAGATGTACAGAAAGCATAGGCTCCTCTCCACCCACTGATACACTATCTAAGCTTCCGGCGTCGGAGAAGGGCTCGTCAATCAGAGAGTCTTCATCGATGTTTTTCCTTGAATGAAAGCATCAGTTAACGCCCAGGAGAGAAGAGAAGGGATTTCTCTCAAGGATACTTACGACATTTCTTTGGCTGTCATGGTCCTCAACCTTTTCACGTAGTAACTCGTGTGCTTTCCTTGGAATCGTTCGATCAGGAGAACTGTCTCTGCCTCCTCCATCGGACATTGGGAATGCGTCGCGAGGAGCATCAGATGCGGCACCCAGTGGAAGACTAGTCGAAGGAGACCTCCGGTGATGATGATAAAAAACCAGGTGGCAATGGTACGTGCCTTGTTCCTCTTGTATCTGTTTTTCAAGAAATCATTAATTGGTTCGTTTTTCGGTGCCTCGGAAGATATCGCGGAATTGATAATTACCCATAAATTTCCATTTGGTCCTCCTCCCCGGGATTGATGTAGTCCACACCATTCTTGAGGTGCAAGAGGCCATTGCCTCGAGTTCCTGAAGACGAATCAGAAATTGAAATAAGAACGTTGACGATGAACCGTGAAATTTTGGTGAAATTTTATGTCTCCGCTAAGGATGGATTTATCTCATCAACGACTAGATTTACAGGAAAACTTCAGAAGATCCTTTTCATCGGGAATTTCATGATCTACAAAAAAGGTGCTATGATGTTTCTCCTGAAATCTACTCCCTGCCGAGATAATCTCATATTTATCATGCGAAGAATTCGCGTGTTGCTGCTTCTTACCCTCCAACAACTCAGTTTTCTGTTCCGTGCGTTGTTCCTCCCCATTTCCCGCCCTTTTGCCCCCAAAGACACTGTACGCATTCTTCGCAAAGCTCAAATTGAGCTTCTTCGGTGTTGTCGGCATGGTTACCACCTCCCCTTCCGACAAAAACTCCCCAAACCTCAATCCCTTCGCACCACTAGTTACTCTAATCCTTGGATGAATCTCTCATTAACCACTAAATTCCCTAGACTACCACTCAAACCACTTATTGTCTTTAAGAATGATTCAACAATGAGTCCTCAGCCCCTACTGCCACCACCGATCAATTGTTCGATTGATCGATCTCTCAAGATCAATATCAATGGATCCAACCCCCTGGATCCTTCAACCAGGGTCATGTACCCCTTTCCCGTAACCAACAATCGATAAACCCCGTCTGCTACCGACACCGATTGCCCGCCATCCTCATATCCCTCATCAAATCATCGATCACGTACAATTTCACTATCGATTCCATCAGTACATCAACAAAATAACCGTGAAAATCCCTAGATAATTTGCCCGACAATGACGATCGATGATGAATCAATTTATGCTATCGTATCGTTGTAATTGCTTGATTGTCTTTGTGTCAATCACCGGGATCGGTTAGTTTTCTCCAGCCAATTCGTGGAGTTGTAACAGCACGCTCACCCTCACTCATACCTCGGGGTAATGCAATTGATTGGATAATTGTTGGGCACAATTGTGGGGAGTCTTCGTCGATAGGTGAGGTATTTCCACCTGATCCTAGGGGAAATTGCGCCTTTTGGAAATTTTCGCACCCTTTTTTGTCGATCGATCGCAAATACATCACTGGAGATAATTAGGATCGAAATGCCGTCTCTCGAGATCGGCAAATATTTCCCTTTCCTAGGGATTTTTCAACTCCTTGGGATTTTCTAGTGTAAAAATTCACTTTCTGTCTGTTTTATCGACAGAACCGTCTAGGGAATTTTCGTTTAGTCCTTATTGGAATTAAGATTGTCTATTTGTAATAATTTTTTTCTTTGTGTCTGTAGAGGTAGATAATCATTTACTTTATCAACACAATCAGCGCTCTTAATAACACGATGTTTAATTACTATCACCAATTTTTTTACACTTTTTTTTCCACACGCAAGACGAATGTCAATAAATCACAATAGTCTCGAGAACAGTGACTGGTGGCACCTGGCACGTGTAAACGTTCTCGACAATCGATAATGAGGAAAAAAAAATTCACAGGTCGATTGAAATTGTAAAAAAAAATTTACGTAACCAAAACTGCTAAATCACAATTTTTCCTGCCCTCTTTCCGCCTCTTCTATTATTAGAAGTCGACGTGAAATCCACAAAATTCTGCAGCTGTCCCCCAGACCGTGGAATTAAAAAAATCCACAATTTTTCTTCTCAAAGAAAAAAAATTTCAATTTTTTTTTTAATTCACCAATTTTTTTTCGACGATTCGCTTTAATGATTCACCCTCCTCGGGACTTCTAAGAACAGAGAAAACTGTGCAATAGTTCATTCCCAATATTTTATTCATGCTGATGATGATGAGTCAACGAAAACCGAAAAATCCAGATATTTAATTAATTAAATTGCGAATTAAAATTTATAAAATCAATCTGACGAAATAATAAAATTCACTTATTAGTCGACACCACTGTCTCCCCCTCATCAACGTCGTAATTAATTATCCCCACCGTCACATGAAGATATTATATTCCCAGATGAATTAAAAACCCCTAGGTAAATGCAGAAAATATTATCACTTGAATTTTATTTCCCACTATTCACTCGTCGAGACCTTCGATTTCACTGTTGGGGAGCAGTAGAAACCTAGAAATCCGTGTGGTGGATTATTCGGATGTGTTCGGATGAATCGCTTATTCGACGAATTTCGTCGGTGTTCGGTGGCACATTCAAGATGGAGGACTACTGTCTCGAGTGTGCGCACGACTCCCGGCTCTATTGCACATTCAGAATGAGTTTGTAGTTGTTCATAGATGCTTTTGTGTGTGGCACGGTGGGGGGAGACCCGGGGAACTCCGGGGGTTGCCGGCGCCGGTGAGTGACGAAGGTGAGTGCAATTTTTGTTGTGCATGTGGTGAATTGTCGATTTTTTTAGGTTCAGATCCTGGAATGCGTGGGAGGCGGGGAGCTGTGGCGCCGGTCTCGTGACGATAGAGTGATTAGGGATGACGTCATGAGAAATACTGTCTCGAGTGAGTGGTGGGTATGGAGGTATCAATAATTGATTGATTTATTTTTTTGTGACCTGAGTTGAAAGGTCTCATAAAGGTTACATTGCCTGAGTTGGCGATTCACTTTTTTGTTTCAGAATTTTTTTTATTCCGTGTCCAGCTGGGGTTTGACCTCACAATCTCCGGATTACAGGACTAATGCTCCTACCAATTGACTCACCGTATATTGCAAATTTTTTCACTTGTGTTCGATAGAACACGGATGGGATTTGAACTCACAACTTTCAGATTACTGGGCTGATGCTCTTACCAATTGAATTACCATCTAATACAAATTTTTCTCTCTCGTGTGCGATGAAATATGGGTGGGATTTGAACTCACAACCTTCAGATTACTGGGCTAATGCTCCTACCAATTGACTCACCGCATATTGCAAGTTTTTTCACTTGTGTTCGATAAAACACGGATGGGATTTGAACTCACAACTTTCAGATTACTGGGCTGATGCTCTTACCAATTGAATTACCATTTAATACAAATTTTTCTCTCGTGTGCGATGAAATATGGGTGGGATTTGAACTCACAACCTTCAGATTACTGGGCTAATGCTCCTACCAATTGACTCACCGCATATTGCAAGTTTTTTCACTTGTGTTCGATAGAACACGGGTGGATTTTAAACTCACAATCTTCAGATTACAGGACTAATGCTCCTACCAATTGACTCACCATATATTGCAAATTTTTCTCTCTCGTGTTCGATGAAATATGGGTGGGATTTGAACTCACAACCTTCAGATTACTGGGCTAATGCTCTTACCAATTGACTCACCGCATATTGCAAGTTTTTTCACTTGTGTTCGATAGAACACGGATGGGATTTGAACTCACAACTTTCAGATTACTGGGCTGATGCTCTTACCAATTGAATTACCATCTAATACAAATTTTTCTCTCTCGTGTGCGATGAAATATGGGTGGGATTTGAACTCACAACCTTCAGATTACTGGGCTAATGCTCTTACCAATTGACTCACCGCATATTGCAAGTTTTTTCACTTGTGTTCGATAGAACACGGATGGGATTTGAACTCACAACTTTCAGATTACTGGGCTGATGCTCTTACCAATTGAATTACCATCTAATACAAATTTTTCTCTCTCGTGTGCGATGAAATATGGGTGGGATTTGAACTCACAACCTTCAGATTACTGGGCTAATGCTCTTACCAATTGACTCACCGCATATTGCAAGTTTTTTCACTTGTGTTCGATAGAACACGGATGGGATTTGAACTCACAACTTTCAGATTACTGGGCTGATGCTCTTACCAATTGAATTACCATCTAATACAAATTTTTCTCTCTCGTGTGCGATGAAATATGGGTGGGATTTGAACTCACAACCTTCAGATTACTGGGCTAATGCTCTTACCAATTGACTCACCGCATATTGCAAGTTTTTTCACTTGTGTTCGATAAAACACGGATGGGATTTGAACTCACAACTTTCAGATTACTGGGCTGATGCTCTTACCAATTGAATTACCATTTAATACAAATTTTTCTCTCGTGTGCGATGAAATATGGGTGGGATTTGAACTCACAACCTTCAGATTACTGGGCTAATGCTCTTACCAATTGACTCACCGCATATTGCCAATTTTTTCACTTGTGTTCGATAGAACACGGGTGGAATTTGAACTCACAACTTTTATTTTGCTGAGCTAAAGCTCTTACCAATTGAATCACTCCGTATTACGTGCAATTTTTTTATTTTAAGCGTTAAATTATGTTTATTTCTTCTTCCGTGAATTCCTGGGCTTTTGAGCATTTAATATTAATTTTTAATATCAATTTTTTTTTACTAACGGGAATTGATTTCAACGATACTTGGAGAATACTTCGGAACTACTAATAAAATTCGGATTCGTGTTTATTTTTCTCATCAACACATTATCACTTCTCTGCCTGAGGAGTTGAACTTTGACGATGGCGTCACGTAACGAAATTTCTGGGGGCTTCCGTATTCATTATTTCGCAATTAAAAATCAATCGACCAAAATTTCCGATTGTCTTTTAATCACTTCGCATTAATCAATAGGTTTCAGTTGACTGAGAATTGTTTCTGGAACACTGATTTCTTTTTAGATAGCATGCGTTCCACAATTGTTCTGTTATATAGGGTATTCATTAACATTTAATCGTAAAACCCAGGTAATAGGATCAAGCAATCCTAGGTAATGCCGTTCCATTATTGCATTTTCTATTGTCATGACTCATGAGTAATCAAAAATTCGAGAAATCGAATAGTTCACTCAAACATAAAAATCCCCTCTCGCAATTCTCTGCAATTCTTTGCCCATATCAATAGGTATTCCCGAGTCTGCCAGATCTATTCACTATTCTAGTCGCACTCAGCTTCATTCACCTCGAAATCACCTATCTAAACTCCAATAATAGATCACATACGAATATTTAGTGACTGAGTAGTTGTTTCAGGGTACGTTTTCACGGTTCGAAGTGAGTAGTTTTCTTATTTTAGATCGTATAGTGGAGTATACAATTTCATTGAGTCACCGGAGAATTATAATTTAGATATATAACCGTAGATATCTAATTTTACGTGAAATCTAAACTACATTGAAAAAATAGTTATTGACATAAAAAATCAGTCAAAACAGTTTTTTAACAGAATATAAAACCCAATTTTCTGAAATGCTAGATTGGGAATTTTTTAAATTTCTTATCACGAAATTAATCCAACGATTTATCTATTTAATCGATCAACTGTCGATAAAGAAAATCCCTCTTTCTGTTTCATGATAAATTCTAGTCTGATAAATTTATCTCACCATATGAGAGTAAAAGCAGAGAGGATCAGTCGGTAATACTACTGAATAAAAAAACAACAAAAAGAGAATGCAATTTCAAATTTCGGCTTTTCGGCTTTGTGTGACATCTGAATTTTCGTGATCATATGCAATTCCTTGAGCAATTATTCGTTACCTTCGAATGGTCTATTCTTGTTTCGACCTTTAGACAGAACTATAATCTCAGTAGCCGAGATCACGAATCCGTTTTCCTTGTTTACAAAAAAATCATTTTTTTATTCTATTGAAAGTCAATAAATCATCTTGAGACATGTATTAATGCGACTCTCGTCAAAATCGCTAATGTCTGATGAGTAACACGGTGCGGTGCTCCAGCAGACTTCAATATTTTTTCCCCATTCATTTTCTGAGAAAGCGAATCTGAGGAATCTGCAATGTTTTTATTCCGAGATAATGATGTTAATGATCTTCATGCTCGCGATATCATACCGCAGCATTTTTTTCTCTACTTTAATTTCAAATTTCGGTCTGATAAGATAATCCGAGGTTTCTATACATTGTTTTATCAATTTATATTGCATGTGATGGATTAAAATCACTGCGACTGGACGTTTCTCCCAATTATCCAAAAATCTCGGTGATTGATTTAAGGAGGAAATGTCAAGCGTTGTAGATAATTGGATTTCGCAAAATAAACTGTCTTGTTTAATTTTCCCAAGCCCAAAGGTTCCCTAGTATCTTCTCGGATCTGTTTGAGGGGGCTGGGGAGCCCCGGGGGATTTAAAAACGAACAATATTTGGGGAACCCCTTTACCTCGACTGCCATCGCGGCATGATAATCAAGAAGGATATCAATTTTTTTCTGACGATAGAATCGTTGAGACTAATATGACATATGAGAACAACAACGTTGATCAATTTTTTAGGAAACATCATAGGGTAAACTGCCCAGTAGATGGACGCTTAAGAAAGCTGCCCAGTAGATGAACGTTTGTTTTTTAGCAATTGAAAAAAAAATTGATCGGAAAAAAATCGTCACTCAGGGGTTAAGAATCACAACAGTTGGTGAAAATTCAATGCAACAATTCACATTTCACTATTTTTTTGCGCGTAATTTCCTATCCAAAAGCAGCTCGTCCATCTATAGGGCAGTGTCCATCTGCTGGGTAGCTTACCTTAGGATCTTATGTTTTAGCCGAATAAATTCCGCACAAAAAATGTTCGTCGACGTTTTTGATTAACCCCTCACGGACGGGGCCCTTCTGTTACCAAGCGTAGTGTGTGCTCAATAAGACTCGAATTCAATTATTTTTATTGAACGGAATTTTATGGAACCGGTATCTAATTGAAGCTACAGTATTCCGGTTTCCAATTGTGTTTGTCTGATCAAGTTATTCTTCATAGATTTGGAAAAAATCAATTTTGAAAAGAAGCGATCACATTTTCATGGGTCGATACCATGCGTCGAGCCCGTATATACGTGAGCGGTTAACAGAAAGACCTTCGTGATGGATAAAAAAGAGTCTTTATGATCATCATCAATGTAATTCTTTTATCTCCGCAACAGCGTTAACTTCAGTCATAAATGCATGATTATTCATTCTTGATAAATATCCCCAGGTGTAAAATAGATAGACGCGGTTATCATCAGACACTACCTTGCGGCAATAGTATCATCAGTAGTATCGCCGTGATTTGTTGAAAGAGGAAATAAATCGTGCATAAGACGACAAAGTAAAACGAAACTCATAAAAAAAAAATTAACGATGTCCATCCATTCACGGAATTTACATTTTGTCTGTTTTTCCCTCATTTATCTCTAGGTCCAAAGTGAACATGTTAATTAGTAAATTATACAAAGTCCATCGTTCCCATTGCAATTATCAACATTATGAACATAAAAATTCACCAACTATTATGATTAGTTGGAATGTCTGCAGTGATCCCTTTGTTTCATCGTTGATATCTCAGGCATGAGTCAGCTGACGGAAATTTGTCATAAGATATTTTTTATGGAAAATTTCATGAGCTACAAAAAAGGTCCGGAGACATTTTCTCATAAATCCACTCATTCCCAAGATTTTTCCAAAATAATGACTTCCCATCGTTTTCTTGGAAATATCATTTCCAATGAAATGAAATGTCAATGAAATGAAATGTCATTTTCTACGGGAAATTTCGTGAGCTGCATGAAAAATGTTCAACGTCATCGGTACTGAAACCGATCTCACGAACTCCAACCGCATCACATCCGATAAATCCCGGGACCTTTGCCCTCTCCCCCTCGACCATTTCACAATCTCTAAACGCCGAAGAAACCACCGTGAAAAATCCATCGAAAACCATAAAAAAAATAGGATTAAAAAACCATCTCACCGTCCATGATATCCATTCTGCCAGCCGATACCACCAACTACCAATAAAGATCACAAACCACTAAACTCCCGGATAGTGAATCAAATTTCCCGTAAAATTAGTCGAAAAAAAAATTTCAAAATCCACTCATTAAACCACACGAAAACTCCACGGTTTATCAATCATCCTCTAGGCATCACTCACGGTATCAGCATTGTTCTGGATAAGCCGAAAATACCGTAAGCTCCATTAGAGGATCTACATGTTTATTCGAAAATCTTGGGATTGCGTGCTGTGGAGACATCGACAGCACGCAACTCACTGAGTCTTGTAACGGTCTTGGCTCACTCATAATCACCACGTGAAAATGTCAATTGTGGTGGGTGATTACCATTGGTTCCATCATTTTCGTTAACACTTGTGGATGATTCGTGTACATTTGAACTTGTTATCTATGACGCGTCTCATTATTTCTGGGGCTCTCACTAGCGATTGAGACGGATTACTGGAGGGGATATTGTGACTGTGTTGATGTCATCGGTTATGAATGTAATAAAACTAGTCGGTGTAATTTATTCAGGTATTTGCAGCGAAAGTTGACAAAGTGGCTTGTTTTTTTTCTCCACATTTTTTGTTGCACTCGACTGCATTGCGAAATAATTTTTCTTCCATAGTTGGGGTAGATTGAAAATTCTGAAAAAATTCAGGTGCATTAATCATTGACTTCCAAATGCCCCCGAATTTTTTCATATTTTTAGAAAGCGATTGAATAACAATTAAAAATATCGACTCTTTCCCTTTTATTGAACTGTGTGCAACTGTGCACTTTGCTCACTCTCTACAGAAATTCGATCGATAAGTTAAAAAATATATAAAATTACAGTACGGAGTAAGCCATGAAACGCTTGGCGCCACAATTACCCAAAAATTGTTTAAATAACGTATTTTTAATTATACAATAATTAGTTAATTAAATATATTAAAATTTTATTTTTGCTTTTTCTTTAGTTCGAACTAACGCAATTTGTATTTACCCTATAACTAATCTCTTTTCATCAAATTCGATTTGTGTCATCAAATATTGATGATAATTATAGCTCCATACGAGAAAAATTCAAAATCAAGGAATTGTTCTCCCAAAATTCTTGACGAATATTTCTCTTCCCACGCCTCGAGCCAAAATTCCCTAGATGAAGTCCTTCTTCTTATCCTTATCCACGGCAACGGTATCCTGATAACTGATCTCCTGTCCGGCAACCGCCGGCTGCAGATCATGCGGCTCGACATCGATCTTCCCCTTGACATCCGGCTCAAGAACCAAAGAATGATGAGGGCCCCTGTGTAAACTGGCATGAAGAAGACTCGGAATGGCCTCACCCTCTTCCAAATGACTCTTTTCCACCTTATGATGATTGTGACTGTGACTGTGGTGCTTCTGGTGTTCCTCCCCATGCTGATATTTCTTCAGAATCTCCTGCAACTTCCCCAGATCGACGCCTTCCTCGAACTTTGCGAACAGCTCCTTGGCTTCTGCCTCGTCCACCTTCTCCTTCTCCTTCATCTGCTTGAAGAACTGCAGAAACTTGTCGCTGACCTGAAGATTATCCTTGGTCGTATTCTTTGAGGAGCTCAGGTTAGGGTCCAAGAGAAGATCCGGAGTCTCATGAATAATGTTTACGTTCTTGTCCATGTTCTCTTCGGCAAGCGTTCGCAAGAGGGTGTTGTAGTCCGGCTTTATCTGAGATGTCTCCATGCAAGAAGAGCAGGAGCAGTTTGTGATTATTTGAACCTTCTTCTGCATTGTTATCGGATTGTTATCCTCATCTTTGCAGTCGAGGGTCACCTGCAAGAGAATTAGAAAGTGTTAGACGACCAAATGGCAATCCTATGGCAGCCCCAGCAGACAGCTACTGCAGGCCACGTTGAGCAGGCGAAAAAATAAAACTCCGATCATGATAAAAACTCACCGTATGCCAGACACTATCAAGGGGCTGGCAGGAGTCACAGTAAGGCCTAATAAGGTCTCCCGGAGCTGAGGGCTCGCTGTGTGGTACCATATATGAGAAACATGCTCCAACGCATACGTTGTTATCCAACTCTTGGGACGAGCATTGGGGCCATGTGACAACCTGCTTTATTGGCGTCGTCTTGCACCAGCTATGCTTGTCCGGATATAAAACGATATTGTGAACCTAAAGTATCGTTATTTATTAATACAAACGGACGCTTGATAACAATATCTCTATGTATAAAAAATAAGGGGGGGGGGCGGAATGCAGGGGTCGCTATCCAGGGGATGCTGAAAGTCCAGTGATTTCACCAAAACTGTATATGAAATATATTGGGCCAACACATTTTCAAAGTTCTACTTTTTTTCTTATCTGAAATTTAATTCCATTTAGGGGGCACTCTTAGCTACGACTTTTAAAAATATTCCCCCCAATATCCTCATATATACATATAATAGAAAACATGCTGATTACTTTTGGAACTTCTTCTTTTAAATTCAAAGCAATTGAAACGACGAATTTGTATTTTCATATTCGGTCACACCCGCCCGGTCACCGCGTCGGGGGGGGGNCGAGCGCGGGGGGAACCCCCCGAGTATTGGATAATTTCACAAACCTTGTGCTCACGATGCGCCTGAAGAATCGTCAGGTTAGTCCCCAGGAATACGAACGTGAGAAGGTTCCTCAGAGACTTCATGGTAGCTAAAACAATACCATTTAGAATTATCAAATCATTATGAATTCAGATTATCCTGCGAAATGCCAAGAGAATGTGACACCCCCTAGCAATGCAAAATTTCGATCGAGGTACCTATCAATTTTTTATGAAGCCAATCAATGAAAGACCGCTCGTCCAAGTTGACCGGCAGTCTCTTTCGGTTCGACGACCGGTTACCTATTACGTCACCAGAGGACTCGCCCCAGCGCCTGCGCATTTTCCTCGTGAAAAAGAACAAATAATC